CCACTCGATCATAGCCGTAGTCGTAGTTGTAGCTGGCGTCGTCGTTCCTCCACTGGGCATTGTTGGCCCCGCGTCCACGGCCATTGCCATTGCCGCCGCGTCTTGGGCCCCGATTCTCGTCCTTCTGCTTGGTCCAGCACTTGTCAATCGTGTGCCCCAATTTCCCGCAGTACGTACACTGGCGAGACTCTCGGTCGGTGTTGAACGCCTTGGCCGCATTCTCCGTCTTCACCGTCGCCGTCTTCTCGCCTTGTCTCTTGATGTGCTCATTCGTCAGCACCTTCACGACGTCTTGCGATCGTAGTTCAGCTCTGCTCATCTCCAAGTTCAGCACGACGTTCTCGTAGCTCTTGGGGAGGCTGCGGAACAGGCAGATCGCCACGTCCTCATCCTCCAATTTGGCGCCGATGCTGCTGAGCTTGGCGCTGATGTTGAGGACCTTGTTGCAATGATGCAAGACGTTGCCGCCTTCCGGCATCTCCATGCTGAAGAGTTGGCGCTTCAGGTAGATGCGTCCAGCCTTCTGCGAACCACCGTACAGCGTCTTCAGGCGCGTCCACGCAACCCACGCTTCCTCGCAGTCGTCGACCACATGGTGGTAGTCCGCGTCCATGTGGAGCAACATCAGTCCGAACGCGATGTTGCTCGATTTGACGTAGTCGTCCTTGGCCCGCGAGTCCGTGAAGCTCCGCGTCGTCTCTCGGTTCACGACATGCCACGTCGACTTGGTCAGGAACACGCCACACATGTAGCGGTTCCACGTCGCGTAGTCGTCCCCGTTGAACTTATCAATGGAGACCTTGGTCGAGGCGTCTTGGGCAGAGGACATGGTGCTTGGGCTCATAACCTGATGGAAGGTATGGATCTTGGACACGAAGCTCGGACGAAGCGGAGGGAGGGACGTCGCAGACGGCGGGACCGGAGCGAAGGCACTTGAGGGGTAGAATGAAGATTCGAAAGTGATTGAATTGTTGGAGCTTACACCCTACTGTTATAGACACGCGACCCTGCGTCCTATCACCTAGTGCATCTAATCAACCATCACTCACCGGTGTTCATCCAATCATCCTACTCGTCTAATCATCGGTGGCGTAAACAACTTACCGTAATCACCATAATCAACGTGGGTTCGGATTGGACCGGTTCGGGTTAACCGGTTAATGGGTACAACTGGTACACAGTACCCAAGACCAGCAACCCTCAATAAGCTTCCAAGAGATCTCCCTTCATTTAGCTACGGTTTGCATACATAGCCCAACACGGGAAGCTCCCATAGGTGCCCCCCTGAGCAGAATACTTAAGTAAAGTGTTCTGTATCATCAAGCGCGAGGTACTGTGCGTGTATTAATACCACCTAATCCACACCTATTGCGCGAATTTTGATCGCGTTCGAACACTTGTGTAAGTTTTTGCATAGCACGTGGATCACGTCGTTCCCGCCGCGTATTTGATCGCGTTCGTACAATTTACAACACACTGGACCACACCTTCTACGAGCCGGAGCCCGTCAACTTCAAAAGTGGGCTCCCCCTAATATGAGAGCCAAAAGTCGCACAAAACGGGCTCCCTCATGGTAAGTACGAGATCAAGGAGCCCTGGTTCGGGCTCCCCATTGGCTCCCCTCCAGGGCTCCCCAAATTTAGCTTCAAATCTATGACGGGCTCTTAATAGTAATATCTGATTGGCCAATTTTACCTAGACTTAAGGCGAGCAACTTCGCGTGATTGATGCGCCACGCTAGAAGATCGAGCTCAAAGATCACCACACTAGAAGATCTCGCGCCGCTCATATGTGGACAGCCGCTCCGAGGCCACCCCAGCGTCGCCGATCGTCCTTCCTTCCCCTCAAGGAGAAGCCCTCTTTCCTATGCCTTTTCAGGTTAGAACCTGGAGATACTTCAATGACGGCCAATCATCAGCGAGATATTTAACACAGGTGAGGGGGAGCCCTTAACGAGGGCTCACAGTTCTGGAGGGCTCCTTTCACTTAACCTATTGAACTCAAGAGCCCAGGAGCCCGAGCTCGCGACTTTTTGGGTTCACCCAAGAGCCCAGGAGCCCGGCTCTCCCGCTCGTCGTGGCGCACCGTAGCTGGTACGCCAGGCATAGGAAGGATGAGCATAAATTGGGCGCACTTCCTAATTAAGGCTCTGCCAGCGTCCTGTATTAACAGGATGGCTACATACCAATTGTAGTGATCTAGACTATTGGGGCTTCCGTTATGAACTATACCTGGCCATGAACCAATTGCTCTTGGTTTTAGACAGCTTTGTTGTGACTTTCGCACGATCCTAGGTTCAGAGATGTATTTCACGCATACGCACGTGTCTACCAAACGTAGTGCAGGGAGCTGTCTTCACCATGTGAAACCCGGTGGGAATCTATCTATGACTTCTGCGAGTCTTTGGCACTCAAGCGCAACTATTATAATCGGTTGCACTGCAAAAAGAAAAGGGTTGCTCGCTTTCGATCAGTTTGAGGTGGATAATTTGTTTGTGGTCACGGATCTCGCGCGGCCAGCCAAGTTATGATTTGAGTAACTGCAGTACAAACATGCCACTGTATCCGAGCAGTACTGTACTCGGCCCGCAATAAGCTAGTGACAACGCTCCAGAACCGCCCTGATGCTTAAGTGGGCGAAGACTGAGTGTAAGGCGTCATTGTTTTCGAGTGAACTTTAATTTAAGAGATGCGAGACAGTTTGGCTTGGTTCTCGTAGTTCGTGATGCTGAACAAGGATCTATTGACGGGGTCCTGGGCATTACGTTGTCCGCCCAGGACACAGTGTACGCCATGGCGTCTCGTAAAGAATCTGCTCTTATCACTCATGGCGCGTTTGCCGAGTCGTTTAACAGGCATGAAGACCGATTTACCAGGCAGTACGGCGATTCGGTGGTAGGGAAAATTTGGGCCCAGCATCGTAGCTTGAAGGAAGAGTATCAAGTCGATAGAAGGTTTGGAAACAATGTCGACCGCCTATCTAAGCACAAAACAACCGAGACATGGGGAGATCTCGATCCTGAAACGCATGAAGAGCGAGCGTTGGGGTCAACTCACCGATTTCTCGCCAGAAGACGAGCTACATGCTTCGCAGTACTTGGAGCTAGTGAAAGTAGCGCACAGCGCAGTCGTTGATTAGGCTTCATCCGCTTCATTAAGTATCGAGTAGAGATGCATCCTATATTAAGGGTCCCCAGCCTTCCTTCATTAAGGTAATATAGGCACTAGGACGGATATCCTAGTTTGACGAAGCCTGTACCAGTGGTACGCATTTGCTGGCACCAGTAGCGGTAGCTAGCAAACCCTCAGATGATCTGTAAGCATAAGAGGGTCGGGCATTTTCTAGGTCGTTAGGGACTCTAAATGACTGTAATGCACCTCAGCTTGAAACGAAAATTTTTTTACAACACACAGCGATCAGCTGCGGATACAGGAAACTGCGCTGGCGCCATCTTTTATGATTGACGTGGGGCATTCGTCATTTTATCTTCCGTCCTCCAAGCGCATCGTCCTCAGACTGTCAGCTCGACGCGAGTCGAGGCTCACCGCGTGAGAAGCCGGCAGTGTATGCGTAAGGCGAGACAAAGCCAGCGTCAACGGCTGCAAGCAATGAGAACGACGGTGCAACAACTCGAAGAGCAGTGCGATGAGTTAACCAATCGCCCACACACAGCCGCTTCAACGTCCGACACAATCGTCTATCTGCCAACTCACAGCAAGCACCGTAGTCTAGCTCAAGCACTGACCGACAGCAAGCGACTCGGAGCTGAAAAGCTCCTCCTCCTGTCCATGCTCAAGCAAAAGGCCGCGTGGAGGCTTCAACTGCAGCGCATCATCGACTTTGAAGCCAGCAGCGTCCACCACGAACCACAGCTCCAGGGCGTCCCTGAAGTCGTGATCGAAGTCATGGACGAGCTCCAAGCAGTGCAGGAGTTTGGGTTCCAGCCGCCTCACACAGATCATTCTCAACAACAAGCGGGACGTCAGTCACGTCGAGAAGCGCCTTCTCCTCGCCCCCGCACTTGACGACTCACGCACTTATCGAATGCAAGCGTTCGGCTGGGACATCGTGCAGCGCGTGGACGGCAGTTCGTCTACACGAAGCGCTTCCACGGTCTCGACGTGCTTGACGTGGTGCAGAAGTCGTGGGCCAACGTTATGAAGTTGCAGGAGTTCAAGAAGGTGGAGGCCGAGACTCGACGCTTGCAGGCGCTGCAGCACATCAACCTGAACGCGTACGTGTTCGCCTTCTCCCCGAGCGACATTGCGACATTTAGATCGGTATTCGTGCGCTTCCTGGTCGAATCCACCAAGGAGATCACGGCTACGAGTAGGCACGGGGTACTTGCTGGGCACGGAGAGCGTAAGCATCGATTGGCCTCGCTGTCTCCTAGCGGAAGATCCGCACGGGAGACTCGCGTGGGCCGACCTCGCCCAGACATTCGAGGCTTTCAACGTGGTCGACCCGATCACAGGAGAGACGTACCAACATATTCGCTGGGTGGGATGCACCGACTACTGCAGCGAAGAGCACGCGCAACGAAATGCCTCAAACACGCTCCAGGCCATGTTACGGTGGGAGATGCTGGCGATCGCCCCGGCGCTTAAGCTCGCGGCACTTGTGATGCGTAGATATGTGCCTCTTTGGAGCCTGGATAGGGATAGAACTCTTGTATGTCATTCACGTTTCACGTTCTTGCTTTTGCCGACATCATGGTTACGTGCGCCAAGTGTCACTACAGTACGCCACCTGTGAACCACGTGTAGTGCTACGACAATCATGATGAAAACGTGCTTCAAGGAGTTTTTGCCCATTCAGAAGCTGCCACGGGCTTACTAAGCCCACCTCAACCACGAATAGAGCCGCCATAATGATCATCATTGATGATGTGGTGCTCGTGAGTCACGAGTCGTGACGACCGACACCTCGTCCGTTCGTATCTCCCCCTCATCACTTTGAGTTTCATTTCGACGTTGGCAAATCCGCCTCCAGCTTAAAGAATGATCCGCCGCCGCAAGTTCACCCCCGAACAAAAGGAAGCCCGTCGAGTGAAGAACCGCGAGGGCATGCGGAAAATCCGCCAGCGCCAGCGTCAAGAGTTGCTGGAGCTAAAAACCACCATCGTCCAGCTCGAGACTCAGTACGATGAACTGTGCCAGCATGCTGGAAAGCAAACCGAACCAGTGACAGAGTTAACGATAAGCTTACCTAGAACCACTCCTCAGGAGCGGAATTACGCGGATGCGGTGGTGACGGCCAAGCACCTCGGCTGCTTCTGCTCGACATGCTCCAGCAAAAAGCAGCGTGGAGACGGCAGATCCAACGCGCGTTGGATTTCGAGTCGAGCAGTTTAGCAGCAGCTCAGCAGTTCAAGAAGGCAACGACCGTCGAGTTGGATACAATCGACGAAGCCCAGGCCGAAGAAGAGCTCGGGTTTCATCCCTTGACCGAGTGGGATCTCACTCGCGCCATTCTCGCCAACAAGCGAGAGATTTGCCGCGTTGAAAGTCGCCTGCAGCCATCGACAGGTCTCTTAGCCGCGCTCAACGACAAGCGCACGCATCGGAGGGAGGTGTTCGGCTGGGAAAGTGTGCAGCGAGTGGAAGGAAGCGTCATGGGGTTTCTCTTCGCGAAAAGGTTCACGAACCTCAACGTTCTCGACGTCATGCACAAGACGTGGAGCAACGACATCAAATTGAGTCGCTTCAAGACGGTCAAAGCTGAGACCTCCCGCCTCGAAGTGCTCCAAGAAATGAACCCGAACGCGTTTGTCTTCGTTCGTGACGTAGATTCCCCCAGAGATTTTTCAATCTTCCGATCCGTCTTCGTGCACTTCCTAGTGGAGGCGACGAAGGAGTTTCCGGACCAGGAGGGCGGCACGGTCACGGGTACAGGATACGTGTTGGGCACGCAGAGCATTGCAACAGACCGCCAGCCACACGCGGTGGAAATTGACGAGGCTGGGAGGAAAGTCGCTTGGGCCGACCAAGCCTTGACCTCCGAAGCGTAGGATGTTGAGGATTCTACAACGGGAGAACGCTACCAGCAAGTGATCTGGGCTGGGAGAACCGACTACTGCACGGAAGAGGACGCGCATCGCAATGCGGCGGATACACTACAAGGCTTGCTGCGGTGGGAGATGCGGATTGTTGCCCCAGCACTCAATCTCAAGTCGCTCTGTCTTGACTGAGGTTACATGGCAGGTGGAGGGAGATACATTTTTCATTTCAAGGTTGAGGTTAGATTGAGTTCATTATCCTAACTAAGATAACGACCGACGCATCCACCGTCAACACCGAGCTCATATCTCCCGATGCCCCGCCGAATAGTTGAAACGGTCTACTCGACTTCCGTCGATTTGGTACCGCGGACAGCGAACGCGGTCCCGCTGCTCCTTCAGCAGCGCCTGCCCTCCGAAGCTTGAGTTCTCCACTGCATTTTCCTGGGCCGACTTGCATTCCTTCTTCCCAATGTGTTGCAGGCCACCAGCGAGCGCCCCAGCAGCGCTTTATGCGGCGACGTGTCGTCACCTTCCCCGAGTCAGCCGTATCTGGGTCTCTGCCACTGCGATTTTCTTCGCCCCGCCGCGCCATGAGTGCACCATGAGAGGACCACCCCGTCGCAGCCAGCTCCATGTAGCGCAGGCCACGTTGACTGACAGCATGCTCCCGCGCGTCACTACGAGTGCTGTGGAGGGTGTGCGCACGTTGGAGTGCCGCACACCCGACGATCTGGTGACCTGCCAGTATCGCAGGCTATGACTACCAGGAGGGCCCACGGCGTCACCCGTGGCCTGGTTTGTAATGGGACACGGCGCGGTGGGCTACATGTAGACCACCGTGGACAGGTGGAGGGAGATACAGGCATACATGTAACCATGAATGAACGGATTGTGTTCTTTTAGGCAACAACTTTAGCTGTGTCTGTTAAGCAATTGAGAGATCTTGGATAGAAGTGACGAGTTGTCGTGTCTAGCTATGGCCATGTCTTGGAGAAATCTCGGGAAAATCACGTTGCGCAGCATTAGCAAAGGAGCGAGATCACTCATTGCGATCATTAACAAGGGTGCGTTGCGTTAGGCTGGGAGGACTACTTTAAATTCCAAAAAGTATGCTCGGTTGTATCTAACGTTAGCTCGATTTTACCAACTGGGGTACAACTATATCTTCCATACTGGAACACTTTGAAGAAACTAATAGATGTATTCTTTGGCTACGAAGTAGCCAAGTCTTGTGCTAATACTTCGCCTACGGAGTGGTCGAGTGTTTTGGCGCCACTAGAAAGCTAACCCAAATCCAAAACAACAACCATCAATACATGCACTAGCAGTACCAAACAGTGGTTACGTACTATGTTCACATGCAAGTAGCAAATGAGGGGCATAGCCCCTCATTTGCAGCGCCTACCATCATTTTTCTTAGGGAAATTTCAGGAAGGTGACTCAATATTAAAATTTGTGCAAAAGGTGATAGATGGATTTGTGTCGAGAGCACATATTTCAGGTTCAGCAGCATTTGCTAGGGCATTGGGCCACGACATTGTTGCCTCCAGCGGCGACATGGGGAGTAAGGCATCCAAGCCGTCGGTGGTGCTTTATGCAGTGTGGGCAGTGTCGCTTAAGCGACACAGAAGGCGACCGTACTCCACCAGAATAACTATCAGCAGAGGGCGATGCCTACACCGGCACCGCCTTCGCGTTTACCCAGTGCTATACTGACACAATTGGTGCATTCAGCGACGTGCATGGCATTCAGGTGCTGGCCGCTATCGGTGGCCAAATGCACTTGGCACAAAGCCTTGTCTCACCTTTTGCACAAAATTTCATTTTGAGTCATATTCCGGAATTTTCCTTTTTTATATGGAGCCAACTATCTACTGCCGCTACCGGACAGATTTTATAGTTTGTAGGCCAAGAGCTAAGGACGTACCGCAATTCGCAGCTGCACCCGCTTATGGGATGCACCTACATCGACCAATCATATGAAGCGATATACATATTTTTATCCAATCCGACCATTATTATACCCGGCAAATAAGATATAACCCCAATATTACAGTTGTGACTTATATTGTGGAAACCGATTAGATTGCCCGAGCGGATTAGCTGATAAAGACTTACCGCCACGAGCTGAGTGATTCGCATACCTACTAACGAGAAATAGCATCGCGTGCATTAAATACGCTTCTGTGAGCTTCGATGTGTACTGCATTCTATTTATCAAGTTCTGAAGTCATGTATTTGCGCTGTCAGTTGTGCCTACAACGCCATGTGGCAAGCTGATTTAGCTGCTCCACGGCTTACAAAGCCCGGGACGGCTGATTTGCATGCTAATCAGCCCGAATGTCCGACACCCACACGGCATTCGGTGGCCGATATAACGTAAAACCGACAAACGCTAATGCTGATGAGAAATGACCCGCTCTGTCAAATCAGAGTACAAATCTTCGATCTAATTAGGAGGTCGGATTTAGCAAATCAGACCCGATTAAGCTTAATCATCTGCTTAATCAACCGATTTATATCCCAATTAGACAATCTAATCGGTTTCCACAATACAACATGTTGAATTTTGTATATGATACTTTTAAGTACGAATACAGATCAACATTACCGGGGTGAACATAGGGTGCAGCTCTCTACATGCGAATTGCGGTAAGCGTTTGCAGCGCCGACCACCATTTTTTATATGGAGCCAATGATCTACACCTTTTCAACTTCAAAATGGCAAAAAGAAAATTCAATACTTCAAAATGTAAAATCAAAACGGCAATACTTTGTAAACCGATACTTAGACCTGTTTGTAATAGTGGGATATATAGAAATACAGAGTGTCGAATATCTATTGGCTGACAGTGAGCTGTATCAGCCAATCGTGCTCGTAAAAAGATTGTGAGCTCTATTCGTGACAGTTTGAACTTACGTTTTGTCATTTTGAACTAGCAATTTGCCATTTTGAAGTTGAAAAGGTGTAATGCCAGCGAGGGTGCCCGAGATCCAGGCGGACAGGTTTAATTTGCAGGCCAAGAGCTCAGCTGTGTGGACGTAAGACATCCTCAGTTATCCGTCAGTTACTAGGAACTATGCAATACACTGTAGTTGTAGGCTGATTGGTCATCCTGCATTCTCTTGTCGCTAACGCTGTCCTCATTTCATTGTCAATTGGCTTTGTGTGGTATGTCGATATGGCTATATTTGTGTAGGTATGATGTACGATTGTGTGAGTATGGTGTGGCGAGATGTTGTTTAAATGTTGCCTGAGGTACAAGCATTTTCGTTGCGGACAAGCCTCCAATGTACCGACGCAGGTTGAGTCCAGCCCAGCATTGAGGCTCGCCGCATGAAGAACCGCGAGGGCATGCACAAGGCTCGCTTACGTCAGCGCCAAGAACTGCTTCAGATGAGAATAATGCTGGTCGAGCTCGAGCAGCACTACGCTGAATTAACTCGTCGTGCTGCTGAAGCCGGGAAGAACGCCGTGTTGGCAGTTTCCCGTTCTGTCCTCACCGATCAAGACGACGGCCACAACTTGGCGGTGCTGGCCAAGCGTCTTGGGGCCGAAAAGCTCCAACTGCAAGACATGCTCAAGCAGAAAATCGCGTGGGCGCTGCGGATCCAGCGCGTCCTGGACTTCGAGCCCAGCAGTTTTGCCGCAGAGTAACACTTCCACCCCCAGCAAACGCAACAGACGCTCACCGACCTCGAGAGCGTGGACGAAGCTCTGGCCCGAGAAGAACTCGGATTCCACCCGCTCACTGATTGGGACCTCACTCGCTCCATTCTCGAGAACAAACGAGTCCTTCAACACGTTGAGAGCCGCCCCCACCTCCCCTCCGACCTCAACGACAGGAGAAATCATCGCATGCAAGCCTTCGGCTGGGACATCGTGTAGCGTGTGGAGGGCAGCGTCATGGAGTTCGTCTTCGCCAAAAGGTTTAGTAACCTCAACGTGTTCGACGTCATGCGACCAACGATCTCCAGCTCGCTCGCTTCAAGACAGTCAAGGCCGAGACCTCGCGCCTCCAACTGTTGCAAGAGATCAACTCGAATGCCGTCGTGTTTGTGCGCGACGTGAAATCAGTTGGCGACATTGCCGTCTTTCGGTCCGTCTTCGTGCACTACCTGGCCGAAGCCTCGAGGGAATTTCCAGCTGGGACAGAAATTCTCACGGGCACAGGATACGTGTTGGGCACGCAGAGCATTGCAACGGACTACCCCCTACGACGTTGTGGATTCTACCACGGGGGAACACTACCAGCAAGTGATCTGGGCTGGGAGAACCGACTACTGCACGGAAGAGGACGCGCATCGCAATGCGGCAGACACGCTGCAAGGTTTGTTGCGGTGGGAGATGTAGATTGTTGCGCCAGTGCTAAATCTCAAGTCACTGTGCGTCGACTAGGACTGAAACTCACTATGGTGTTAACCGTGCCAAGGAAGAGAAGGAAAAAAAAGGTGAGTCACCTTCTCTCGTTAACACTACCTTAAAAAAACGCCTCCACTCTCTCCTTAGAGAATGTTGCACCACTCGTTGCCGTACACGCTGGCGTTGTTGAGCTCCCCGCAACTGCGGCATCTCCAGCTGGTGCAGCCCGCCGGCAGGGGGTACGGCGCCGAGCACCGGTTACACAGAGCGTTGCCCTGCGCGTCGCGGCGAATGTTCGAGTTGTTGGGCACCACGCGCGTGTGTACTGCAGCCTGCGGGATGCTGCCGGGCGGCGCGGGCACGGCCTGCACGATCGGGCGGCCGTAGGCGTCGACTTGCACAGGCTGGCCCGCAGCCGAAGCGTAGCTGGACGCCGCGTCCACGGTCTTCTGCGGCTTCTGGGGGTCCATTGTTGCGGTCTGTTGTTGCCAAAGCTTTTCTGATACTGATGGAGAGAAGAAAGAATGGACCAATGGGAGGCAGAGATTTTTAACGATTCGCTGGATTTTTCAAAGGTTTTTTTATTTGGTATACAGATTAAAGTAGTATACTACACTACATGTATACTATTGCTCAGTGCTTGATCGGTGTCTCGAGCGGTCCAGCGTCAAGAAAAAACTTCTCTGCTTCTCGCTCTTCGATATAGCATGCAAGAACTGTCCAGAGACTCCCGCCAAGAATACACCCTTCCGTACTGAGCGTGCACCGAAACGCGACTGCCAATCTTCTGAGACCAAAGCGAAAGACTCGCTCTGAGACCACCGTCGTCATTCTCGAAAATCCCTCGAAGATCCCCCAAGCATGAGCGCACTTGCACCTCCTACCTTGCCGACAACTAAGCCAGCGCCCAAGAAAAAGAAGAAGACAACTTCATCCAGTATTAAGAATTCACGCGGCCCTTCCAGTCCGTGCTCAAGGAGCGATCCGTCGACTTCAACCTAACGCTCGACGTGCAGAACCTGCAGCAGCAAGTGCGGGACCTCGCCACCCTCCGAGATGTTCTCAGTACCAGGACGATGCTGCGGCGTCACTCGCCCGAAGGCTCGCTGTTCCAAGTGGTGAAGGAGTATTTCCACGTGTTTAGGACGGGCTGGGCCGTGCAGGAGGTCGGACGTAAGAGGCGGATGGGAGAGCAGGACCAGAGGCAGTTCCTGCACAGCGTCATGGACCCGGAGGTGGACGTGGACAACGGTCTGCGAGGCCTGGACGTCATGGCCGAGCAGATCCTCATGTACTCGACTTTCATCCGGTTCATTCGAACAACGCTACAGTCCTACGATATCATGGTGGCCGATAATTCGGTCATTATCAAGACACAAGCGACGCTGAGGTTTCAGGTGTCGAGGAATACGATCGAGATGATTTTCCCTCATATCATTGGGGACGAGTGTCTTGTATCTCAACTCGTGGGTCAAGAAGTGGAGCCTCCAATCGGGATCACCGTTTACTTTAATTCCGAGGGCAAATGCTGCAAGTACCAGGTCGAATTGAACTTCGTCGAGGCCTTTGCTACCATTGTCAAGGATCCGAAGAAGCTGGAAATTATGCTCGGGAGAGCGCTGATCGCTGACAACTGCATGTTTGGGGTCATCGACGAGCCGATTCAAAAGAACGTGGAGGTGCAGACTGTAGCAAGTAGGAAAACCTTGCAAGCATTACTCAGCGGTGATATGTTACCAATGAGGTGACATGTGTCATTGCGAGTGCTCATTCTGTCCAGCAGTAGGACAGGCAACAAGCGTAGCTAGGTTAGAGATCTAGCCCCACGTCTCCAAGGGGAATTCCCCTATCCATGTTCGTACGGAGCCTCTGCTCCAAGTGTGTTCTCATTCTCAAGTATACCTTCCTCAAAGGACTCGAGTCTCCGGCGCTGTCGACTCTTCTCAGTGGTCTTCCTTTTCTGTCCTTTAAGACTCCTGGCGTGCAATCAGTTTGCGCCGGTGTCCTGGAATATGAGCGAGATCGACTTGTGGAAGAGCTGAAGGGGTTGCGTCAGTTTTCAAACACTAACGACGAGTTTTTGCCTCTATTATGAGTTGTTATTCCAAAAAAATATCAAGCGTGTGCCCTCCACTCTCTACCTACAAGGAAACGCACGGTAAAATGTCGTGCGAGCGTGTTCTGTTTACATGCAGGTGTTTAATAAGCAAGGTGGCCCCGGTTCCATCGTTTCAGCGTAACTCACTAGTGGTATAGCTTTAATCTTTTAGGAAGGATACAGCTTACCGCCCTCAAACTCAAGAACGATCTTCTTACCGTCACGACCGAAGACTAAGGAGATTCCTTTTTCAAAATATTTTTTCAGTACATGTACAGCAATGTTATCAAAAACTGTTAAGCAAGACACATCGAACATTCTCACCGGACCAAGCTCCTGCCCACCCACCGAGCAAGCGTCATCGCCCTCACATTGATTTGTTCTTCGAGGAGATCGTGCACGACTACTACCACGTGTTTCAGCATGGTTTCCAAAGGCCTAATAACGTGAATGGCCACCCTCAAGGCGACTTTATTTCTCAAATGTTTGTTCCTGGTAGTGACTACGTTCTCGAGAGGTGGCAGCGTTGGGCGAGTGCTTCGACGTGGTTTCGTTTCGACAACACAGCACGGGAGCTGTTGAATACTGCGACCACAAAGGTTTTTGTGAAATTTCTTCCTCTGCGAACTACACGCTTCGAATCACGCCCTACACGCTCGAGACCGTGTTTCCACACGCACTGCCGTACAGGTCGCTGGTTGCCAGACTTTCAGGGAGTACGATTGAGGTGCCGTCGCAGCTTGTGTTTTCGATCGAGATGGATACAGGGCGTGTATTGAACATCTCGGAACGTATGGACTTTGTCACTCCCATTGCGGCACTGCTCCAGGATAAAGAAGAGTTGAGCTGTGTGATGTCACGAGCCCTGCTTTCGCTTGATGGAGTCAGTCACTATCATCCACACGAAGCTGCTGCACTTGTGCCACCGCTGGCCTGCCAGGGATCAGCCTGGGAGAGATCCAATGCAAGCCCAGTACCTAAGACTGCTGTGAAGTCCCGGATGAGCATGGCTGATATCCTGCTTGTGTGGTGGTGAAGCAGATCTGCATCACTAGTGTGAAATTCTGAATCGAAGATTGTCAAAAGATGCATACTAAGTATGAACTAACATAATTCTTGAGTTACTGTCGCATCATGTCTTCTTGTGTATCAACTATCACGCACCGTTCAGTACAATGGACTATGTACTAGCTGCTGCCCGCAGCCAATAGCCCTTGTGGCTAGTAGGCTAAGTGCCATTCTGTTCACTACCGCTCGAGTCTTGGGACGTCGTTTGCGTGGTTATGCCGAAAGTGGCGGCTGAAACGGCCTCTAACGCTAGCACGCGATCGAGACGAGGTGATTGGAACAAGCGTTATCGCGCTCGACTTGGCCTCTTCACGCACCGGAAAGGGACCACAGTGAACCAGCTTGGATCTCGACAAATCTGCGTGGTGATCTCAAAACACCGCGTCACATTCAATAGGTACTTGGTCATCAACCCACACGGTGCCATATACTCGAGCGCCTTAAAGGTACCGGTTGTCTCAACGAGCAAGTTGCGGGGTGCAACTTGTCGTCCACGTTTAGTCAGGCCTGTAACCCTCAGATATGGCTTCTCCACTTCCCATTTTCGAGAGTTGTTTGCCAAGTCTGTGGGGCCATGCACTCGCCCCACAGTGCGCCTGCTCTCTTCAGCAGGTCGAACAGTCCGGCCACTTACGAATACGCCCAACGCTCAACGCGATTTATCGCCTAAAAACGCCCCCCCCCCTCCGTCCACTCCCGAGCCGTCCACGCGGTCGCTCGCTTCATTCCCGAAAAGACCCCCTCAAGCTCCAATGAGCAGTTGCGACCCCGTCCCGGATCCCGTTGCCCTTCGACAGCCAAGTCCGAATCGCCCCACACCGTCCACGAAGCATAGGAGGAAGTCCAAGAAGATCGTCTCATCCAGCACCACCACAAAGAAATCGCGCGGCTGGGGGCCCTTCCAGTCCGTGCTCAAGGAGAGATCCGTCGACTTCAACCTAACGCTCGACGTGCAGAACCTGCAGCAGCAAGTGCGGGACCTCACCACCCTCCGAGACGTGCTCAGTACCAGAACAATGCCGCGGCGTTACTCGCCCGAAGGCTCGCTGTTCCACGTGGTGAAGGAGTATTTTCACGTGTTTAGGACGGGCTGGGCCGTGCAGGAGGTCGGACGTAAGAGGCGGATGGGAGAGCAGGACCAGAGGCAGTTCCTGCACAGCGTCATGGACCCGGAGGTGGACGTGGACAACGGTCTGCGAGGCCTGGACGTCATGGCCGAGCAGATCCTCATGTACTCGACTTTCATCCGGTTCATTCGAACAACGCTGCAATCGTCCGAGATCGTGACGGCTGAGGACTCGGTCATCATCAAAACGCAAGGGACGCTGAGGTTTCAGGTGTCGAGGAACACGATCGAGAGGATTTTCCCTCATATTATTGGTGACGAATGCCTGGTGGCGCAGTTGGTGGGGCAGGAGGTGGAGCCTTCCATCAGCCTCACGTTCTTCTTCAACTCGGACGGCAAGTGCTGCCGATACGAAATGGATCTCGACTATGTGGACACTTTTGCGAGTATAGTCAAGGACGCAGAGAAGCTGGAGATGTTGCTTGGGAGAGCGCTGATCGCCGAGAACTGCATGTTTGGCGTCCTGAATGAGCCCAAAGACCCTCCCATTCAAGCCTGTTCTTCTCTGGAAATAGCCTTCGAAGACGAGCGCAATCGCCTTGTGGGGGAGCTGAAAGAACTGCGGAGTATCGCGAAGGTTGATGCAGCAATTCCGCGCGGTCTGTCGGTCTTCCTGCCGAGTAAACCCCTACGTATCCACAACGACGCGCTGTTTCAGCGGATCATGGCCGACTACTATCTCGTGTTTGCGAATGGATATCGAAGTGCCGCCAACCAAGAACACGTCCAGGCAGTTTTTATCTCGCAGATATTTGTGCCTCCCAGAATGGAAAACCCACAAGCAGGCGATGGAAACAACGTCCAGGCGAGATGGCGGGCACTTTGCCAGTGCTTCGACGTGCTCGAGTTCAAGCAGAGCAACAGGGCGTCGACCATCGAGTACAACGACCAGGAGGATACGTGCGTCATTCGCTCTAGTGCGACTTAAACGATCCAGCTAACGCTGCGCAGCATCGAGTTGGCGTTCCCGCACGTGCTGACAAACAGGCCGTTGGTCGCAACACTGGCCGGGAGTGTGATTGTTGTTCCGTCAACGCTGTCATTCACGATCGAGACCGACACAGGACTGATCGCTCACGTCGTGGAGCGCATGGACTTTGTCGAGCCCATTGCCGCGTTGCTCCAGAACCGCGAGGCCGTGTCCTTCGTGATGTCCAGGGCGCTACTTTCTGTTGACAGCGTGAGTTGCTTCACCTCGTGCCCCGTCACGCCAATTCTACAGCCGATTACACCACGTGAAGCGCCTTGGAGAACCGCGACGAACTTCCCAGCAGCGGAAAAGTGCCCAAGCGATGCACGTGCGATGACGATGACCGGCATCTTGCACGTTTGAAAACGAAATGCGCTATCGCGCGCGTGTACGAGCAAGTAAGCAGCTAGGACGTAAGAATGATTAACAATAAGCTTGGATTATATTTGTTCGGCGATAGCCTCGTTTTGCTGACATTACTACTGGTAGTGTTCGCGAGGAGAAATATCTAAGGTTTATCACATTTTCCTATCAAACTTCGATCTGCAAGAGCTACGGTGACTTTCAACTGCAATCCAATCGCATAATTGATCGGTTTCCCGCCGCGTTGCCAATGCCATCTTCTCTCACGGTCTCATCCACACAGGTTCGTGCGAGTTCTGACTCGGCGACAAGAAGTTGCTGTACGCGGACGATTGCTACAGCGAGTACAGCCACTTGAACGTCAACGTCAAGACCGAGTCCTCCATCGACTACTTGTCGTGCGAGAACGGCGGTTGCAAGATGATGCGCGCTTCTACTCGATCGGCTGCCAGACGCTTGACGACACGAAGACCGTGTGGCAGACTTACAGTACGTTGGTTGCCACTTTGTGTATGTGGTGGTGTGTGTGTGAATAGCTGAGCTAACGGGCTTTTGTGTTGCTGAATGCGCTCTACTGGCGAGCCAGCCTTGCGCTGCGGATTGCGTCATTGCTGGTCATGTGAAAGCGTCACGCTTTAACGTGCCGCCTTCGAGCAGGTTCTGGACAAGCTTAACTACAACATGCAGCGTGAGAACCAGCGTCGCAGCTCGTGCAACAGTCGATTCTCGGTGGGTGTAGCAATGCGCGAGCGAGATCCGCTACCCGCCACAGCTCCGACGGCCAAGACGACCCTGTACAAGGTCCGTGCCAGGGGCACCGACGTCTCCGTCCGCGTGCCAATCACACGTCACGGCTCCACGAACCAGGCGCTTTCGCTCAAGTGCATGCCCAAGGCTCTGATCGTTGAGAACTACCTGCAGAAGAACGTCATCTACGAGAAGGGCATCATCGCCGAGTGCGACCGCCCGATTACCTTCAAGCTGCGCGAGATATACCAGGAAGCCAACCAAGCAAGTGGAAAAGACACCTCAGCCATTGGCATTGTCCGCAGAGGAGACAGGTGGGTCGTGTAGGAGGATCTCGAGGAGCTGTAGGAATGTTTTGCTTCCAAAGTGCAGTTTTGTCAATCAATGGATATCATTACGTTCTCGTTTCAGAAAAAAAAGCTTGTAAAGTGGTTGCAAGTCTGCACAGAAGCGATTTGGCCTGTTGTTCGGGATTCTTGTGTTAAGCCTTTCGTAGGCGTGCTGGGCACGAATGACGCAGGCGTATGGAAGTTGACAAAAATGTCATCAGTTTTGGTATGTTGCAGAGGAAAATAGATGATGGCTTTTACATTGCGGAGAGTGCGCTGATTGTGCGGAAGCCGGTAAAATTGGAAATGGAGGGATCAAGAATAATTGAAGACACTGGGCGCGTTCGAGTTGCAAGCAAACGCATTTGTGTACTCTCAGAGCACGCTACGATAACAATTTGCGACTCAGTGGACTCGGGACAACCTCGAGACTTGCATGTGCTTTGAATACTAGGTTCACGGGCTGGTCTAGCGCAAGACCTTGCCACTAATTGATTAACGACGCTAAAACCAGCCGACTCGAGTCGACAAGACATGAACTCGCTGATATCGCGAAGCAAATACGCTCATTTTCGTGAGCACAACCCGACTTGAAGCTGCAAATTCCGTGGTCAAAAGTCCAACGCGAGAGCTTACGGTTCGAAATTATCGCATCGCCACCACAAACAAACATAATCACCAGGAGATAGCCGTATAGTTCGCCAATAACCAGAAAACAATACAAGATTTTCAAAATCTAATGCAGCTGATGCAGATACAGACAAACTGGAAGCCACAAAATACCAAGCACCAGCTACCCGGTTCTCTCTGCTGCTGGGAAATCCTACAGGTAATAATGACCACCATAAATTAATTGTCTTTGCTCGCAAGAAATAGCTCGCAGTCTCAGCGAGGAACCACTACCTAATCGCCCCACTGCTCGTTTTCCGCGATTTTCCACTTTCAGCTTGTTGAGACGGCGACCCGCTCCGGTATCGATCAAGTCGTAGGACATGCGCAAGATTGTCATTTCTAGCGACACAACCAACGTGCAGTCGCTTAAAATTTGCATTTCGCGTCGCCATACCCTCCTGCGTCACTACATTTCGCACGAAACACAACAGCCAGATAGGCTTTGAGTCCGACAACCGCATTTCGGTAGCGATATCTGCGTTGAAAACATTGTTAACCTGCCTGGATAAGCAGACATGTTTGACAACAGTGGCCCCGCCACTTTGAAATCGCACACAATCGGGCACAGTTCCGCCTCGTTTCCCCTAGTCGTTGCCCCTCTTCAGTCGCAAAATTATCAGGCAACGCTCCGCCTCTGCGGAGACACTCGAACAGCGCTTCGCATCCCTGATTCAGACCCCATGGAGTGATAAATTGGAGCTGCGCTTCGCCTCGTTTCGATTGGAGATACACACCTTCGAACCACTTCAAATTGCGGCAGCACTTCGCCTCGTTGCGTCGGGTGTCCAGGTGCTAAATTATCGGACAGCGCTTCACCTCGTTGCGATTGAGCAATTGGAGATAGCTCCTCCTTGTTTCGTTAGAGCGACCGCCTCACAGAAGTTGTGGTGGTTTGAGTAGCGCTTCGCCTCGTTTTCCAAGGCTTCGAGTGCGGTGTAACTTCACATCGGCACGATTATCCACTTGTCTCTGTGCGCCATGTGAGCGAGCGCATCATGCCACGCGATGTCGATACATGCTCTTCGAGCTCGTCCAAGGCGGCGAGCCAGACTTCGTTTGAGATGATTCTGCGCAAAAATGGTATTGTGTTCCTAGAGTGCAACGCGGTTGCTTTACAAAAGCTTACCACATATCAAGTTGCAGCAGAAGCGCTATGTACTCGTCATTAATGCAAAGAGCTCATCAAAGGCGAATTGGATCGAGAGCATTATGAACGATTACGACTCTTACAGACTTAAAGCCACTGCGACCACCAACACACTAGCTCTCAGTCCAATTAATGTCTACTGGTTCAGTATGGACATCACCCGAGGTAAGGTTGAAGGCAAGAAAATGCTGCAGCTCCATGATCGCTGTAACAGCATCGTCAGCAAGTCGAGCTCGTCGAGGCGTAATCGTCGTTCCAGATGCAGAGAATGCTTCCTCGCTAGGCACCGAAGTAGCCATCACAGCCAAGTAATCGCGCGCCATCATCTGAATTCGAGGAAATGATGCAGCTTCGTGCTTCATCCAGTTGCACACAGCTCGACTGTCTGTCTTCAGGTTCATGGACTTATCCTTGTGGTCAAGCCAGCGAGACAACTCACTTGAAAATGACTCACCGCTGCTGTTTGCGTGCGACTCGTGCCCAATGTGCTCATCAATAAGGCTGTACAGCGCGTCCTCGTCTTCAGCTTCTTCTTTCTGCTGCTGGGTTTTCTCCGATTGTTTTCTACGCAGTTCATTTTGCTCATATGGGGCCCGATACACGCGTTCATACTCCGCTTCGACTAGTTTTTTCACTTGCTCGACATTGACGTCAATCTTGACGAGGAACGACTTCGCACGAGGGTCGAGAACGGCAGCAATTTGAGCATCATCGGTTTTGACGAGCGGAATATACTCGTCAAGCTTCTTCTTGAACGCGCGAGCAAAATCCTTGGTGTACCACGAGAGAGCAGTCTCCGCCGTCTTCCCCGCATGCTTCAAGACGAGATGGAAGACACCCAACGCTACACCAAAGGTTGGGTAGTTCTTGCCAGACATGAGTGTAGTCGCGCCCTTGATCGGTCTCAGGAAAGCTGTGAGCTCATTAAGATAGCCCCAAGTCGTGTCCGGGATGGGAGCAGCGAGACGATCGCCAGGGCCTATTGAAAGGCATTTGTAGCCTTCATGACGGCCACGAATCCGTCGCTGTAACTTACCAATCGCTAGCTTCAGCGAACGAGCTGAAGAAAGCATCGTTAAGGTGCTGTTCCACCGCGTCACAACGTCGAGCTCCGGCGATATAAAGGTCACATTGAGTGCCGCGCAGACATCAGTCAGCGCCTCAAGTAACGACGGCGACTCCGGCAGTTTTTCAGTATGTCAAGGACGACACCAACACTGTCATCCATGATTGGGCATCGTTTAAGCCCTTCCTTGACAGCAAGTTGAAAAACGTGGGCCAGACATTGCACATGAACGACCTTGGCTTGGGATGCGGCAGCTTCCGTAGGCTCTGGAGTCGAGGTGGCACCCGAAGCCGTCCCTGCAAGCTGGTCGTAGCCCACAATCTCCTCCTCCAGTGTTTCGTTGATCTCATCAATCATTGTTCCGTTGTTGGCGGCGTTATCCGTAGTGATTGCTCATAGTTTTGCAAAAAGAGATCCGCTCATCGCTCGAATGGTATCGATCAGATGCTGTGCGATGCGGGGACCAGAATGGGGATACTCCACGCGCGTAAACCCGATCATAACCGACTTAATGACCCACTCGTCGTTGATCCAATGCATGGTCAGAACCATGTAGCCTCGTTTTGCCGCTGATGTCCATAAGTCCGTCGTGGCGGATACCCGGCAGTTTTTAACATCTTGAAGAATGCTATGCCGCGACAGCTCCTTTTCGCGCCTCCAGCGCGCCATGATCTTCTTTTGAACCGTCTTCCTTGTCGGAGGCACGTAGTCAGGGTGAAGTGTTCTGCAGAAGGAACGAAATTCCTTTTTCTCCACCAGACTCAGGGAAAGCGCGTTCGCTACGATCAAGGCCACCAGCTGCTTGTCAGCGGCCGCCTTGTCGAACGTGCGCTGCCGCACGTATCGCTCGAACCCAAACGCGAGCAAGTCCGTCTGGCGGGCGCCTCTCGTGTCCGCCGGAGACGCATCTTCGTCGCCTCTGTACGCTTCTCCGTGCTGTCGCTTCAGGTGTCGCCGAAACGTAGTATGAGCCACCGTGTTCCAGACCGGAGCTGAGTCGGTGGAGCACAGCAGACAGGTGAAGGTCCCATCGTTGTTATCGCGAATGAAGGTCCAGATGTCGGAGCGTCATTACCAGGAGCTCGCCTTGGTTCACTGGAGGATGAACTTGCACTTGAATTGTCTTGGGGCTCCATGGAATGAAGGTATGCGGAGAGGTGCGTTAGTGCGAGATGGCAAAGGCGAAACTGCGAGGAAGATTGCTGCGCATGCACTACTTCGCATTGCGAAGTTCGCAAGGTCCGGCAGGCCTAAGCCGATCTGATCCGATTGAATCGGCCGATTCGACCGACAACTTCAAGCAGACGCCCAACGTGTGCACACCTGATTGGACCAATTGCTTTACTGCGAATCCCCGACGAATCACCGCCCAGTAATGAGGTGCACTGGGATTCCGTACCGGGGCTCAAAAGGTAGCGGTGGCGCGTCCGTTGTGCTGAACGTAACGTGCGTGAGCACCCGGTCACGCGCTGGAACGATTTCGCGCAGCTGTAGTGTGTGCCCAGTAGTAGCAGTAGCAGTAGCAACAGCAGCAGCGGCGGCGATGCGTGGGAGGCGCCTACCGAGTTTCAGTCGCGTAACGTGAGCTGGTGGAAGGCTGTCGAGTTGGTGTTGGCGCCGCACACCGCCGAGGCGCAGACCGTGACGGTGTCCGCGAACGCGACGGTAGTGGACTCGGTGTCGCCGCGCGCCGTGGTCGTGGAGGTGTGGTGTGTAGTTCGGTGTATCCCGGGCTCGCGCTCTCTGGTGTCTTCAGCCGTGATGTTGCAGCCGTTGGTGGTGGAGAGCAGAGAGGACGAGCCGGCGTCGCTGTCGCTGAGCGCGTTGAACGTGCTGATGGAGTCGCTGGACCAGTCCGCGGTGTGGCCGGAGTACTGGTCCGTGGCCGTGGAAGTTCACGGGCGCGACCTCGGCGCTTCTGTGAGCGGCTTGGCTCTCGACGGGAATTCGTCGGAGGTGGAAGAGCGTGGTGGGCGTGTCGAACGTGTCAGCGGCGACGCTGGCTTGGAACGCTTTGTCGGGTTATAGGTCTGCCGAGCGGGCCGGTGGCGTCGTTTGCGGGTGGCTTCCGTGGGTCTATAGTACTGGTGTTCGGCGACATCGGCACTAAAGGCGGAGATCGTGGCCGCGTTGCGACCTGGAAGCTGCGCACGATATTGTTGGCGAACCGAGCGCTGTGCTGGACGTAAACTGCGTGAGCATGCTGGTCCCGCGCTGGAGCGACTTCGCGCAGCTGTAGTGCGCGTCCAGCCGAAGCCGTAGCAATAGCAGCAGCGGCGGCATGCGTGCGAAGCGGCTGGTGAGTTTGCAGTCGCGCAACGTGAACTGGTGGAAGGCGGTCGAGGTGGTGTTGGCGCCGCGCACCGCCAAGTCGCAGATTCGGCTGTCGCTGAGCGGATTAAATGTGGTGGTCAAGTTGGTGGACAACAAGTAGAACTACGAGAACTGTGCCAATGATACCGATGTTGTCTCAGGTCCGCATGCGATTAAGTCTCAGGCCGATTTCAGCGCGAATCTAGCGCACTTCAAGTCACTGTTATAGATAACACCAGCACTATCGTGAGCAGACTAAAGCCACACATGAACTTTTGCTGTGAAGCGTCGGTTGTACGGAAGTCTGTGGTATTTTATAGTTTCGGACATGATAAAATGTATAAGAGATTAGAGTGGAAACATGCTATTGGTCATTTCAGGGGTCGCTTAAAAAAATTTCATGTAGTGAATGCGATATCTAGAGAAGCATTTTCTGGAGGTATTACAGTCAAACCTGTTTATATGATCCTCTCTATTTGAGCCATGCCGTTTATTTGATGCAGGCTTTGTCGCTACCAAATATTTCACTTAGTTTTTGTATGACCTCTGTTTGTATGCATACAAGGTATATGAGTCACATTTTTGGGGACCAAATTAGGTTTCACCTGTTTATTTGATTCACACTGCTCACGGCCACACACTCTTCAAAGCACCACTGCTCAACACTCAACGCCTACCGCAAGCCTTCTTCGCTCGCCATGTCTCCTCGCACCTGTCTGACGCTAGAACAAAAGCTCCAAGTGCACCTAAAGCTCAAGCAGAATCCTGGCATGAACAACCCCATGCTCGCCGAGTGAATCTACGCAACTTTCAAGGCCCGGGTCAGCCGTGCCACACTCGCCCGACTGCGCAACCTGCCTTCTTCCTACTTCAGCCACGTCGACCTGAGTGCGACCAAGCGGCGCCGAGTGAAATTCCCTCAGTTCCCGCTCGAACTGAGGGAATTTTTCTTTCAGAACGAAGCTAAAACGGCGATGGCGGACGACGTGCTCCTGCTGAAGGCGCATGAGCTGGCGGAGCGCTTAGGAGGAAGAGGAGGAACAGGAACCCGCAGTTCAACCTGCCATTGCTCTGAGACACTGCATGGAGCTGGCTGCATTTCTGCTGCAATGCGGAGAGCAGACTGACAGAGAACGAAGAGCTTTACAGACCGTGACCGCTTTGGTTCGAGAGACTACGGTGAAGGCAAAGCGGCAGCGAACTATGCACGATTTCTTTACGTGCACCACATAATTTTTTTAACTGAGTCCATTTTATATGAGGCATTGTAGTAGATGGTCACCAACAGGGCCTCATATAAACAGGTTTGACTGTACTGCTGTATTTTATATCTTGGCAGTCGGATTGGATCGACCGATCAATCGGATCTAATCGAAATGAATCGAGAATCGGCACTGGCTAATCCGATCGGTCAGAAAGTACATCTCGATCAATCCGATTGGGTCGATTACCCACCCCTAACCACAACGCAAATGTTCGCGTTCGTAACCGCCCTCCTCTGGTACCGGTACGTGCTTTTTAAGTAAATGTCGTCAGCCAATCACGTCCCATTTCACTAATGTGTCCACCTTGGCAGGCCGTTTTTTACCACCAGCCAGTCTCCGTTACGCCGCCAAAAGCTCCGCTGCCTTCTGCCAATTCCTCGCGCGCGCCATGAGCGCCCAGCCGCGCGCTGCCGCCAGCGCTCTGACGCTGCTTCAGCAGACACCACCAGCCTCCTCCACTCGAGGCGCGCCGAAGAAGAAGACGCGCGGGCCCAAAGCCAAGAAACCGCGCGGCTGGGGGCCCTTCCACTCGGTGCTAAAAGAACGCTCCGTGGACTTTAACTTGACGCTGGACGTGCAGGGCCTGCAGCAGCAGGTGCAGGACCTGAGCACGCTGCGGGACATCCTCAGCACGCGCACCATGCTGCGCCGCCACTCTCCGGAGGGATCGCTCTTCCACGTGGTCAAGGAGTACCTGCGGGTCTTCCGCTCCGGCTGGGCCGTCCGCGAGGCCGGGCGCAAGCGGCTGCTGGACGAGCAGGACCAACGCGCCTTCCTGCACAGCGTCATGGACCCGGACCTGGACGTGGGCAACGGCCTGCGCGGGCCCGACGTCATGGCGGACCAGATCATACTGTACTCGACGTTCATCAAGTTCATTCGGACGACGCTGCAGTCGTACGACATCGTGGTGGCTGAGGACTCGGTCATTATCAAGACGCAGGCGACGCTGAGGTTCCAGGTGCTGCGGAACACGATCGAGATGATTTTTCCCCATGTCCTTGGGGACGAGTGTCTCGTGGCGCAGCTTGTGGGGCAGGAGGTGGAGCCGGACATCGGCATCACCTTCTCCTTCAACGCGGAGGGCAAGTGCTGCAAGTACGAGTTCGATGTGGACTTTATAGGAGCGTTTGCGAGCATAGTGAAGGATCCTAGGAAGCTCGACATGCTGCTAGGCAAGGCGCTGATTGCAGACAACTGCATGTTCGGGCTGCTTGACGAGCCCGCGGAGAACCCGGAATGGGGCTACGGCGCGACACTCGAGGAGGAACGAACTCGACTGGTGGACGAGCTCAACGAGCTGCAGAACCTAACAGACACGGCGGAGAGCCCCACGCTGGCCCCGCGTAGCAGCGCAAGGGCTCAGCGTCCTGACGCGGCGTTCCAGCGAGTCGTGGACGACTACTACTACGTCTTCGCCAAGGGGTATCGGCTGCAGGTTGCTCACAAGCTGCAGCGAACTACCCAGGACGACTTTCTCGCAAAGGCCTTTGTGCCCGAGAGAGCGGGGGACCCGCAGTCCGGTGGACGATACGTGCAGCGGAGGTGGCGAGCGCTGAGCGAGTGCTTCGACGTCCTGGAGTTCCGGCAGAACAGCACCTTGCCGGTCGAGTTCAACGACGACGACTGCACGTGCGTCGTCCGCTCCACCGCCAACTACACGCTTCGGATCACGCCGTACACGATCGAGTCGGTGTTCCCGCACGTCCTCTCGGACCGGTTTCTAGTGTCTGCACTCGTCGGGAACATGCTGGTGGTCACATCCAAGCTCGTCTTCACCTTCGAGGCGGACACGGGTCGGATCGCTCGCGTCGTGGAGCGCATGGGCTTCCTGGAGCCCATGACGGCCTTGCTCCCGAACCGAGAGGACCTGTCCTTCGTGATGTCGCAGTCGCTGCTGTGCCTCGACGGCGTAAGTTGCTCCAGCTCTCTGCCTCCTCCAAGTCTCCCCCCGGTAGCGTTGCTACAACGAGAGAGCTCAGAGAATCCGAGGACCAACGAGAACCGTACTACCACCACCACGCGCACCATAACGATGGCCGATATCCTACACCCGTAAAGAGCAGAGAGGACAAGACAAACCCAGTGTACATTTACCAGTAATCCGAGCCTGTAGCATCATTTGAGTCCCTCTAACGTCGTCCCCAGTCAGTTGGAGATCGCCCTCGGAGATCTGGATGATCTATGAGCCGAGCTGGCAGATATCAAGGCAGTTGATGTACGTTCAAGTCACGCGTGACGTCATTCACTTCAACGTCGCTTCGACCACGAACCGACGCGGAGTATCCTGCCGGCCGACTGAAGTAAACCAAGTACTCCTAGCAGCAGCATGTCGGAGCCCAAGGGCTCGCCCGCTATGGGCGACGCCGCTCCGGCCAAGAAGTCGAGCAAGAAGAGCTCGAGTCGCCCATCGGTAGCTGCTCCAGCCGCCTCTCAGCCCGTGGTGCAGGCCCCAGTCGCGACGTCTGCGCCTTCGGTCGGTGCAGTGCCCACGGTTCCTCGGATTCCGCTGGCCGAGCCCAAGCCGGACGCCGCCAGCTCCGAGGCCAAGCGCAAGCCGTCCAAGAAGCGAACGTCGTCCACTTCAAGACGGGGAGACGGCAGTGGCCCCACGTCGAGAGAGTCCACGCCGCTTGGTCCGTTTGGGCCGTCGGGACCTCAAGCTGTGCCGATAGCAGACGCCGCCGCTGCGGCCAAGCAGAAGGAAGACGCGGAGCGAGAGAAGCAGGCCAGACGAGAGGCCAAGAAGCAGCGAGCCAAGGAGATCGAGGAGGCCAAACGTCGAGAGGATCTGGCCAAGCAGGCGCTTGAAGAGGCCCAGCGTCTCGAGGAGCAGCGGCAGCGTGAAGCTCGCCAGAAGCAGCAGATCGAGGCGCTGAACGCCAACGCCGAAGAGTGCCAAGAAGAGGCCGACGACTACGACGACGACGGGTTCGAGAACTATGACGAGGACTTTGAGCAGGAGGAAGTGAGCCAGCCCAAATCGACGCCGCTGCCGGGAGTAGGCGCCAAGGCGAGCTCCAAGAAGCGAGGCACCAGTTCGAGTGAAGTCATGGACGAAGCGGAGCTCAAAAGGATCCAGCAGGCCATGCAGGCAGAGTCGAAAGGGCTGCTGTCTGGCTCGTCAAGGCCCTCGAGTTCCTCCGAAGTGGCTGGCCAAGGCAAGCCCAACAGCAGAGACGATGAGCGTTCAGCTGGGGCGAGGCCAACGGCCTCAATTTCGTCGTCCATTGCTGGCTTGAAGCAGTCGCTCGACCCACGAGCAAAGCGCGCCAAGGAGATACTCGAGCGTCGCAAGTTCGAGGTGGAGAAGTTCTCGCTATTCCAGCAGAAGCCTGTGAGTGAGCAGGACAAGGTGTTGAGTCGACTGAGACGAGGACTGGTGCAGCAGGCGTTCGTCCAGACGACCGATGGGTCCAGGTCTCTGGGAACGCAGACAAAGTCCCCCGAAACGCACGACAAGAGCATGCACTTCCCCGACGATATCGGCATCGACAAGGACTCGATTTCTGGAGCTGATAACAACGAGGACGGGGCGTTCGCGTCCTCTTCTTCGACGAGATTTTTCAAGTTTCTGGAGCACGCCGCGTACGTGTGTGAGACTCTAGCCGTGGAGAACGTGATGGCCTGCGAGCGAGAAGCGCAAGGGAATCAGGAAGAGACCGCGACGAAGAGTGGAGAGGACGAGAGCAAGGAGAGTGAAGCGAAGTCGACGGGGAGGCGCTACCAACTGTCCAAGGCTTCGAGGCTGGACAAAAAGCTGGTGTTCCCCAGCAAGAAGTTCGACTCGCTCCAGTCTCTCGAGCAGATTCTCCAGGGGCGCGACCTGGTGGTGCTCCGCTTCTCGCCTTCCGTGTCAAGTACGCTCTTGACTTGCTATGGCGCTGCTGGTGAGGGTGGGAATCAATCGCAACAACCCTCGAAGCTCTTCAAGGACAAGACCATTTCGTGCATTTGGGACGTCAATCTGCTGAATCGCCCCCTGCATCTTCTCAAGAGCGAAGGCGTGGCGTCCACAGCGTGTCTTAGCCCCTCGCGAGACCTTTTCGTGGTGGTGGGGACGGAAGACGGCAGCATTCACGTGTGGGACCTCCGACCGCAGTCCATGATCCAGGCTGCAAGCCCTCCAGTCGATGGCCTTGCAGTGTGCACTCCGTCATACTCAACCTGCGGCATGAACTACCGCGCGCCAGAGCAGCACTCGTCGGCGATTGTTGCCCTGGAGCCGATTGATCGGAGTAAGGGCAGCGGCGACAGCGGAGGCACGTTCCAGTTCGGCTCAATGGATGACCGCGGCGTCTTGATCATCTGGAGTTTGATCGAGTTCGACTCTGGGGACGAAGCGTTGGTCACCGACAAGTGCGTTCAGATAGGAGGCAACGTCAAGATGGTCATGAACACGCGGATCGACATGCAACAGCAGTACTTGACACCGCACGTGGCTCCGAAGCAGCCACAACGCAGAGGATCGAAGACGAGCGTTCTCCCTCTCTCGCCTACTCCTGTTGCGTCTCCAACGCTGGCTCATGTTGGTCCTGTCGTCGCAGTGCTGAAGTTCTTCCCACACGACCCCAACCAGTACGTTTGCTTGGCTCCTTTGACTTGAACGTAGGATCTAACCAGGGTTTTGCCTTCGTCAGGTTTGTTGTTGGAACGCGCACAGGCCAGCTTGTACGGGGTCACCGCTTCCAGAAATCGTCCTCTCGCATGACGTATCAGCGTGAGCAGGGCTTGAAGACGACGGATGCATCGGCTGGCGTTGTGTACATCGACTTCCATCCGTTCGAACCTGACTATTTCCTCGTGGGATACGAAGATGGAAGTATCTGGTACGCTTTGTTTGTCATCTGCAGCTCGCACCCTTTTCCGAATGCTAACAATGACGCTCTCTCTAGTTTGTACCATGCCGATGTGTCTTTGTGCCTGACGTCGTGGGAAGAGGTGGCGTTTGGTATCAACGTCTGCGCCGTGGCATGGTCCCCATCGCGTCCTGCTGTCTTCTACGCGTCCTTCTCCAACGGCACCGTATTGGTGTGGGACCTGTTGGAGTCGACCAGCGTACGAGTTATAATACCATCTGAAGGAAGTCTACTGCTGGAGCTAAGACTTAACTTGTGTTAATCTGCAGGGACCAACGCTGACACACGAGCTGGACGCGCTGAAGGACGTATCGCCCGTGGAATTGGCGTCATCACTGTATCCGCTGGTTTTATCGTGAGTTTTTGCTTGTTTCCAAGTCATTGTGATAGATGGCGAAGTCTTTTGTTAACGTAGCTCTGATGCAGGGCGGAGAAGATGCGGACGTCTCGTCCTGCAGTGGCCTGGCGTATCGACCCCACTGTCTCGCCTTTCCAGTTCGCCATCCATGAGTTGGGCCCGGAGTTCACAGCTCGAGCTCCATTGGAGCAGCAAACAGTGGCGAAGGTGCTAACGTATATTCTTTGAGGCTTGCATTAACGTGTTAGGGTGGAGCAGGAGAAACTCAATAGCAGTTCAAGTATGGAGATCCGAGTGTTTGTGGCCTATGTTGCGCTTGTGCCGACCGTGTAGGAGCTGGAAGACGGCGACCACGCAGTCTCTCGAAACAGTCGCGCGTAGATGCCGTCCCGGAAGCGCAGCAGCTCTGCGTGGGTTCCTCGGTCCACGACTTGTCCGCCGTCGATCACGTAGATACTGTCGGCGTTCCTGACCGTAGCGGAGTCGCCCGGGTGCGCGGCAATCACGGTCGTTCGACGCACCCGCTGGGCCACGATGGTGTCCAGAGCCTGTTGCACGGCGATCTTCTCGCTCTCCGCCCCAAGAGAGCGCATGGGCTCGTCCAAGATCAACAGTCTGGCGTCTTGAAGCACGGCTCGAGCAAGCACGATGCGTTGTCTCTGACCTGGTGATAGCTGGAGCTGACCCCCCACCCGTGTTGCGTATCCGTCAGGCAGTCGAGAGATAAAGGCGTGAGCGTGGGCCACTTCGGCTGCAGCAACGATCATGTCCAGCTTTGGCGGGGCTGCCATCCCGTACGCGATGTTCTCAGCGATCGTGCCCAGGAACAGCGTCGGCTCTGGACCCACGAAACTCACTTGGGCGCGCAGCCACGACACGTCCAGCGATCGGATGTCGACTCCGTCCAGCAGAACGCGACCACTATTCCCCGAAGCGGAGCTCAAGTCGTAGAAGCCCTCGAGAAGCGCGAACACAGTGGAGATTCCAGAGCCCGGAAGTCCACAGAGAGCCACAGTCTCCCCAGCCTGGATGCGTAGCGAGAAGCCATTGAGGATGAATGTGCTTGGCCGTGTCGGGTAGGCGAACTTGACGTCCTGTAGCGTCACGCTGCCTCGGAGCATGGGGCTTTGGGGCAGTGGGCTGTGCTCTCCATCTGATGACGACGGGGACGACAACGGGGGAGCTAAGCCATTGGCACTACCGGCAACGATAGCGGCGTCACGCAGCGCGAAGATATTCACGCCAGCCTGCTCTGCGCCGCCGATGCTGTTCAACCAAGCCACCGCAAGACCCAAGGACTGAGCAGAGACAATGACAACCAGTAGCGAGCGTGTAAGCTCGCGGAATGTGGCATCACCATAGTGCACCAATATCCCACTCAACCAGCAGGCAAGCGCGCAGGCACCGACCATGACAACTGCGCTGAAGCCTCGAGCTATAGCCTCGTGCTGGGCCTGGTCACGAGTGTGCCGCAGCGGACGCTGAAGCAACGCATCGAAGCTGGAGCACCACGAGTTCTCGAGTCCCAGCGTCACCACCGCCTGGCGGTTGCGCAGTGCCTCGTTCACGTGGACTTCCACCGCTTCTTCCGCCTCGGCATCATCAGTCGCAGTCTTTGGCGCGTGGGGGTTGCAGATGGCCTCGCCGATGAGCAGCAGCGGCAGTGCAGCGATCATCATGAGTGTGAGCATCCAGCTGCCCCTCCAAAAGGCCACGACAAGTGATGCAGCCAGCGTACAGAGTATCTGGAGCTTGTAGCCCTGAGCCCTTCCGATGATGAGAGAGGCTGTCGAGGCCTCCGTAGCCAGGGACTTGGTCAGCACCTCAACAGAGTGCTGCGGGGCGTCGAAGAACGGCAGTGGCTGGGCCAGCAGCGAGTTGAAGTGCAGATCTCGCAGACGCGACGCCACGCGCTCCGTTGCCGCGTCCAAGCAGAAGAGCTGGATGCTCTGGAACACGACGATAACAGCCGCTCCAGCACTCAGGAAGAAGCCGTGCCTCATGACCAGCGGCCGCAGCGTCTTCACCACGTCCGCTGCGTCTTCCGCCTCCGTCAGATCGGCCAACAGCCTGCTGATCAGAACGCCGAGCATTGGAGCAGCCAGTCCGACGATCACGGAAGCCACGAGCCCAAAGGCTAGGAACTTGCGCTCTGGACGGGCGAGCGCCGTGATGTCTCGCTTCGTGAGCTTCGTGGGGGATGTCGGCGTCGCCTTGGTCACTCGTCGTTGGGATCTCTTGGACGTCGCTGTCTCCGGACTCACCAAAGTCTGTTCGTGCTCCCGTACAAACGTTGGCTGCGTGAGGCGCAAACGGCGGTAGAAGCTGTTGCCGCGGTGCATGAGCTCCACGTAGGTGCCCTGCTCGACGATCTTGCCCGCCTCCAGCACCATGATCTTGTCGGCGTACTCCACTGCTGCCATGTTGGCCTGACGCGTACACAGCAGCATGGTCGTGCTTCCAGCCCCAACAGCTCCGCTGAACCTCGACAGCAGCTCCTGCGGACTGAGCGTAAGCTCATCCAGAAGCAGCAGCTTCGGCTCGCGGATCAGAGCTCGGGCCAACGCGATACGTTGTCGCTGCTGCGTCGTCAGCTTGATGGCTTCGTTCTCGCCCACGCGCGTGCTGTATCCGTCAGGCAGCGACATGATGAAGTCGTGGACGTCGGCGCGTTGAGCGGCGTTAATCACGCGCTCCTCCATCTGGCCGCTGCTCCGTCCGCTGAGCTCTCGAAGTACTACAAGCCCCATCATGATGTTGTCGAAGATGGACGCGCGGAACAGCGTCACGTCTTGCGTGACGACGCCAAGCTGCGCGCGCACCCACGTCGAATCCAGCGCGTTCACCTCCCGGCCGTCCAGCAGGATCAGCCCCTGCGAGGGCTCGTACAGCCGCGTCAACAGCGTGACCAGCGTGGATTTCCCGGATCCGATGCCCCCGACGATAACGACGCACTCTCCAGCCAAGAGCGACACGTTGCAGCCTCTCAAGACCTGGCGTTGGGGGCGAGTCGGGTACGAGAAGTGCAAGTCCACGGCCATGACGGCCCCGGAGAACGTCGCAGGTCGCGGCAACGGGTTCACGACTGCGCGGCTGGTCCTTGAAGGCGTCTCGAGCAGTTGGTAGAGCTGGGAGGCTGCGTTTTGAGCTCTGGCCACGGCTGCGAAGCTCGGGATCAAGTGACCAAGGGCGTGACTTCCGATGATCACGCCCAAGAGCGTCGCGAACACCTCGGCAGGCTCCGCTTCTGCCTCGTAGACCTTCTTCCCGCCGTACCAGAGTCCGATGGCGCTCATGACCCACAATGTTCCAGTCACCACTCCCTGCAGTGCTGCGTGCTTGCCGTACTGCACAACCCGTTGGCGCTCAGTGATACGGACACGAAGCGCGTGCTTCTCGCGCACGCGCCGCTGCGCGTTGAGCGCCAGCACTGTCTGCATGTTGTTCAGCGCCTCCGCAGCCACCACGTCTGCTTCGTTGTCCTTCTCGCTGTCTCCTTTGTCCATCAAGAGCACGAGCACACAGACGACCACAGGCGCCACGCAACTCACAGCGAGCGTCAAGTCCCAGAGCGTCATGAAGGCGACTGCAAAACCTCCAATGAACTGCGTCATGAACCTGCAGACAGCTCCGAGCTCGGGTCCAAGGCCTCGCCGAATAGACTGAGCTTCACGGATGAGTTCACCACCGAGAGACGATGCTAGAGACTCGTTGACGTCGAACCACGGCTGGTGGAGATCCAGCAGCACGTGACGCAGCACCTGCTCCCTCAACGACCGCAACATCCTCTCAGCCGTGTGCGAGAGACACAAGTGCGCGGCGTACGCCGTGACCCCCAGAGCCAGCGACAGCAGCATCAGCGTCAGTGCAGTAAAGTCCACGTCGTGCCGGTTGAACGGAGCGAACGCTGCGATCGCCGCCTTCACCTCTCGAGCCAGCAGCGCCCACAACGCGCCGTGGATCGTAGCAGCCAGCAGCCCCATGCTCATGACAAACAGATCTCGACGTGTAGAGAGGCGAGCGACGAGCTGTCGGAGCCCCACGCTCGCCTTCTTCGCCGTCTTCTTGTCCTCATCAGACCTCCGCTCCTCGTCCTCTTCGTCTGCTACGACTGCGACGGCCGTGCGACCTTCACGCAGCTCCCTCAGAGCGTCCGCGATCGCCGTCGTGCGTCTGTAGCTGCTGTTGTGCGAGTTCCAGGACGTGTCCAGCGACCGCGGCCGCGTGACGACGCCCGTGGTCGGCACCATCCGCTTGACGGACTCGACGGGCATCGACAGCAGCGCGTAGTCGCCGCAACTCGAGGCGTTCGAGTCCACGTCGTCCACGTCCACCTCGCGGCCGTCGCTGTCGTCGAAGAACTGGCTGCTGTTGAAGCTACAGAAGCTGTCCGTGCCCGCGAAGCCGCTGCTGTAGCTGTAGCTGCTGTTGAAGCTGCCGCGGCCGCCGCGCGGGTGCGGGGGCCCAGGGGCCACGCACAGAGACGGCAGCTCCATGGTTTCGTCCAGCAAGGGCTGGTCGCGCGGGTCGGGACGCATCGATGGATGGTGGCGAGTTGGACAATGGCCACGAGAGGGTTATGGGGGTTATGGAGGAGGAGGCATACTGTTGTCGTCATGGAAGGGAAGCGGAAGCTCGCGGCATCTTTCGACAAGAGTGTCACCCAGTGAGCAGCAACACATGACATGAGGCACGAAATGTAGCCATCGAGTCAGCGTGGGACGGACTGAACTCTTGTCCTGTGTGGCGACTTGCGAGTTTTTCGCTGGTCGTAACGTAACGCTTGACATGTTGAAGTGCTGGAAGATCGACGGCGGGTGGCTCGTGATCAAGACAAAAATGTCGGCCCGCTTGATATGAAGGGGAGGCTTGGTGCGTGCACAACATTCCCGTGCCAATCGGTGGAGATCCACTCGCAGGATGACGACGTCATTTCATGCCAGACGATGGATCTGGGACTGCTACATATCCTCCTAACGAGGATAATTTTTGCAGCGAGTCTTGGTGAAAGGCGAGTTTAGCCCAAAAGTGCAGAGCAATGTGCACCGTCTCATGATTCTCTCGGGGGCAGATCTAACGAAATTTGGGATGATTGTCGGACACTGAGATTTGCGGGCCTACAGTACAGTATCATGGCGTTAAAGAGCTCCGATGCGAAGGTTCTTGCGCCTGTAAGCGAGCGTGCAGTCTTTTCATCGATGAAGCTCATGGCGTAGGTGCATGTAGTCTTACTACCCGAAGATTAGGAAAAGTGATGGTTCACTTTCGATGCCTCCAACTTCATCTTTATCGTCAGACCACCAGCACCCGCCCCCATCAGTTCCAAGCTCACTTCTCAATTTCCAGTCTTCGGCTCAAGCAAAACCCTCTACTTGTACCCGATGTTCACCGGAATCACGCTCTCCTCGGCCCTCGCTTTGGCGAGCTTGGCGTCTCGCGTTAACGCCCACGGATACCTCGAAGAGCCCAAGCCGTCTTGGGTCAGCCAGCCCAATCCTGGGTGGATCGCGCTGGTGGACAACTACTGGGACATTGGGTCGGGTTCAAGACCATGGCTGCTCAGAAGGGCATGTCCAAGATGTTGTGCTGGACATGGTCTAAGGGCAGAAGTGCGGCAACACTGTGGTAACTGGAACCCCGCAGCCCATTCCCAGCGATGGGAAAGTGAAGTGGTTGGGCAACGGAGGCGGAGGCTTCACGCACGTGGGTCCGTGTGAGGTGTATCTCGATGACAAGATGGTGCTTCACGGCGACAACTGCGAGGATGAGTACAAGGGCGGCGCTGTCGGATCCACTGAGACGTCGGACATGCCCGTGGTGCAACGGGAAGTGCACCTTGAGCTTCTACTGGCTGGCATTCCAGAACGAGCAGTGGCAGGCGTACGGTAAGGTCGCTTTTGGATTATTACTTGGATTCCTTGAGTGCGAACTCCTCATCGCTTTTTGCATGCTGATTTCTTTTTCCTAGTGAGCTGCGTCCCGTTGTCGGGAAGTGGTGGATCGTCGACGAGCACGCAGTCTACACCGACCACGCAGGGGTCTACTCAGGGAGTTGAGACAGCTAACAAGGAGGAATCGAAGGCGAAGAACAAGTCGGAGCAAAACTCCTTCGTCGGAGGAGTACAAGTCGACGCAAACTCCTTCGTCGAAGCAAGAGTCGACGCAGACTCAAGCCCAGACGACCCAGGCCCCCTCCAAGGAGCAGCACTCCATGAGCTTCAGCAACCTGAACGGGGGTACGGGAACGGTGCAGCCTTCGAGCCTTCGTCAGTAAGGCGTCGTCCTTTGAGATCGGATATACTTGACTCGTTCGGTTGGTTTGAGCATTTACATGTTAGCGAGTTTCATGTTGCAGGACTTAGGAGATTCAGTCTCCTCGCAAGTGCACACAATTTCAGTGTTGTCTTCCTCGCGCTTAAAAGTGGTGTGTGTGCATCCTCGAAGTGCTTGTTTTTGAGTCTCCCTAGCTGAAGTAGCCCGTCCAGAAGCTCGCAGCAATCCTTGAACGAAGCCGCTGCGTGCCAACTGGAAGTAACAAACCACATTGTGTTGACAGCCATGTTAGGAGCAGCATCCGTACACGGGGAGGAGCCTCGTGTTGGTGGCTGCGTTGTAGGCGGCTCCGTCGTTGGGAACGCCGTCTCAAAGCTCTCGTCCGATTCGTCTTCTTGTCGCATTGTCGGCCCGTGTTTCTTCGGTAGCTCCTCCTTCGTGCGCATTTGCCGAGTACTGAGCTCGACGGTCATCCACACCTTCTGAATTGTCAGCAGACCCAAGTGTCAACATTGCAGCTGCTGCGATCGCCAAAGCCAGCTTCGTCCTTCCGAGCAGATTTTAGAGCTTCTTCTAGCTGGTAGATAGATCTCAAAGTGAGCGAGCTGCCGCTAGAATCGACCATTGGAGTTGGCTGTCGCTGTAGCGAATTGCGTTGATCGTGAAGCCATTTCGTCAGATAAGGCCAGCATGCTATCGCTGCAACAAGAGCAAGTATGTTGAAGGCTACCAACCTTACGTGTACTGTACATTTTTCGCATTAGATAATAAATGTACAATAGTTTTGCCCGCGGGTGAGTCCGCGCGACTTGTTTCGGGATCGCTCGCCGTTCGTGTTGAGTCAGATTTTCCAAAGTTCGTGTAAGAGCAAGAGAGCGTCCGGAGCGAGCCATCATTGCTCAAGCTCGGCATTGTTGCGCACGCCCGACGCCGTCCAGGTCCTCAGTGGCAAGTCACAGCCAGGAGAAGCACGAAGCCGTCGCTGATGAACTTGAAGGCGATCCTGAGAACGAGGAGAGCAGCCAGCGACACGACCGTGTAGTAGGTGGCGAGGGCGAGCGTCCGCTTGAGCGTTCGTAGCTGGAACTCCTCGTTGGCCTTCGGCGTGTCGTCGGTGGTGATGGCCACCGTCACCTCGTTCGACGCGGGCAGGGGCAGCACTTGGGAGGAAACCATCGCGTTGGCTGGCTGGCTTGCTGGCTGCTTAGTGTGAAAGTGAGCTGTGAGTCGTGAGCTGCAGTGGGAAGATTCGCTATTGAGGTGAGGGGCCTTCACCCTCACTGAGGGCAACGGCGGAAGGTCCGTGTCATGAAAGACAAGCCACGATCTGCTCGGCTATCATCGAATGTCCACTACGCGCGCATAGACCAGGGAGCCCACAAAGTCTGCTGAAAGCCTCCGACCAGCATGTCGGTTGAGGTCCGTGTGGCAGACCAGGGCGGATGCACGCAGCACAACAGGGCTATCCCATAAGCTTACAGTAGAGATTCGCGAGGATGGCTGCGGAAGGCATCGGCAAAGGAGGGCTCACTGCGAGATGTTTAATTTATCTACACTATTATCATATCTACACACTGTACAAAAGCAGGCAACAGGTACCCCGTAATCCTAACTATAGGTCGTAATCCTGGTTGTAGATGGAGGCTGCTTCTAGGATAATGGCGCTGAACGAATGGGTCGAAGACTGCGGGTCCGTCGTCATGGCAGCGCAAGGAGGAGAACGAAGCCGTGTGCGATGAACTTGATGAAGAGGCAGAGCGCTGCGACGCACGCGACCACCTGAAAAACGCTGCTCAGAGTTGCCCGCACTCGAGTTGTGTCGTGTCCGTCCTTCTCGTTGGCCTTGTCACTCTCAATGGCCACGATCACAGCTTCGGGCGCAATGCGATAGCTCATAGTGCGGGACTGCACTGTTCTGGATGGGTCTCGGCGCTTGCGCTGGAGCTCGCAGATTCGAGAGTGGGGTCTTCCGTTGAAGGTGAAGACTGCCGAACCGCACCGATTAATCAAATCTCGCTCCGCTTGCCATCACCGTAATACTCAGCCGCCTGTGTACTACTACACGGCCATGGCTACATGTACCGTGCGGTTCTCGAGCTCCTACAGCACAGCGCTCTTTGCCTTCGTCTCCTTCCCGTGGTGGCGCACAAACACTACATAATCTGCAAGTCCATCGAGAGTATTCATATGAAACAGTCTTCTTCTTCTTTAACTTAGAGTTGAGTCCATGGGGCTCCTGTCACACGGGTACCCCACAATCTCGTACATGTAGCGAGCGCATAGCATTAGTGTACACGGCTGTCAGTCGATCCCGTCGCGCGCAAGCCCCATCTGGAGTGTCCTACGCAACTGGCTGCCTGGGGAGATTCCGAAGATTCGATCACCGGGTCCGAGTCAGCACCAGGAGCAGCGTGAACCAGTTGCCGAAGAACGCGGCGGCAGCCACGAGGCCGTAGACGAGGGCGACGGCCAGCAGCGCGTACATGACCTTGTGCCTGGTGAGCGTTTTGTGGGTGGAGCTTCGGTCCAGCGGCATGGCCGAGTTGGCGTCGTCTTTCGGGGTGTAGATCACCACCGTCACGTCGTTCCTTGCGGTCGAAGGCGCCACTTGGGTCATGGTTGGGATGTGGAGACTGGCTGGTGAGCTAGGCACTTGGCTTGGCTTGGGCTGCGCTGAGGCGAGCTAACTTGTAAGTGAGACCAAGAGCACCACCACCACGCGTGAGCGGAGAGAATGATCTGTTTGGAACCAGAGTGTCCACACCACACTTTGCACTGCACGGCGTGTGGGATTTGGGACGGTCTCAGCATGTGTTCGGGAAGCTGCAGTACATGTACACGACGCGCTTCAACTTGCGGGTCTCGAATAAGTTTGGATGCGACAGGCCTGCTCCACGCAGATGGAACTGCTGTCGCGCGTGGCAGACCCTGAGCAGGAACTGACATGTGAGCTGGAAACTTCGCTTTGAGATCTAATAGTTCGCTGCGCGCTCAACCAGGAAGGTCATCTTGCGTCGCTCGTTAGTCTAAGGAAACGGCGGCTGCCTGGGTATGCACGGTTACTTTGAGCGTATCTCCGCCATCACCAAACCGTAAAGCCTGACGTCGCTCGTCCACGCATTGGTCGTCAATGCGCGTTGGGGTTCTTCCATGAGGAAGAAACCTGGCCTTGTTGTTATAGCTATCATCCAAACCCCAAGTACATATTGTCAAGCATGTACGTATGCAGCTCAAGTGGCGCCGGCAATCGACAAATTCTCTCGGCTTTGGTGGCTTTAGAAGACAGGACAGGACATGACATGAACCAGTCATGGCTTGCCTGCTTCAAGCAAATCAGTGCCAGCCTGACCTGGTGATCGGTTTGGCTTTCACCATGATGCCCTTGATCCTTGGTGGTGCACAAGTTGATGCGCGGCGTTCTGTAGACTACAGCAGCATTCCAACGATTAGAAGCCTGCGCTAGTTGGGTAGTGCTTGAATTTCCTTCATTCGTATACAAGGTCGAAGTACGTACGGTCTCGAGGCTCACACAATTCAAACATTGAAACTGGTAAAGCTCATTGCTACGCTCTTTACCTTTCGTCTCGTGTACCATGGCATGGCGTAGAAATCACCAACAGTACTATAAATTTAATCAAGAATACTACACCAGCTCTATGGGAACGACACCTCGTTCCAATAGTCGTTGGCAATAACTTCGATAATAGTAGGCAACCTCATCTCGTTCGGCACACCAGCTGAGCTGTTCTTGACAACGTACAGTAGCTGCTTGGACTCGGTCTACTCGTAGTTGACATTTGATTTACCCCTCCTGGATCAGCAATGAAGAGAGCGCGAACCAGTCTCCGAAAAGACAGCGGTAGCCAGGAGGTCGTAGAAAAATACGAGCGCCACCAGAGCGTAGAGGGCGCCTTCCACCACATTGTACTTGGCCAGAATCTTGTCAAAGGAGCTTTTAACTTGGCGCTTGTTCATGTTGTCATCTCCCAGCGAGAAGATCTCCACCGCCGAGGCAGTCGAGAGTTCCACTTGAGCCATCCTCGAGCTGTAGAACTGTTGATTAAGCGGGCAGATTCGTGAGGCCGAGTAAATTCACCGCGTCCCCCTCCTCCACCAACACCATGCGTCTGAAGACATTGATACCCCATCGTGGGCTTCAGTTGAACGTATTAAGCTTCATGAACTCTAAAAGTTTCGCGATACATTTACGTGCTTTTATCATACATGGTCATGAGGACTTGTACCAATACACTTAGGATAGGAGATCGGGGTACGGGAAGCTCGAGCCCGAGAGGTGGTCGGGCAACGACGAGTGCTTGATCGGAGACGCAACGGTGGACGGAGAGGGCGAACACTCGCTGTTGGTTTTGCTCGCATGCCGCTGAAACTGCAGGTGGAGGTGCTGAAACTGCTGCCGCGCTCGCAGGGCGTTCGCCTGCATCTGCTGCACCGCCAAGAGCTCCTGGATCTGCACGGCGTAGCTAGCGTGGAGCTGCTGCAGCTTGGCCGCAAGTGCCTTCTTGTGCCGCCGCTTCAGCTGCTTGCGCTTGAGGTAGTCGTGCGCCACGTTCCGCCGCCAGTTGACACCGCCGATTGAGCTGGACGAGGACTTCTTCGACTGCGACTGCGACGCACAGCTGCAGTCCGGGTGCTTGTAGATCCGCTCACGCTCAGCCAAGAAGTTCATCTTGAGCCGCTCATTCTGTTGGGAAAACTGAAGCAGCAAGTTGGTCTGCTCGCTCGCCGCAGCGGCATAATCGGCCGCAGTGTCTTCGTCTGCGTCGACCATGCTGACATCGCTGCAGCTTGGCACAGGCGCACCAGCATACAGGTACATGGATGCCGACAACAGGGAGCCGTTGTCGCTGACTAGAGGCACCGACACGAACTCAGGCTCGTACTGCTCCAACTGCTCCAGCTCATCGTCCAGCTCGTCATATGTGTCCACTTCCTCAACGGACTTCGGCGACTCAATTTGGTTGTCCCCGTTCTCAGGCTCGTCCACGTCCTTCTCACTATCCGCGCGCGCCGATTTCTTGGATCCAGAGCGTCCGCGCTTGTTGGCGGCCGGCTTCTTGGTCGCCGAAGACACGATTTCAGCCTCCTTTTGGGACTCCTTCACAACCACTGCGTTGTCCTCCTGGTCCTCGGTGACCTCATCAGTAAACAAAGCTTGAGCCTTCATGCGGTGACCAGTCTTCTTTCCGCTGGGCACAGTCTTGGACTTGCCCTCCGCATGGTTGCTGCGAGAACTCAGCTGAGCCAGAACTGCCGCCGCATCCACAGCCGAGTCTGTGAGCTCCTCCTGATTGTTCTCTCGGGCCTTCGCGGCCGCGCGAGGCGGCGTCCACTGCAGTTCTTTCAGTGCCAGCAACTGTCTCTCTACCCTCGATAGTCCGGGCTGCTCAGGTGTGTTGGGATTTGACGACTCAGACGACGATGAGATCGATACGACCGGGGACGCCGTGCTTGCCGCTCCATTCCGAACCACACTAGAAGTTCTGCGCTTGGGGGTAGTGACTGCAGCGAGATCGTTCACTGCACTGGGAGAGCTGGCCTTGGCTTGAGGATTATCCATGCTGGGCGTCTTGGATTTTAGGGGCTTCTTCTGCAGTCCGCTCTTGCTCGACTTCCTCTTCTCACTATGAGAGCTTGCCTTCTCAGCCTCAACGCGGCCCCGCTTAATCTTACGACCTGCTTCCTGGGGCTTCGAAGAGGTCTCTTGACAGCCACGCTTGTGCGTCGCCTTCTCGAGCTTTTCGGACCGCTGGAACTTCTCCTTTACCGCATTTTTGTCTTCAACATCGGAGTCGCTGCTGCTGCCACTATCGTCCGAACTGCTTTCCGCGCCACCCAGGTCTCGCATTACGTTACGCAGGTCACTCTTAACCTGTGAGTATTCCCGCTTCTGGTTGTTGCGGTGCAGGAAGGCCTCCAAGCTGCGCACGAGGATCTGGTCCTGATTCGCAGCCACTACCATCCACCTCTCCTTCTCGCTCTCAGGCAGAGGAAGCACGGCAAGGAGCCCGCTGGTGTTCACGCGAGTGAGGTCCGAGAACTGCGCTTGGAAGTCAAGCGACGGGTCCACGAAGAACTGCTCGTAGCCTTCAATGTAGTCCAGGGGAGTCGCGATACCTGTCTCCTTCTTCGGCTGGTGGAAGAACACGCTGCCATCGCTGCACATGCCCACAGTGAAGGGCGAGGCGTCCTGGCCTGCAACCTTGCTGACTGTACGCATATGACGCTGGGCACTCGTGTCCTCCGCACCTCGTCGGCGACTTCCACGGGGGTTCCACGCACGCAGCGAGCTAGCATTTCTTGAGGTAATTGCAGCTTCGCGCTGGGCGCGCTGCTCCTTTGCGGACAACGGCAGGTCCAGGTCCATGCGGCTAGCAGACTGGAGGTCAACAACTGCAAGGGACTCGCTTCCGCCGTACGCGTAGTCTCCGTACACAGCCACAGTGTCGGTGGTCTGCTTGACGTCGGTGTGCGACTTCTTCGTAATTGTCACCGAGTTATCCGACGCGTCGTACTCCTCCTCCAGGTGCCAGATGCGCACGTTCTGGTGCTCCGACTTGGAAATAAACTGATTGGCGATGGTCGGGTGGAACGTAATGAACTCCAGCGAGATGCCATTCGTCTGCTTGTCGAACACGCACTCCCAGCTCCACTCATAGCCCTCGTTCTCCGTCTTCTTCTGGTAGAACCGCCACATGTGCACGTTCTTAATGCCGATACCGCAGAGCAACCGGTACTCGGTCTTCTTGCTCCCCTTGAGGTACAGGCTCTTCGCTGCAGCAAAACCCTTCAGCTTGGCATCGGAGTAAGTGTGCGAGACCACTTTGGCACTCGGCAAGCCAAACACACCAGTCTCATCGTCATCCGCGTCACTGTCATCGCTGTCACCACTGGTCAGCAGCGAGGACGAGGCGCTGCTCGACTGCTGCAGGTCCGTAGACGACGGCAGCGTGATGCTATCCACCTCAAACGCACGAATGTCCGTCGAACCACGGTACACACCTGCAAAGATGAACTTGCCGTCCTCCGGGATGGCCACCGTCACCATAATCTGCGTGTACATGCCGCGTGGCATGATCTGGTCCAGCAGCACTCCCCTCCTGAACACCAACGAGTCCTTGGTCAGCGGGTAGAGGTACACCATGCCGTTGTAGAAGCCCACCACCAGGAATTTGCCGTTCGGGGCCACAGCCACGGACGACACAGTGGACGACACCGAAAACTGGTACTCCAGTCCCACGGGCGCCATGCCGGAGCACGTGCTCGTAGTCGAGAGCGCGGGGCTCTGCGCCAGGGCCTCCCGCACCACGCGCATGTTGCCGATAGTGGCCGCGTCGAACGTCACCTCCGCCTCGTCACTGGAGTATCCCTCCTCTTCCGAGCTGGAGGAAGAGGACGAAGACGAGGAGCTGCTGCTGACGGGCTGCTGCTCTTTCACCGTCTTCTTGTCGCTGCTCTGCGTCTTGACGGGCGTGGGGAACTCCAGCTTCCTCGTCGGGTCGTGGCTGAGCGTGGACGACGCGCCGCTGGCCTTGAGCTTCTCTGCGTTCCTCCGGTTCGAGATGTCCTCGAGCACGCGCGCGGACTTGGAGAGCCCCACGCGGTGCTGGGCTGAAGAGGAGGAGGAGGAACCTGTTGCCTTCTTGGGGGGCTTCAGCCCGCTCTCCTTCTGGCTGCTGTTGGTGCTGCTGGGCGTGAGCTTGAGCTTCTTGGGCTTCTTGTCCAGCGTCTTGTGGTGCGCCGCGGGCGTGGAGAGCCCCTGGTGGGCGCCCAGCGGCCGCTTCATGGCCTTGAGCTTGCGCGCCGGCTGGCCGCCCAGTGTGAGTTTGCTGTGCGGCTTCTGGGTGGCGGACGCGGGCGCCGGCGACAGGAACGAGGGTGACGCGAAGCTCTGTGATTGGTCCTTGCTGTGGCCTGCTGCGCTGCTGCCTTTGGCCGGCGTGGAGGCCGCAATGAGGGCGGCCAGCCCGCTGCTGGATAATGCCTTGCCGCTCATGGCGATTGCTCGGGCTGTAGGGACGCGCGCGGCCTCGAAGAGGTCGGGTTGTGGGCGCGAGACGCTGCGGCCGATGCTGAGGCGGACGCGAGTGCACACGCGTGGTTGCGGGTCGATAGGGAGGCGCGCGTCCACGAGAGATCCGGTCGGCGGCTTGTTGCGGAATGGCGCGTTCGAATGGGAGCGGGCGATTTGCGCGCGAAGTCGGCTGCCGTTCGCGCCAAACGCCGGTGGATATTTACATGAGACTCTCTCAAACCCATAATCTGGTACAAGTGCATGTTCACTGGATACTTAGTAAAGGGAGGATATATATCGGAATAAATGGTACGCGGTACCCCATGATGTGGTCCACAGCGGTATCTGATATGGCAGTCTGGGATTGGCTCATTACATGCTCCTAATAGAGCGCCCCTAGCGCCGCCAATGGGTGGCGCCATTGAGACCAAGAAGCTCTACCTTACCTCTAGTGAAGCCATGGCCGACAGTCGGTCGCCCGTGCTGGAGCCCGGCGCCGACCTCAAGCACCTCGGTACGGCGTCTGCATTGCTCCCTCCCCCTGCCCCCTCTAACGCTATCAATGCACTGCAGAGTCCATGCTGGACGACAGGAACCAGAAGAAGCGCGGCAAGAAGTCCGACGAGCCGTACCAGTGCGTTCACGTTAGCATACTGCAGTAGTAATACCATCGGTAGTATACTAACCCAGTAGCTGCTACTACTATGCACTTAGGGGCAAGCTGGAGGGCTGGTCTCCAGCCAACCACCACGGGGACGACGCTGTTCCGCCCATGGAGAAGCTCAGTCTGGGTCCTGCAGCTGACGCTGATGGCGCCAAGCCCCAGGAAACCGCCGCCGGTGCTGACGACAACAAGAAGCTCTCCAAGGCGGAGAGGAAGAAGCTGGCGGCCGAGGCCTTCGCCAAGGCCGGCGGCGTCCCCAAGCGCGAGAAGCTCAGCAAGGCCGAGCGCCGCGCACAGCAGGAGGCTAGCAGGCAGAAGAAGGAGGCTGGAGGAGCTAAGCCCAAGAAGTCGGACGCCACTGGGCCCACGGCGCCCATGCCCACCAATGCGAGGCTCCAGTACGACGACGCCAAGAAGATGGCGCGTCGCTCCAAGGCGGCGGTCGTGGTGCGCACGCAGGCGCAGAAGCAGGTCGAGATGTTCTCGCACTTGCCGCAGTACGAGCGCGAGAGCTCGCTGTCGTTGAACGTGGGCTTCTCCAACAAGGAGGAGGTACACGCGGCTGTGCTGGCGCTCGGGTTGAAGTACGCGGAAAGCAAGATCTCCGGCGGCAATGCTCGCTGTATTGCTATGATCACGGCTTTCAAGGAGGTGATCGACGACTACGTGACTCCTCCCGACAAACAGCTCCGTCGCGACTTGGACAAGCGTCTTCGCCCGCTGATCCAGTACCTGATCGACTGCAGGCCGCACGGCATTGGAATGGGCAACGCTATCCGTCGTCTGAGACGTGTCATCGGCTCCACGCCGCCTGAGCTCAGTGAGGAGGAAGCGAAGCGCCGCATTCGCGAGGAGATGGACGACTACGTGCAGAGCCGCATTCTGCTGGCCTCGCGCGCTGTGGTCAAGAACGCCCAGTCGAAGATCAGCGCTGGCGATGTTATCCTTACTTACGCGCGTGCCAATGTTGTGGAGGAGCTGCTCTTGGAGACTGCTAAGACCTCGCCGGAGATTGCCGCTACCCTGCGTGTGATTGTCGTGGACTCCCGCCCGCACTACGAAGGTCGCAAGATGGTTAGTGTGCTGGCTGGTGCCGGTCTTCAGTGCTCGTACCTGCAGATCAACGCGCTGTCGTACATCATGCGCGAGGTGACCAAGGTCTTCCTCGGTGCCGCTGCGTTTATGAGCAATGGTGTGGCTGTGGCTCGTGTGGGTACGGCTCTAGTGGCAATGACCGCGCACGAAGCCAACGTGCCCGTGCTCTTCTGTTGCGAAACGTACAAGTTCTCGGACCGTGTGCAGCTGGATGCTATCACGCACAACGAGCTGGGCGATCCGGATGAGCTGGTGTCTTCATACTGCACCGACAAGTCGCGCTCGCGGCGTCGGACTGGAGGCGGCGCGTCTGGCAACGCCTCAGCTGGCAGCTCGAGCGGCCACGTGCTTTCGGACTGGCGCGATCTGGCCGACCTCAAGCTTCTCAACTTAGTGTACGACGTGACCCCGATCGAGTACGTATCCTTGGTGGTCACGGAGCTGGGCATGATCCCGCCCACCTCCATCCCCGCTGTGCTGCGTGAGTACTCCCGCGATGGCCTCGCGGACGGCGCGCTCTAGGAACGTAGCGTTAGTCAAGTGAGCCCAGTCTCGGGAAATAGCAAACGCAAAGCCTTTGATTTTTGCCAACGTAAGATTCTGTTTATTGCTGCGCACCGCGCTCAATGCTCTTCTGCTTCTTTCGCTCCTCGCGCTCCTGCTGAGCTTTGTGGCTAGCTGCCGCCTCGACGTCGCCCTCCTCTTCGTCATCCTGCGTCATGAGCTGCGTGCACACCTCCATGAGGTTCGGCTGCCGAAGCTCGCGGAAGCGCAGCGACAGCATGTCGATGGCGGTCAGAATCTCCATCGGGGTCTCGTCAGGAGCTACGGCATCTTCGGTGGAGCTCGACAGGACCGCCATCTTCGGGTATCGCTGGCTGAAGTGCGTCAGCAGTAGATGGCGGGCCTTGGCTTGGCGGCCGACCTCAATTGCCTCGGCCATGGTGCAGTGTGCCTTGTCCTTGGCTTCCTTGGTCAGATCGTCCTCAAAGGTGGCTTCATGTACAATCAGGAACGCCCCCTTCGCCTTCTCCGCGAGTTTATCGCTCGGTCGGCAATCACCAGAGAACGCCAGCTTGGCACCGTCCACGAAAGTCACGACAGCAGCGTACGACTGGTGCGCATGCTTCACTGGGACGCACTCGATCTCCGAGATATTCAGCGATTCCCGCAGCCACGCACGAACACGAGCAGCCTCCGCATGCGTCTCGACCTCCCCAGAGCGCGAGTCGTTCTCGTCGAAGCAGTAGTTCTCTACAAAAGAGTACTTGCCGCGCACCGTGGGGTCCTGGGCTGCGTACTCGTCCAGCCAAAACCGCAGAGCTGTAGGACCGATCACAAGCAGCGGCTCGGTGTCAGCATCATTAGCACGATGGCTCAGCAGCCGAAGCAGACCCAAGTGGTGGTCGGCGTGGTTGTGCGAGATCCAGACGCACTTCAGGCGATCTACCAGCTCTTGCAACCGTTTTGCATCGCCACCTGCGTAGCGGTACATCTGCCCCAGAGTGCCTTCACCGCAGTCCAGCATCATACCCGCCCAGGTATCGCTGCTCGGAGTTGGCAACTCAAGGTACATACCAGTGACGTTGCGATACTTGGACGGGATCGCACAACCCGTACCAAGGAACGTGATACGGCCGTCGATGAGGTCCTCATCCGGGTTCTTCGCATCAGGGTCCTTAGTAGTTTTAGCGACGATTTCAGCAGCTGAGCTCACACTTTCACAGATCTGGTTGAAATCTAAGCACGGCCAGCAAGACGACGCATCAAAGCCACGGCGAGCCTGAGGGGCCAGGATAAACTTCAGCATGCTCTCGCCCAGAACCAGTTTCGATGCCTCTGGCTCAAGGTTTTCCTTCGCTTCACTCTCGGCAATAGCATCAGGGGTGAATCCCAGAGAAGAAGCGTCAGGAACCTCACGCGAGAATGGTTCAGCAGTGTCACGCAGCTCATGCACTTCGTTAGATGGGAAAGCGCGGGGGAATACTGCTTGCAATTGCGCCTGTAGCTTCGCCGAAGCACGATACACTGTCTTTTGAGCACAAGCATTGTGTCCCAGCAGCACGTGACGCGCGTGGGCACCAAAGCTCCTCGTCCATTCGGCGTATTTCGCGTGGCGCAACACGTCCATTCCTCCGAGATGAAACACCACCTCCACCTGCACCTCAGGAGCCTTGCCCTCTACTTCCCTGTATCGGTTGAAGCCTTCACTGCTCACCAACGCGTCCACATGCGCCGTCGTTGGGCAGCTAACAATCACGCAGCCAGCGGCAGGTACCGACGGCAGCACACAGTCGCTGGACTTGACCACGCGTCCATCCGGCAGCGTCACGTCCTTGCCTTGGTGCAGCTGGCCAAACAATTTGCCCTTCGGGACACCCAGCGCCACCGCACGGTCCACCAGGAATTTACCCCGCTGCGTTCTCGTCTCCACAACGTAGCTCGCACTCACATGACTGTTGTGCTCTTCCCCCTCCGAAGGTCCGGAAGACAGCGACGGACTTTCGTTCAGCTTCCGTTTGGCGCCGGCTCGGGGCTTGGGCACTGCCACCGCGTGCACCACCACCTCGTCGTCTTCATAGCAGCCCTTGGTCTTCTTCTTCTTGCCATCAGATGCACTTGACAGCACCTCCGACGCCTCCAGTTTAAAGTCCGGACGGTACAGGAAGTGGCGCGTAGCTTTCAGGTACTTCTTGGTGCCCACGGGTCCGTGGACGTGCAACCCGGGCTTGCCCGTGTCCGACACAGTCAGCACCATGCCCGGGAGGCCGCCCACCGCGTGGGTGCGAAGTTCGGTCAGAAACACTTGCTGCAGCTTGGCCAGTCGCACGTGGTGCTCCATGCACAGGCGCTGGGTGCCATCGCCGACGTTGAACAGGAAGCTGCGCGAGAACGACGCAAAGGTTAGAGGAACGGCATTGCGAGCAGGTGCAGAGACGTCTTGGCTGCCCTACCGACGAGTTTCCGTGGAGAGGAGGAGGCTGGGCGCAGTCTCGACGGACTGCACGCTAAGGACCTGCACGTGCACGACCATATTGTCTGGTGGTGGATGGTGTCGTGGTGCATTGGATACTTTCGCGGGGTGGATACTTTCACAAGGTGAATAGTGGATACTTGTAGGAGATCATATAAAAACAATTGTGAATTTTCGGATTTCAAAACATTTGAGAAGAATGTAAATAGGTCGGTCGTTGAAGTTCAAGTGAGTTTTGCAGTTCGACGTAGCACGCTTCGCGCGCGAGGTCTCTCAGCACCAGAGCTGTCGACGTCGAGGGTTTTGACCTTGACCCGACGTCTTTTTCTGTCGACGTCCGTGGGTGTCAGCCGACGTCGAGCCGACACTATGCCGACATCCTCCGCTCGACTTTCTGCTGATTGGTCAAAAGGAGTTTTGGTGAAGCCAATGAAATCTCCTGACCTCAGACGTGCCCATTGCCTCAATCAAACTTGTATCCGCGACTCAAACAAACAGCCAAGGACGATAATAATTTCACTTGGAAGAGCTCCGCTATCGAATGCTGTAGAGTCTACACCTTTGGTCTACACTGTAGACCAGCTAGCAGCGAGTCTGCCTGAACGATGGGATGTCCATGCCCCGGATGAACTACAAAATAAGGGGTGGACGCTGATCTAAGCTGGGTAGCTTGCATGAGACGCCCTAGCAAGTGTTGACTGCGCTCAGACAGCGACTTGAGTGTCAGCGCCAGCCATGTTGTCAAAGGCGTCGTCTCCGGCTGGGCCGAATACACCAGACCATGACGCGCCTTCAATGTTCCATTGTCGTCTGGGAGTTGCGCAACTGCATACATCTCTAGATCCAATTACGAGATTGATTGAGTGGAACACGGGCTCACATGTAGGTCATCGCAAGCATTAACGTCGGCAGTGTTTGTACCCGACCCTATCGCGATCTATAGCGGAGAAGTTGCCCCTCTCAGTTTCACTGAGAACGCGCTTTACTACCAGTCTACATTATGTGTATGTACTCACGTCCCTCAATGAGGCTAATGCAGGGTGCGCCACCTCGCGGTGTCTTAAGGATCCTATTTCGCAATAGTGACATGCTTTTGGATGTCGACTGGGTGTCGGCTCGACGTCCCTCGACGATTTTGGACGTCCGGGCGTTAGCCGGGGCGACGACCCGACGTCGACAGCTCTACACATTGATCAGTGCTGAGTCAGCACTGATCAATGTTCAGTAGCACGCTTCGCGCGCGAGGTCTTAGGTGTACTACGCGAGCAGTACGATCTTGTCACTAATATGGAATTTCTTCTTAGTGAAAGAGCGTCTCACTCATAATTAACATACTCGCCCTATTAAAGTCCGGACTTTATTTTATAGTACAGGCCTAAAAAGCTTGAAATTATCCGATATTATATCAGCTCTAAAAATATATATCTTGGATTTTGTATGTATTTGTACAAACCGTTAACTACCGGTATTTGTTGCGATAGGCTTATATTCGGGAGGGGGCTTATATTCGGGCGAGTACGTTAGGAGTCGGCGAATCGAACGTTAGGTAGCTCACAAATGGTAATGTTGCTATCGCTGTATAATATAGCTATATATTTATTATATTGTAAAATTAAAGCATTAACTTTTGGCTTGCCCTTTCATTGCTCAAACGCTGATGTTTCTCCATCGAGTGCGTAGGGCGGTAGCTCGATAAACCCAATAAGCCACTCCATCTGGTGCCTACACAAAGTTACGTCAGTGTGTATACTTTGTATGTGTATACTTTGTATCGTAAAGAAGCACAACGTAGAGAAGTGAGCTCCCGAGGACATGCGAGATCTCTTTCATCTGCTTCTTAGTATGTACAGTTCAACTCCGTACAAATGTATAACCAATTTTGTCGACTGCTACCAATATCATAGCAGAGCCCCACGAAACATGCCAATACGACGATTACTAGCTTCATATCCGAGGCTTACTACTGCTACTGAAAGAATTGGAATCGGGTTCTGCTTGCTCTGATCGTGCACGTGGTCTACCTTCTTGAACGACAGCTCCCGCGTCTTTGAGACGAAAGCCCGCCCTCACGGTCGAACTCCTGAAAACGCCGCCCGTACATGTGCCAAAGTTTGTCTGCTCCAGGTTGGACACCTCTTGGCGCACGTACAGCCCCGCGTAGCACGCGTCAGCCGCCAGCGTAGGCTTGATGAGGCGCACGCGAAATCCCGCTGCAGGTTGTGACTGTGGTTGGCTACGTGCTTCAGGCGGAGCTGGTACCGCCACACGCCGAGCGACGCTGCTGCTACATAGCGTGATAGGGCCATGAGGGCAGCGTGGAGCTTGAAGCAATGGCCACGCACCATTCGACGCTGGGTAGACCTAGGCTAGCTCGCTGGCATTAGTATAGAGTTTGATCGTGGCCGGCGGTGAAAACTGCACAGACCGCTCTGCACAACAACAACAGCAACAACAACGGCACAATGCGCAACACGTCAGTACAGTCGGTGTATATCGGGCCCGCAGTGGCTGAGAATGAGCTGCTACTGAACCGGCAGTGATATTCCGTACGAATACTACGCACCTCAAAGGCCGATGGCAGTGACTACGGGTGCAGACGGGCGTCTGGGGGTACGAGAGGTTGCTGACACGTCGATAAGCACCAAGCGACCCATCCGCGACAGTCGAAGCGCTCTTGCAGCTCGGTTGGAGGCAGACTTGGCTACGACTCGCAGCTGGGTCGACGTGTAGCCGCGCGATACATGATCTCAATTGCAGCACTTCCTGGACACCATCAAGCAAGCCACGTGCGACCCTGCTGACGATGAGTTAATACCGATATATCTTATGAAAGTATATATTATGCGTCAACTATCCATCATTTCTTTTCTATTTCTATCGTTTCTAATTGGATAGTAAAACGAAGTCGGGTGCCGGCACCTCATGCCCCATATTATGTGATTGACTCTCATTGGTGTAAAAGCAAGCACCTTATCTGCATAAATAGCTCTGCGACTACCGTCTTACCCCGCATAAAGCGCCTAGATGTAGTAATCTGGTGCCAAAACCCCAACATGTAAACCCCAATTATAACGCAGAGTCTAATACAAGGACGCCCTCGATGAAAGGGTTTGGTAGCATTAACTCACAACCAATGCCTATACATTTACCCTAATGTAAAGTAATGCTCACCTACAAACCAACCATTCCTGATACCAGCAACGCTTGCTTGCTCCAACGCCCTCACTTTTCAACTCACTCTCCGAAGCAACACTACTACCAGCTCAAGCACTCAGCCCACCATGCCAAGCTCGCGTCGCAGCTACAGCATCACAGAAAAGCTGTCCATTCTGGCTGAATACGAAGCCAGTGTCGAGGGAAGCGGGTTTCACGCAGTTGGTCTACGCCACGGCGTCGCTGCCAGCACCATTCGAGGGTGGTGGCAGCATCGAGAGAAACTGAGGGCTGCGTCGCGCGACCGACAAGTCGCGACTCGCACGGCACGACGGCTCACCGGAGGTGGCAGAAGACCTGCCAACAGCGAGCTTGAGGCACGGCTGTATGAGTGGGTCATTAGCCGAAACCGAAAAGGCCTGCGGGTGAAGGACTCGTACATCCGCCTTCAAGCACGCAACATCCACCGCCAGCTACATGGTGAAGACGCTGTCGGGTTTGAGGCGTCCTCCGGATGGCTTGCTCGGTTCAAGGCTCGTCGAAACCTGGTATCGCGCCGCCAGACCACGTCGCGCTCGTTGCCTGCTGACGCACCGGACGTTTGCCGCCTGTTCATTCGGAGTGTCCATCATCTGATTGCCAAGCACGGCATCCAGCCCAAGAACATCATTAACATGGATCAGGTACCTCGGTACTTCGAGACCGAGCCCAAGACAACGATAACTACGCGAGGTTCGCGTGAAGTCCTGCTGCGCAAAGGCGGATCCAGTCACAAGCGGTTCACCGCAACGTTTGCGATCACGGCGGAAGGGGAGTTTCTGAAGCCTCATCTACATTTCTCGAAGCTGAAAAACAAGCCGAAGTGCCCTCCCGGCGTCCTGGTAGATGTGAACCGGACGGGGATGTGGAATGATGACCTGCTTCTCGCTCATGCCGAGGCTGTCATCTGTTCGCGCAAGGAAACACAGCTCTATCGTGAGCCGGTGCTTTACCTGATCGACTCCTACGGCTGCCACGTCAAGCTGGCAGACTCCAAGCGACTGGAGCGCTACAACATTTTTGTTGTGCTGGTCCCACCCAACCTCACCAACGTGCTGCAGCCACTTGATGTTGCTGTTAACCGCAGCTATCAAGAATACAACCGCTCAAAGTATGACGCGTATATCAGCGAAGCTCTCCGTGACCCCATGCTGCAGACGAAAGCTGGAAACACAAAGGTCCCGCGATACGACGCGGTGGCGCAGTGACCCTTGATTGGGTTGCCTCGAAGGACCCCGCGGAGGTGAAGAAGGCGTTCGGCCTGTGTGGAATAGTGGCGAAGGAACGCTTCAGCATGGATCGGCTGCACGCTCCGCTGAAAGCCATACTCAGCTCCGACTTCAACATGCATACATGGCACACAGCCTACCAGCACCTGGTGAACGACGACTCAGAGCGTGAACTGGTACGTGTGTCTGACCCGGACTGGTACATTCCAGACAACGAGAGGAGCAGTCTGTTCTGCTGCCTGTCTTTCGGTCTCGATATGTCCGTGCTCGAGTACGCCGAAGCGCTTACGACCTACATGGCTACCCTCGTGGACTTGACCGGACTGCTGGACGACGAGTACCTGGTCTCTGTAAGGAAAGGACTGATGGCCCCGGGTGAGCTCGAGAACTACGCGGCGTCGAAAATGCACGGGTGGAACATCACCCTCAAGACTGTTGACGAAGGCAGCCGCCTCACCTCCAGCTTTGTCTATGCTGCGGAGTACGCTACCAAGGATGTTGTGCTTGTGCGCGGCGGTGGGTATTTCGCTGTTGAGATTGACGGATGCCTGTTGTAGGTAGACACAGAGCTAAATCAATACTGCATTGATTCATACAAAAAGACATGTTAGTTTCTGATTATTGTGGGCGATTGAAATTGACAAGCGTTGGACATACCTTTCTGTGCGGGGAATTAACGATTGACTCGCGACATACCCTCTTCCCATAACGGGCCCTCAATTGACACGAACCGGGATCGAACTATGGACCTGCGGTTTGCCAATCCATGCTTGTACCGGTTGAGCCGTCAGCACATTGCAATTTCGCACGACTCCAGTCATATTTATCGCCTCAAAACTATGTTTGGTGCCATTGAGGTGGCCCGTCTTCAAGGTTGTAGGATTTGTTCGTAGCATACCGCCTAGGCGGTTTAAACGAATATTACGCTCACTGGGTGCTATATTTTATTTGTGCGCCTATGCGCACTATGCGGGGTAAGACGGTAGTCGTTGGTATACAAATCGACACTTAATCGCACACAATAACGTACCATTGAGCTGCGATCAAGTTTTGGGTTAGCACCGGTTTACACCGGCTTAGACTGTTGCCTAGCATTTCTTTTCTTAGCCATTAACTTAAGCCGGGCAATTACCGTGACTTTTCACCAAGGTACACGAAGTAAATGGCTTCGTTTGTATACTTGAACGATGAAGTTGGGACCTACGTTTGAGCTTTTCAAAAATCTAAAAGTGTCCCATGTGAGTTCAGAGCATAATGAAACGCAGTCAAGGCCCCTGCACCGGCTGCGCCACACCTCTCTGCTTGCACTTGAGCCCCCGTTTTTCAGAAATACCGAGCGGTAGTCGTTTCTAAGTTCGGTACTTCAACGTCAGATGCTGAGAGATTGCTGTCCGCTGCATTGCATTCAAGATATATCCCATTTTCATCTTCGTCTTCATGTACTCTGGATTTCTAATTGCTTGTCGGTGCTAGATACTTGGAACCCATTTGGTAGTAAGTTGCTGGCAGCAACATGCCCTGTCGAGAATGGGCCAGCAGAGCAACCGTTGGTGTCGCTCAACCTGAACGGTTCGAGTGAGGAGGTCTGAAGCGCGAGCACTCTACCATCATCGGAATTATCTCCAGGAAGGTTGTTGGTGATGCTCATCGAATCTAAGGTTGTTTCTCTACTGGGTTGCAGCTTTCCTTAGGCGTGCTCGCTGATGTCTATCCAGTTGATAGTGGCTTCGTCGACCTTATTAGTTGAAAGCCCAATCCTTGTTTATTAAATTACTAACGTATAACCTATCGGTCGCTGCAAGCGACTGATGCCTGGTCTTAATTGAATTGACGTCGTGGTGCGATTTCTCGGTCAGGTTTCCAGTGATCAGTTTGCGGTTCCTTCTACAACTTGCTACAAAAGCAGCAACTCCACCCGAACCTGACGAAGACGCTGAAAATGATCCAGAACCTGAACTGCGCCGCCGTGTATGGAGGACAACTCGTCCACGTGAAGCTTCCGAGACACGCGCATGTGGAAGACGTCAAACGCGCTATCTTCACGCAGCTCAACTGCGAACAAGGTGCCGACATTGCGCTCTTCCTTGCGAGGGATAGTTGTGGCACCTGGTTGACGGAGGAGCATCCAGAGTATCAACAACTCAAATACGGAAACCACGTGATCCCGCACCGCATCGAGACCATGACGAGCAACTACATGTGCGACGACACATCTCTCAGCACCATCCCGTTCCCGAAGCGCGGACGCGGGTACATTGACGTACTCTTTGAAGTCTCTGGGTACGGCCCGATCCAGCCGCGCTACAAAAGTACGTATATTTTCAGTTAGTTTGTTTGTTAGTTGATGCCGCTTCCAGTCGCTAATTCTACTTGTTTGTTGACAGCGGAAGATAAGCACTGCGGCCCCGCCAGTTGTGCCGTCTTCTTGTGCGCTGGGCTGGCGACCGCTGCAATCATCCCGCACTTACCCTTCGTTGCCGCGGTAATTGCTGATAACGGGCGTGGTGACGGAGGGCGCCCTGATCCTCTCCGATCCGCTTTTAGTTGACTGCGTTTGTTGCGGTGAAACCAAACCATGTGTGTCTAGGATGACAAACTTCTGCGCACCATTGGTCTTCTCATTCCTGCCAGACTTGGTCAATAATATATAAATTTACCTTGCTTGTTTCGAAGACGCGTGCATTAGTTGGGGTGTTTGGCAAAGTGCACTTACAACGCCGTCGCATCATTTGTGATCGAGTATACCTAGCTCTCTTGGCTCTCCGTCCAGAGAGGTTAGGACGGAATTTCCACTACGTCGAAGTACTTGACAACCACACCGCAATACTAGCTGAAAGCCTCAACACAGCGGAACCATTTTGCTAAATGCAGCCTCCATTGCCTGCTCTATCTCTTGAGGCGCTTGAATGTATTGAGATCCATTGAGAAGGAGAAGTGCCAGGGCTTCCGGCTGAAGCTCATACATGACGAAGTTCATCATTGATGAACAGCTCAGCAGTGGCGACGCTCAAATATGTGTACAGGATTCATGCCGTGCGTGTAGTATTATAGTTAGTTGAGATGTTTGGCAAAAGTATACTGACAACGACGGCGCATCATTTGTGACCGAGTAGCTTGCTGGGTGTACCTCGCTCTCTTCGTAGCAAGTCGGTCCTTGGTACCTGGACGCAGCACGAGCCCCCGCGTAGCATTCACAATCACCGTCACGTCCTCCGCCTGTGAGTCGTCTTGGGCGTCTGGCGGGGAACGTTCCTCTTCTTCACTGTCTTCCTCTCGATTGTTGCTAAAACTTCCGTGCCGAGGGCATTGGGGACTAAATCCTTGCGCGTCGCCGTCGTAGCTGTTGCCTTCTAGACCGTCGTTGCAAGTACATCGAGGCTTGGTTTTGTCCGTGCGGAACAGAGGCGAAGGCGCTGTGGCAGCTCGATCTCCGTGGGATTCTAGATGCTCCACGAATCGTGGACACACGCCTGCGTCGTCCTCTTCTCCATCGCCATCTCGCTCTCGACGTGGTCTTTTGGATGTCAACGCTGTGAATATTGAGCGTGGGGAGCCTCCAGCTACCGTCCGACCCTCAACACCGTCCTCCAGGAGCGTGATAGGGGGCTTCACTGCATCGTGAAGCATCCACTGGGGCTCACTCGATGGCACTTGGACGGGGAGAATCATCGGAGTAGCCGATCCGAGTGTGACTGGAGCACTCGCCGTCTTGCTGAGACCTTTGTAGCTGTTGATCGACGAGCCACCAAGCACCAATTCATGATATTCCATCGGTAGCGTCGTGAGCTCCGATACACACGAAGGCGGCTCTGGAGGAACCATGGACGACGACACACTGAGTGTGGGGGGATCTTGATCGACGTCCTCTTGCTTAGAACAACCTCCCGGTGCGGCGGTAGGAGAGACTGGCGCCGTCACCGCTGGAATGATCAAAGTCTCTCTCGGAGTTACTCGCTGTTGTGTTACATCGGAGGGAGGCACGGCTCTGGTGAGGTCGTCTTGGTCGGGTTCGTGGTCGAATTCTGCGTCCCAGGGCGATACTGTGAAGTCGTTGTAGCCGTCATCGGAAGTCTGCTTTCGTGCCTTCTTTGTGGTCGATTTACTTGAGCTGAGTCTTGTGGAAGATCTGGATTCCTTACCAGGCAGTGGGAACCACAGAGGCGTAGCTCCCTGTTGCAGCGAGCGATCGAACGTATTACTGCGAGACCCTGCTACGCTCCACTGCGTGCGAGCTATGATCTCGGCCTGTAAGCTGCCTGTCAAGTATCCCGTCGTCTTGTAGCTGTCCGAGAAGTCTGGACCTAAGGCTTCCCGGCCGGCACTGCGTTGCCCTTGTCGACGCGTTTTGCCACTACGCGCTCGGCTCAGGCTTCGATTCCCAGCGTTGGTCATCACAGGCGGCAGCAATCGCTTGGCAGGCGATGCGTTCTCGTCGAAAGTGTAGAATGGCAGCGAAGGGTTCACTGGCAGCATGTCTGCTTTGTTTCGTAGTCGAGAAGCGGATCCTCCGACGTTCCTGAGCTCATTACCTGGCGTGTCGAAGCCCATCCCAGAGACGTATTCTCGCGGTCTGTCCGCCTCCGATTGAGTATCGTTCGAGCGTGACTTTGCCGCCAATTCCTCTTCTTCTGTAGCAAAGCTGTACAGGTTAGCTGCTTTGTCAGTGGTTTCCTGGTTGTCGGAGGAAGGTTGTGAAGGTTTTGCCGACCCCACCCCAAGCGCTGCTAGTCGTTTGCTGTTGCCTTTTGCTTGCGCTGTCCCGTCGAAAACGATCCCTGCAGTCTTCTTGTCGCCCTTGTGCTTTGAGGATGACAGCGCCGACTTTCGAATCCCTCCAGCGCCAACTCGGGAAGCATCGAGGTCCCCCAAAGTACCAGACGTGACTCCGTTCGTTGTTGGTAAGTGAGGCGCTGAGTTTGTTAAAACGCCATGGAGACCTCCTGCTCGAAGACCAGGCGTGCCTCCTTGGGTGTGACCCGCTTTGGGTGCTCCGAGTGCTGCAGTGAAGAGTTTAGCCTGCCGCTGCTGCTTTTGTTGTTGCGGGCGTGACGTTATGGGTCGACCGATGTTGAGCGACACACTGCTGTCGTTGCTGCTATTCGAGAGCATACTGCCGGCCGGAGCGTCTTCGACAATGACCGGGGTCCGCGGCTGCGCTGGTCTCAACCGATGCATGGCCACGAAGGCATTCACGGCTCCATCGTCTTCAAGATTCGATGCCCCAAACTCCCGTACACTGGTCAAGGGCGTCCTATTCTTCGCCGATGTCGTCCGAGACTTCGCGCTCGACCCTCTCAGTCCTGTCGGCGTATTCTGCTCTGCCTCCTTGTCGTTGCCGGACAGCCCAGCGAAGCCCCCCAACCCTCCGAGACCAAAGTCTCCCAGCATGATGATACTCGCACGACGCTCTCGAGACCGCGGTCGGTCTTCCGGAACAGGCTCTGGGGCGGAGTTGACGACTTGAGGCGGTGGCGGCGTCTTGGCTCGAAACGTTTGCAGCACTTTGGTCGCGATGAAGCCCATCGAGTGGGTCGGGGTCACTGGAGGCGGCAACTGCACCGGCATGTTAGCTTCCTCCTCCTCCTCCTCTTCGTCGTCTTCTCCATCGTCACCGCTCGAAAGATCTACTTCATCGTCAACCACCTCCAACGGAGCGAGCTCTTCATCCGAAGAAGACGAAGATTCATCCTCGTTGTCGATGGCCTTGATCTGCGTGAGTGGCCGTAGCAATCGTCTGTCGTCGCTGTTGGGGTCATGCTTTGCTCGTCGCGCAGTGCTGACCCTCAAGACCAACCTCCGCAGGAACGCGATGTACTCGTCCACGTCGATCGTCTCGCACCAGAGATCAGCCAGCTCGAAGACGCTATCGAAGAAGTTGGCGAAGGCCATGGTGGGTTCCCCTTTGCTGTCGCGCATCCAGTCCTCTCGAATTGTCTTCTCCATCCATCGGAGTCGGCGCTTAGTGGCGTCAGGCTCCAGACACCGCCCAATGCGACGGAAGAGCGAAGCGTAGCCGCTCTGGTCGATACACCCCATCTCGTCACGCGGGAGCTCCACGGTCCAGAGCTGCTTGACTGCATCGATAACGTCCGGGTGGTTGCGTAGACTAAACCGTAGCGCCAAAGCCTCGGGCGTGTAGTTGATGAGCTCTTGAGCGTCGTGCTCAGTCCTTGCTCGACTGTACAGATCTTCGGTTAGCAGCACTGGGCCATCTTCCCAATTCTTGAGCAACCCGCGAGCTTTAAGCAAAGCCTCCTCTTGCAAGTGCTGGTACTTTTGCCGCTTGAGGGTCTGCAGCCGAGCGGCTTTGATGGTGAAGTTGAGCTTGAGCCAGAGCACACTCGAGGAGCTTGAGTTCCTCTGCTTCCAGCTGCTTTGACGGCGGAAAGTTGGCTCCGTCGCTGCAGCAGGAGCTCCGCGACGTCCAGCAGACTTCTTGGGCCTCTTCTTCTCCATGTTGTCGACGCACGAAGTCAAGACGATATGGGGCCCTACTACGGCAGCGGCAACACGTTTGATGTGTAGTGTTCGCCAGCATTCCGCTATAAATATTGAGGACAAACTGCAGGGTGAAAATGGCGTAAGAAGGTGATGAACTTGCGTATTATTTGCAGACTTTTCCTGCTACATGGTTAAGAATTCGAGAAGTGGCTACCGTCATGTCATGTATGTGCAACGAAGGCTTGTCCAGCTTCCGAGTTTCTACTGGACGAAGGAGAACGCGCTGAGTCGCCCGCTGTCCAGTCTCGAGCTCGAAGTGGTGATCGAGGATTGTCGCGTCATTCCTCCACTTTGCCCTGCACCACCACCATAAATCCACGAGTTTCTAGCGGCCGCAGTCTGCTGGATCTTCTGGTAGGGCATGAGGTTGTCATCGTCTTCGTGATCGGACTTCGTCACGCTGTTGCGGCGTCTCCACGAAGCCTGGACGGCCTGCGAGACCTTCGGACTCATGACCAACGACGGTCTGGCGCTGTGAACACGCAGTGAGGTGCCCTTGGACATGATGGGCTCCGGCTTGAACACCTTGTTCACCGCCAGTTTACCCGGCGACATCGTGAGCTTGGACGGCTGCGGCTGGATCGGAGGGGCTGGCTTGTTGGCGTTCTTCTTCGGCTTGTTACCGAGCTGCACGTGGCGCACGTGAGGCTTCGTCATCGGACTTTCCTTGGGAACAAAGGCTGGGTTCGCGCCATTCGAGCGGATCAACGACAGCAGCTTGCGCGCGCCCTCACGGACCACCGGCTTGTAATTGCCAGTACGAAGGGCTTCGAGCTGCTTCAATAGGCCTTGGTCGGCGAGGAAGGCCGGAATGTATCGCGCCGCAAACGGTTTGATCTCAGCCAGCATCTGCATCAAGACGATCGCCTTGGCGCGCACTTGCCACGAGTGCTGTGCGTCGTCGTCCTGCAGTCGCGCGGCAAAAGCCGCACTCACATTTGCCGCGTCCAGCCGAGGAATCTGTGCAAGTAGCCGCCGCACACTTTCAGCGTCGGGGATGCCCTGGATACCTCCGGGTGGCGTGCACACAGCCACGAGCTTGGACTCGTATCCGCACAGCTTCACTGCGGCTTGAGCACAGTCAAAACTACAATGAAACCCGTCAGTATCCAACTCTTCAGAATACATGAGGGCAAGCTGCACTCACTTTTCGAGCTCGGCATCGGGTGTAAGGCCCACCCACGCCTTGCGAACCGACTTGGGGATGGGCTTAATGACCTGGCTTTCGTCTGGGCCATCGCGCGTGTCGTACTCCTCCTCGTTCTCGAGCAGCGCGCAGCGCTTGTCCGGCGAGAAGTCCTGGTAGTCCCAGTCCTCGCTGAAGGCACAAACCCCGAATCGTTAGCCATTCTGCCATGTAGGATGATGGACTGGAGATCACCAGATGCAACTCACATGGCCTGCTCCACCTGGTGCAGGTACTTGCCCTTGAGCTCGTCCAGGAAGTGCATGGCCTCCTCCATTCTGAGATGAGCTTTTGCTGGTGAGTTGTGCGTTGAAGACAGTTGATTCCGAAGTGATCGTCGCCAAGGCACTCAAGTCCATCGAACGTTTCACCACCCCACGCCCAGTACGCGATGGCTCTCGCGCCTCGCCAACTCATTGGCGACGCTGAATCTCCTCCTCCGCCTCTTGTCGGTCACGGACTAGCTAGCTGCCTGCGAGCCGAAATGGATAAGGTCTACGCGATAAATTTGGCTCACCTTGCGAATCCGATATGGCTTCACTGACTCCAACATGGCTACATGACACCCGTCAATGGAAGTAAAATGGCTGCATTAAAACTACCTACGGGCAGCAGACGTGCACGGGTGGAGAGCTCTGTCCTGCTATCACTGCATCGGGCCAAGCTCCTCGCGACTGCACTCCGCCTGGGCGACGACTCGGGCAAGCCAGCGAGCAGCCCGACAACACAAATCTGCCTTGACCTCGTCCGAAGCTAAGGCGTTAAAAGCCCAAAAAACACTCTTGTCCAACCTGTCCGCGATGTCGTCCACCTGTACTGCTGTCTGTCTGCCTGCTTCATTCTCGCCGCACTCGTCCACTAGCCGGCCTCTTACTTCTTAGCATCGAGCTTGAGGTAGTCGTTGTCGAAGTGGTGGAGTCGCACATAACCGTCCTCGGCGCCGGACGCGTAGCTCTTGCCGTTGGGGTGGAAGGCGATGGTGTTGATGGGGCCGAAGTGGCCCTTGACGCGGCCGAACTCCTCCTGGAAGACCATGTGGAAGAAGCGGGCCTCGAACTTGCCGACGCGGCCCGACGTGGTGGTGACGCTCATGGCCTCCTGGCCACCGCCCAGCACGACGTGCTCCTTGATGGGGGATATGGCGGCCGAGTTGACGGGGCGGTCCGTCTCGTACACCTTGAGCACCTTCATGGTCTCGACGTCCAGCAGCTTGGCCGTGTTGTCCTTGGACGACGTGATGGCCAGCGTCTTGGTCTTGTTGAACGCCACGTTCGTGATCTCGCCCGTGTGGATGTCGTGGCTCTCCAGCAGCTCGCCCGTCTGCGGGTCGAAGAGCTTGATGCAGCCGTCGCCGCCCGTGGTCATGATGGCCTCGTTGAGCGGCGTCCAGTAGGCGCCCGTGATGCGGCCCTCGTGGCCGTGGTTGGCGATGGTCAGCACGGGCTCGGCGCTCTGCTGGGCCAGGTCGGCCGCCAGCTCGTACACGAACACGGCCGCGGGCCGGTCCGAGAACTTGTCGGCCACCGACACGAACTTCTTGTCGCCCGTGGCGAAGTTGACGCTGCGGGCCGGGCCCGTGTGCTGGAACGAGAAGAGCTCCTCGCCCGTCTGCACGTCCCAGAGCTTGACCGACGCGTCGGCCGCGGCCGTCAGCAGGCGCTCCGAGTGGTAGCTCACGTCGCAGGCCCACACGGCGCCCGAGTGGCCCACGTACGTGCCGATGCGCTCGCCCGTGTCGCTGTACCAGAGGTTGGGCGTGTGGTCCTTGGCGCACGAGAAGAGCAGGTCGCCCTCGCGGTTGTACTTGATCATGGTCAGCGACCGGGAGTGGCCCTTGAGCAGGATCGGGCGCATGGCTGCAGTCTACGGGGGCGAGCGAGCAGGAGGAGAGGGGCGAAGAGGAAGAGCAGACCCAGCCGCTATCTGTTAGTTCTGGGTGGAGGGCGGCGCCACTGGCCAGGAGCGCCAGTGGTACATGGTACCATGCCCAAAACGTATAATTTGTGATTTGGTCCGATCAAATTTACACAGCGCAGAGCGGACTAAACCCCCCAAAGATGCTGCGCCGGACGAGTGCCTCGCTGCTGCTGCGGCGGCGCTGCGGCCACCACCTCCTGTCCAGCGCCGCCGCTGCTACGCCTTCGTCGCTGTCGCTGTCCCACCTGGCGCACCGGTGCCGCGTGCAGTTCCAGGCCGCGGACGCCGCGCGCACGCACCTGGAGGTCGTCCCCGTGCTGAGCGCCGAGGATTTCTCTCTGCGCGTGTCCTCTGCCAGCGCTGCGGACGTGCAGAGCCTCTTCTCCGTCGAGGAGGGCGCCGACGACAGCTCTGAACCCGTCAGAACGCTGCGCGTGACCAAGAAGAGCGGAGAGGACGCGACTGTGCAGCTGCTGCTGCCCCACACCGTCGACCTCAACGTGGCGGTGGCCAACGGCAGCGTCGCGCTGCGGGACAAGATCGAGGGCGACGTCAAGGTGGTCGTGGGCCGCGGGGACGTCTCCGTCAACAAGCTGCGCGGCAAGGCCGTGAGTCTCAAGACCAACGGCGGCCGCATCCAGGTGACGGCCCTGGTGGAGGGGGAGACCGTGAGGCTCGAGGCCAACGAGAGCGTCAGCTGCAAGAGGCTCATGGCCGGCAGAGCCGACGTGAAGCTGGGCAAGGGCGCGCCGGCCGAGTCGGACTTCGGAGCCATCTACGCGGCCACGTGCAGCGTCGTGTCGACGAACCAGAGCGGGGAGGCCGCGCTGCGTGTGGGCAACGTGCACGGATACCTGCGAGTGTCCAGCGACGGACTCAAGAGCGTGCAGGTGGACAGCGTCACGGGCGCGCTGGAGGTGGAGGACGGCGGGGACAAGTGCGACGTCGTGGCCCACTTCGACTCGTGGACGAACGACGCCAGGAGCAGCATCCTCGTGGGAGGCAACGTGCGGGTCTCGCTGCAGCCTGCTGCGCCCATTGAAGTGGAGCTGCACGGCACCAAGGTCACGGTTGGGGACGGCTGTGAGTTCGCCAGCAGTGAGATGGACCAGCTGGACGAGGACTACGCGGTGTTCACAGGCGAGCTCCGTGCTCAGGAGGGGGCGATGGCTGCTGCGTCGGCGTCCACGGGCAAGATCAACATGGACAGCGCCAAGGACGACGCGATGCGGACGTCCTTCTTCATGAAGGAGGGGGCTGTTGACAGGGACGACGATGCCACGTCGCCCCGGCTGTTCGTCCACGCGCTCAGTGGCGAGGTGACGCTGGACCAGCTCAACTGGATGGACAACATCAAGCGCAAGCACCTCAAGAGATAGAAAGCAATAGGGGCTGCATTAAACGAAATGGGTTCGCCCTTCAGCTACTGCTTGCAGTGTGGTTGTCGTGCAGTGGAAGTTCCCTTCCAAACTCTCTAGAAGGAAGTCTAGTAGTGAGCCGGCCACATTGCATTGTTGAAACGACCGAGCCGTATGACACACATGTCGTCCGCAATAGTAAAACGCAAGTGATCACTCTCGACTTTGCCAGCTCCTGCTCAAGTCTCCAAGCCGAAAGCAACCCATCCAGGATGTCACAAGTCTGGCCTGCTCCAGTGGCCTACGATGTGACCGTGGTCATTCTCACCGAGAAGCACAAGAACGAGGGGCGTCTCAAGAAGCGGCTAGCTTTCGACAGGATACTGCGCACCGTCGTATTCATCGCGGCACTCTTCATATTTGGGGTTGCCGTTCAACTGCTCAGTATCGGATTCGTCGCTCTCCTGACTACCCTCCTCGTGAGTTGTTCAACAAGCTACGTACATGTAAAAGTACTGTCATAATCACCAGAACAGCAGTGCATCGCTCATTGAGTTGCCAAAAAAATATACAAGTACTTCGTTTTGCACTCGTGCTGTGATCATGTTTTTTTTCTTCTCATCATACGCGGTTAACCATGCAACACTCCTACAAAATGAAGATCTGGTATTATAACTTCCGCTCAACCTCCACGATGTTGGGATCAGGAGGCTTTACATGATCAACGATTTCAGCAGTTGTAAAATGTTCGACCGAGTCAAGATCAACAACGAAAGAGAAATCCGATTCTTGTCTAGATCAACACAAAAGGTGTCGGATCTTTCCCAGCGGCCGCTTTGCAGATTGGATTCCTCGTACGCTGTGTCTAGCGCAGACAATTGTGAATAGGCTAAGCAAACAGCCAAGCGTCGACTCCGTCGATGGATTCACATTGCAAGCCCTCGCGAATTGTTTTAGCGTGAACCCATAAAATCGGGGTCCGGTTTTCCTGTGCTTTGCTCCTTCGGTTTTGCTCTCGTTTTCATTCGAGGTTCCGAATGGCGGGACTTCGGCTCGAAAAGCGCTATCGCTTTCCCTCGCTTTCAATTGAAAAGCGGAGTCAGATCACCAACCCCCTCCCGATTTTTCAATCGGGGGGTTGGTCCCCTTCATTTTAACTCGTAACCCGACTGAACGGCACAATAATTGTAAGCTGTTGGGGAAGACTGCGTTTTACTGTACGCATACGAAGTATTTGAGGCGCTGTGCCGAACAATTAATGCCACGGGCGAGCTACGAGCTGTACGACTCTGTCTGCTGTGGGTTTGATTGAAAAATTGCTGCTAAGAGCTTACGCCTCCTTTTAACTGTTGTCACGGCGCGACGAGGACGCGAGTTCCGGTGCTACGACGACGGCAGGTAGGCGACTCAAGGAGCTGGAGCGACTGGGTCGGCGAGTGCGCTGGAAGCTCAGCACGCGCATGGTCACGGCCTCTTGAGCTGGCAAGTCACCCGAAGCATGTCTGCGTGACGGCTCATCCAGCCCGTTGAAGGCGAAGCTACTCCCTGCATCAATCAGCACGCACGAATTAAAGCAAGTCAGTCGCGAAGTTATGCAGGTTTCACCTTCACCTTCGAGTTACTGCGGAACGTACGGGCTTCAGGCTGGGGCAGACTGGCCTTGAACGAGTCGTACAGCGGTAAGCTGTTGGAGCTGCCGGTACGTCGATTGGATGACGGTGGTTGGGCTGTCACGGCGAAAGCTGTGGGCTTGCCGTCCTTACTGCCTTTGCTGTCGCTCTTGTTGTCTTCGTCGATGGACTGCCCCGCTAGAAACAGTCGGTCGATGGAGGGGGAGCTGGACTCGTGCGTTGGGGCCATGGGGGCCACGGAGTCACCGACGCGCTTCGACTTGTTGGAGCGAAATCGCTCGCGCAGAATGTCCTCAGCAGTCGGTCGGAACTGCTGCTGGGCCGCAGTGGCGGTGAAGTCGATGGTCATCGCAGCCACGGGACACAGCAGCAGCAGAGTCCAGTAGCGCTGAATTCGGATCATGTGCGAGGGCACCCCGTACATGTCGTAGCTCATGAAGGTGAAGTGCGGGTAGACCAGCAGGAAGAAGATGAAGAGCCAGATGCTGAACGTCATGACTGCGAAGTGATACTTGTTCCAGTTGAGCGACAGCAGCACGACCTTGAGCTTCATGGTGCCCAGCAGCGCCGTATAGAATAGTGTTCCGAGCACGTACAGCCCCTGCGACGCCAGCAAAGTACCCGCGTAACACCCGAAGAAGCAGATGAGCGCGTGACCGACCGAGTTGATAATAGTGCGAGCGAAGACGCGCATGTTCAGGTCGCTGTCAAACTGCCCGCGTCGATAGAGCTGCGGGAACTTGAGCACCACATCCTCGGGGATGTCCTGGTCGAAGACGCCAATGACGATGATGGGGAGGGCCAGGAAGAAGTTCCAGCCTGCCATCACGAAACTCTCGAAGAGCGGAGCGCCTGACTGTCCATTGAAGAAGTTGAAGACGAAGAGGCTGATCACGAGCGCGATGTTCTTGTAGAACGAGTAGCGGATGACTTTGCACACGCGTTTGTAGTTGCATCGCCCGTGTAGCAGCACCAGTCTCGTCAAGAACCGAAATTGAGCCACGGCGTAGTCGCTGGCGTTCACAGCCTGCACTCCTTCTTTGCCGCAGATTCCGACGCCGACATGCGCCGTCTGAATCATACTGACGTCGTTGGCTCCGTCCCCAATAGCGAGCGTGATCGGCTGCTGGGCTTTGTTGCCTGGACGCCCTCCTTTGCGTACGAGCTGAACGATCTCCGCCTTCTGTGACGGACTCACACGGCAGGCGATCAACGCCTTGCAGACGCGCGCAATGTCCAGCAGCTTCTCGCTCAGCAGTTTAACACGCTCGACCGCCTCTGCTGACATCTTCACGCGCGTGTCACGCGACGGGAAAATGTGCACGAGCGCTTTACCGTCGCAAACCATGGCTAGATTTTCGGCTACCTGCTCGCTTCGAATGAGGCGCTGGATCTCGGGTGTCTCGTGCAATGCGTCGAGCTGCGCGCTCAGTGCATCAATGCGCTCGGCATTCACGTACAGCAACTGCATCTTGTCGTTGATAAGCCGACACGCGTGTCCGATGTTGATGGCAGTCTCCTCTCGGTCTCCCGTGAGCACCCAGACCTTGATTCCTGCTTGCGCAAGATCGAAGATGGCGGAGGGAACTCCGTCCTGCAGTTTATCCTCAATAGCAGTCACGCCCAGCAACTGCATGTTCCGCTCCACCAGCTCGGCACACGCATCCAGCTTAGCTTCGCGGTCTTCGAGTGACGTCGACGCTTCAATGTACGCTTTATTGTACTCTTTGTATTCTCCTTCAGTGAGGACACGACGGCCAAGTACCAGCGTACGCAATCCTTCACGCGCGTAGTTCTTCAAGTGTCCAACCAGTTTGGCGTGATCTGCAGCGTCGCCATCGTTCTGCCCCGTTGCGGCCCGTTCGAGCATCATGTTGTCGGCGCCTTTGCAGTACAAAATGTACTCGTGGGTCTCCTCGTTCACCGCCACAACTGACATTCGCTTCCTCGTCGAGTTGAACTCGTTCACGTTCACAATCGTGAAGCACTTGTTAGTCGGTTCAGGCTTGTACTGCGGCGTCAGATGGGGTGGAAGCAGAGACTGCTTGCGAGATATCTCCACCTTCATGAGCGGTGCAGGGGCCACGAAGTTGTAGCCGAGGCACTTCGCAGCCTTCACCAGCGCTTCCTCGTCCGGGGATGAAGCTCGATACGTGACAGCGCCCGTCTTGGAGTCGGTCTCGGGGATCACGGTGTGGCAGATCGACAGCAGCGTGAGGAACTCATTGATGAGCTCACCTTGCTTCCCCCCAGCGTACAGCGATCGCAGTAGACACGGGTCATCAAAGTGAATGCTGGGATCGAAGTGCACCTGGGCATCTTTCGGATCGCCGCCTTCCTCGAATGGAATCATTGAGTGAGTCGGCCCTGCGGACGATATAATCTCACGGATATCGTCCGTCGAGTTGATGTCGAGCCGCACAGCACTCCCGCTCCCTTCGCCGATGAACCCCAGCGGGTTGATCTTCGCCTTCGCTGGGGACGACGTCTGCCTCGATGCACCCGAAGTCGCGTGCGTCTTCACACTTGCCAGTGCAGCCACAGCTCGACCGATCTCCGTAGTGCCGAATCCGTACGAAATGCCACCGATCGAGCACTTGCGGAACTCCATGACGTTGCACGTGAGCGTGCCCGTCTTGTCGCTGAAGACGTACTCGACCTGGCCGAGCTCTTCGTTGAGCTCCGAGGTGCGCGCCACGGCGTGGGTCCCTTCGAACACCATGCTCGCGTCCGACGTGATCCGATTCGCCTGCAGCACCTTGATGATGTCGAGCGAGACGTACAGCGAAATGGGTACAAGGTTGTTGTACAGGATGAGGAAGGTGAAGAAGTTGACGATGAAGTCGTCCGCGCCGTCGCCCTCCTTGATGAAAGGCAAGTACCACACGCGGCTGGCGTTGTGGCTGCTCCAAGACGCAGCGGCGATCGCACTCGCCAAACAGAGCGCGAACATTGTAGTGAAGATCAACAGCATACAGCGGTTCGCAGTGCGGTAGAGTTTGCTCTGCTTCGATGGAGCGGCGCGTGAATTCTGCAGCAACTTAGTCTCACTGCCCGTGAAAATTACGAGCCCGACGATAAACGCGCAACTTCGTAAGTTGCAGCCTCGAAGAAGCAAGTTCTCGGGGCCCAGAGGCACAGCGGTCTCGCCCCGACCGCCCTCGTTAAGTAGCAGACGCCCAGTGAATGTGTACAGCTGATTGTTGGGCTGTTCGTGCTCCACTGACCCGCGCAGTCGACGCACTGCTGAAGCACACACAGCCTCTTGCGATAAACCATCGCCGTGGAGCTCGCGCCAGCCGACAAGTTGAGCCGTGGGCTTGACCGCTATCCTGCGCTTGAGATTGGTCTCACCGTCCAGATTCGACGTCTCAATGAAGCACCTGCCTTCTTCCTCGGAAGTGGCGAGGATCACCACGTCTGCGGGTAGTTCTTCATGGTTCTCCACGCACACGAGCTGGCCGACCTGTAAATCCTGCCACGCGATCATCTCCGTCTGGCCACCTGTGTTAATGATCTATTGACAAATGACAAATGCATAGCGTCTTTCAGCACCCTAGCAAAACTAGCTCGATAAAACGAGGAAAAGAGGCTGGTTACCCGACACAAGCGGCGATTCTGCTTCTCATCTGCCTGGTGGCGCTTGAAGTCCTCGCTCCCCTGTTTCACCATTGTTACTAGTAGGACAAATAGCAGGGGGCCAGCCGTCGTGAATCGATTCGTCGGCGACCATGGTGTCGCTAGCTAAATGGGCATATTCAAGGAGGATTGTAAAAAAAAGAGAAAGCTGTAGCTTTAGAGAGCTATGCGCACCTGCAGCACGGAGATGAGCAGGAAGTAGACGTTGGCCACGACTCGGAAGAACTCGAAGATGCATTTGGGCACGAAGCTCACGGCCGTGTACTTGGAGGTGACCATGACGTTGCGCGCGTACTGCTTGGATGTGATGAGCTGCTGGTTGGCATCCTTGTCGTTCAGGAAGGCGACGCGAGGCTCCACCGCAGCCGCCGGCGCCTGGGGAGCTGCACGGGGCTCCATCTTGGCGGCCGTGGCCGAGGAGGCCCCCCCATTGCTGCCCATGGACCGCACGTGCACGTGGCGGATCTCACTCTTGCTTGGGCAAACCAATGCGGCTGATCTTCCTCCCAGCGAGTGGAGACCCGTTGCACTCCAGAGAATGCGTTGACTCGGTCAGCGATTGAAATAACCGACGGACGGCGGCTGCAGCTTCACCTCACACGAGCCGACTTGCCCCCTCCGAGATAAGAAGCCACCGGTGTGCGTGGATTCACGCAGAGCTTGAGCGTCGCATTTAGCGCTCGCACAGCAAGGAGTTCCGTTGGAAAGTAACGGCTCGAGGACGTCCTGTATCACCATTGGCTGAAATCCAGCTTACTTGGGTTTTGTATATGTCCAGTTGAAGTTGAACGTAGCCATTTTGAGGGAAGTGCAAACTGGGGAAAACGCAAGTGGGAAACTTGGTACGTCGCTCACAGTGCAAATCGAGCAGGCTTTCCAGTGCTCAGAGAGACGAACTTGTGTGAGGTGATATCGATGCGTCGCTCTCACCGCGTTCTCCATAATAATAGTCGAGCCGTTTGCCTTTGGTGCGACGCTTGGGTCTGGAGCGTCGGTGCAGGAATCCGCCGCTAAAACTTCGCATTCCGCCAGCTATGGGCGTCGCGATCTCGCAGCCTGCGGATGGCCGCGACTGCAAGGACAGCCCCTTGGCCGTGGCAGCCGTCGCGGAGATCACGCAGTGTACGTGCAAGTTGAACGCCTATCGCTTAATTAACAAAAGGGAGTTTCTCAATGCTGAACTAATGTAAATATGCCTTTTTCGTTTCACTTGCAGTCACATTGGTACAGCTCCAGGCGCTGCAAGCCATGTGGTGCTCTGAGGACTCCAGGGAGGAGGGCGACTTGGCGACAAGAGAAGCGGATCTGGGCTGCGAGGAATTCGAGGCGGCACTGAACAGCGTCAATTTCGCAGCCTCTGACCGCGCCATTTTCGATCGATTGTTCACGCTGATGGATCGCACGGGGGACGAGCGAGTCCTCGCCACCCAGTTTCTAATTGGAGCTTCGGTCTTGCTTCGGGGGCCTCTCGACGTCAAGCTTCAAGCTGCACTGCAATTCGCTAGCGACGCGGACAGTTCGCCTGGATTCGAAGGGGGATTATCTCCTGACGCGCTGATTTTTGCTCTCACAACAATCGCTGCCGTTGCGAGCTTTTTCGGGGACCCACTCGTGCCTTCAGGCGATATTAACCGCGTAGTGGAGGACCTTATTGGGGCAGATGGCAATTGCTCGTGCGATGAGCTCGTTAAAAGTCTGGAGGACCACTCGCTCGTTCAGCAGTATGCGTATTCACGAGACTGCGACAATTAACCCCGCGAAATAATACACGAATGGTGGTGATCGCTCTCTAACCTTTGTCACCACGCTATTCCGGCACTTTTGTACGGTGAACAGCCCTGCGGAATGCTTTTGGCACAACTGCTCTCTATTGCAATCGGGTTAATTCCATACGCTTCGCAATTCTCTCCACGACAAACGGAGACGCGAGTTTCGTCTCCATCCTCGTCGCTTTGGCATCAACCGGGCAGCAGTGAAGAGCACGATAACAGATAATACCGCGCGGCGGTACCCCCTTGACGAGAACCTGTAGGTCTTCCAGTCTGGTGAATCGCTTGATCTCGTCGAGAAGATTACTCTTCGCATACTCGACAAAATCTTCCGAGGACGAAAAGCACTCGCGAGCCACACCACCGAAAGTGTTGAACGGCGATTCCAGAGCATCGTCACTGGCATTTAGTGATCCCGCGAGCGAGAGCAACCTTGCGCCCTGTTGGAGCTCCTTGAGCGTCCACAGAGGCATGAAGATAGTGCTGTAATCCTTCCTCACCGCGCGTAGCCACTCTTCATTCAGGTCTGTGAATACGACCATCTGACACTCTCCGCGATGTGATGGTGGAGCTTCATCTCACAAGAAAATCACCTTCTTCTTCCTTGCAGTAACCTCTTCGAGGGCGTCGAGGATGGTGTCTTCAGTTGGGCGCAGCGGTTCTCCTTCGTCGCTTCCCTTGAAAAGAGTGGCTAGTATCAGATTGCTTCGATGGTAGGCCGCCGCGATGACCCAAGTCTTGGGTTCCTCTTTCCGATGACGGAGGAAGAAGTAGGCGTAGAAAGAAGACGGACTTGCCGATACCTGCGAATTTCAAAGTACACGATCGATGAGCTCAACCCACCTGGCGTCCACGTCACCGTCACGCAGTTTGCGCGGTCGGCCAGCATTTCCGTCACGAGATTGTAGTATTTGTCGTAGCACTCGTGCACGTAGAAACTCTTGCCATTTTGGTGAACGGCAGGGGCGGCAGCTCTTCCGTGGGCTTGGGGGTATGGCGTCCTGAATCTGGGTCTGGACGGTCGCTCGTGCCGTGGCTTTCGTGTCCACTAGAGCGTGAGCGAGAGCGCGACCGATAGCTGCGACTGCGGCAGCGACTCGGGCTGTGCCAGGTAGGCGAGCGGCTGCGGGAATGGGAGACTGATAGGGCGGGCAACATGTAGGAAGAAGTGAATATCACCGACGCACAGCGTCGACCTAACTCCATAGTCATCGATAGAACCAGAGTTGTATCTGTAGCAGCTACTTGGTTCTCGGGATGTTCGCCAGCCACGGGGGGGGGGGGGGGCGAAGACTTGTCGCGCTGCCAACGTGAACGCCTGCCCCCCGCTTACAGTGCCGTCCAGTTTGCTGCACCGTGCACGTCTCCACCAAACGCTTCAGCGAGATTGCGCGTAAATTGGCTACTCAGTAGTAGTACTCACTCCCCCACACGTCCAACAGCTTCCTCTCCGCCTCCTCCCGTGCCTCCGTCGTGTTCTGCACTGTAGTCGATTAAAGGACATCCTCGGTAGTCACTGGTTCCTCTCAGGCGACTCGCTCCAGCGAACGCCGTTCGCCCTGTGAGCAGAGAGCAGCTCGCACCGCTCTCGGCGGACCCCGCAGTGCGGAGAAAATTGCGCGTGTTGTAGATCTCTTGCCAGGGAACTACACTCGTTGGGTCTCTCGAGTATCTCTGGGCGCCAAGCAGCGCCAGCGGCTCGGCGTCGTGGTTGCTTCTGCACCTTGAGACTCCCAACTTGAGACTCTTAAGTTGAGAGTTCACTTGCCGCTCTGCAGTACCCCACCTCCGCCGAGTTTCGCAATACGGCGTCGGTCGACGGCGGTTTTAGCGGCAGGCGCCGGCAAAGCGGGACTGCTGTACTTACTGTAGAACGCGAGCGGTGGCGATGCTGTTAACCAGCCCGAGCCTACAGTAGAGTCCATTCTCGCTGAAGAAGATGGATCGGCAATGCTGGGCAGGTTTCCGATCCCAGCCTGATGGATTTCGGTCTGCGACTCGCACAGCGAGATGCACGTGATGATGGCACCTTGAAGTTTACGGTCAAAATCGTCGACAGCTAGATCTTTGCTCAGCACTGACTCAGTAAGCTCTAATGCACCATTCCAAGCTATAAGCCCAATTGGCCACCGGGATCGCAACAGGCTCCGATGCAGCTAACCTGGCTTAGCAAGGCTAAGAGTGTCAAGCTTGCAGCGAAGTAGTTTGATGTTGTTCCTAAGAAAAAAATCATCCCCGTTGAGCTCGAGATCAGCTCCACCCTTCCAAACTCTAACACGCTTGGGCGGTGTGTACAGTACGGCCGCAGTGGCGTCGTGGGGTTTCAAGGGGCGTGGTCGAGGTTGATGCTCGACGGGGCAAGATCTCTGGGACTTTAGCTGCAATATTGAGCTCTGAAAATTCTACTGTAGCTCGGCTCAAGTCTGGGTATTGCCGACATTTGATTCAACACTGTTAACAGTGCTATTTTGATACACTCTTGTCAACGTCTGAAGCCGATGAGGCTCTAAATCAAGGCGACAGCGTTTCACAGCTCGGCTTCAACGTCGTATCGCTGCCTCAAGGCGCATGGTAATGGTACTGTGCCATGTAACTCTCTCGCTGGACTGATGTCATCGCTGGGTTGGCACCGCTGCAGCACCGCCCCCCACCCCGCTCGCGTCGCGGTCATGTCCGCCCCCGCAGCAGCCAACAGCGCTGCAAAAGTGTACATACAATGGACGGCGGTGAGCATTGGGGCTGGCCAAGCAGGGTAAGACTGAAGCAGCGCGAAGGTAAGACTGCAAGACGCGTGCACTTCTCGCATTGACCCGAGAGTGGGACCTTGCGCATAAGTCGTTGATCTGCGGCGCGCAATCACCGTCCGCCCATCAACGCGTCCCATAATTAAGTCGCTTCTGCCTCTTGGGACACACTATCCTGCGGCGGCGGCAAGCTTCAAGCCGCCGCACGCTCAAGCTTCTACAGCGGCACCGCCTGCACTACATATACCAACTGCAGCAGGCACCGTTCTCGGGCTGCAGCTCTGTTTTGCCTCCGCGCCCAGGCGCTTGGAGTCGGCGCTGTTCGGAGTCTCCGAATCGGAGCGCAAACCGCCCGCGTTAGCTAACGCGAGATACGCCAGAGTGTTGGTCGTCTCAAATCGGCCCAAAAAGTCGCTTTTTGGGCCGCTCCGCCTCGATGTGCTGGCTTTTGACGGCCCGACCGCCGAAACTCACTCGCTCGGCCGCCACGAACAGCTACAACTGCAAGAAGCTGAGTTGCTAAGCGTTGGAGCTGCGGGGCTGGCCACCTGCCGGCCCTCTGCTGCGCTGTCACAAGTTGCAAATTTGACCAGCCGCAGCCCCCAGCCACAACATTTTTTGCCATCTGCGGGCGTCAGCTGAGACTCGCGGAGCCGGCTGGCGCACGCGGTAATACATGTATATGTAAGGCGAAGTCACCGACTGGGCTTATCTTGCGCCTCGGAGGCTTGGAGGCCGAGCGCGGACGTCGAGCCAAAGCCATTGCGGCGCCCGATTTGGTCCGCCCTATTTTTGGCCCCCGAATCCCATAATCAGCGCGGGCCGTGTCTCAGCGTCTTGCCAAGAAACCTGCGGGAACGCATGCAGCATCTATTCTCGCAGGTTTTCTCCGCGTAATCCTTGGTCGCCGGCCCGGAAAGAGCTGTGCGCAGGGACGCAAACGGCGGCGAGCGCACCGCTCTTTGCGGGACGCAGCGCGGGCGTATCGCATCGAAGCGCTTTGGGCCAATCAGCGGCCGCGCGCCAAAGATAGGTCGGCTGGCTTTAGCTTTCGGCGCCTGCGTCAGGAAATGCCATTCTCGAATTTGCTCACAGCAAGACACTTCACCACACCCACACAACTACTAAGAGCCATGGCCTTCGAAAGCACCGTGGAGATCACGCGCGGCGGCGTGGAGACCAAGCAGGGCGCGCCCCAGCAGGAGGCGCCCGTGGGCGAGAGCGAGTCGGCGCTGACCTTCGCTATCCCGGCGCCTATCGCGGCCGTGCGCGCCAACGTGCAGGCCTTCGAGGAGGACAGCATCCGCAAGCTGCTGACGCGCTACGAGGGCCTGGACGTGCTGCCCAGCGGCTGGCGCGATGGCCCGTCCAGCAAGGGCATCCAGGTCGTGTACGGCGAGGTGGCCGGCAGCGAGTGGTACACCATGAAGACGACGGGCACGCTGCACGTGAGCGCCGCCAAGGCCGCGCAGCTTCTCATGCGCTGCGACATGGTGCCCAAGTTCGACGAGATGACCAAGGAGGTCAAGGCCATGGAGAAGCTCAGCGACGCGTCCGAGGTGCGCCGCGTCACGGCCAAGTCGGTCATGTTCACGGCGGCGCGCGACTTCTCGGTCGTGTCCACCTACCGCCAAGAGGCCAGCGGCCGCATCCTCATCGCCACGCGCTCGGTCGAGTACGTGCCCGAGCGCAAGGGCTACGTGCGCGCGACCATCCTGATCTCGGGCTACGTGGTGACGCCCCACCCGACCAAACCCAACGAGTGCGAGATGAGCGTCATCGCGCACATGGACCTGGGCGGCAACCTGCCGGCCATGGTCGTGCGCTACCTCGGGCTCTCCGCGCCCATCAAGCTCGTCGAGAAGATCCACGAGGTCACCCTGCGGGCATAGAGTGTTTGTGCCTCCTCCTTCCTCCAGAACTTCAGTCAGATAGCATGTACCAGTAGTAAGCGCACCATTCAGTAACGTGGTTTCAAAGTTTCTTCCGCTTCCTCGTGCTTCTCCTCTCGTCTCCAAGCCCAGCCAGCGTGGATCCCTTCGCAGCCGCCGCCGACGCTGGTCGGAAGAAGCCGCTCGAGAGACTGAACGCGGCGTTCAACGAAACCGGCCGCCACGCTCCTACATCGCGGCCTGGCGCTGGCCGCCAGAGAGCTCGACGCCGACGCCGAGCGACGGCACGCGAGAATGCTTCGCCGCCAGGAAGCGCCGGCCGAGCGCTCTGGGCCACGAGCGCGGGGAAGATGCATGATCGAGCGCAAGCCCACGAGCGCAATCGGTTTACGCTCCACGGTGGGGAATTCTTTTGCGCCTCCTCTCTACCGGCGTGCATCTCTCGCCGCGGTTCAAGTGTAGGTCGGGCCTCGCTGAGGCGGGCGGCGCATGTGAAAGTCTCACCTGCCTTGCCTTGCAGGCCTTCGTCTGGACATGCGTCAGGCCTGTCCTCCTGATCCGCACGGACCGCAGGGTTCAAGAAGATCAGCGCTGCTGCTGCTGCTGCTGCCGACTTGGCATCGCTGGTGAGAAGAGCTCGTAGCGGAGCTTCCCGCCGGGGTTTCTCGCGCGCCAAAGACCTGCTGGCGAGAGCAGTCGCGCCTGTTGATATGGATCAAGCAAGCTTCGGCTGCGGCGGCCAGAGAGCATGAGCGCAACACGACGTCGCCGAGATCCTAATGATCGCCGCCGCCTAGGCGCCAGCAGAAGTAGAGCGGCAATTGGATCAGCATTGCGGCGCAAGTTGACGGTGGACCAGCCGACAGGTCCACTGATCATCTCATAGACTTCCCTGAGGCCGGCTGGTATGGCATTGACTCATCGCGAGGGAGGACAGTCGATGCCGACATCTCGGCTGTATGTAGCGGGGTACACGCTTATCGACCTGCGGTAACAAACCTGAAGTCCTATGCATAATATCTGTGGACACAGCTTTTTGAAGACGTAGGATAGGCTGGGTTAATACCTTATCCGAAATGGAGTTCCTGATGGGTATTACTATTCGACTAGAGAAGCATGTAGCCTGGTGCCCACCTTGCTTGTGTCATAGAGACCTGGCGTCGCGCGCGAAAGCGACGTATCCACACCGACCGAAGCCAACTACGAGCGTTACCCCTTCACAAAAGGGTGAGCCAGCGCGTCTCGCACGGAGATCCGCTTGGACGGGTCCAGGGTGAACATCCTGTCCAGCAGGCTCCGGAGCTCCAGCACCTGCTTCCGATCGTCCGTGGCGCTCTTCGCAGCCATCAGACTGCTGGCGAGGTCGTTTTTGGTCTTGATGGTTTCCATCAAGCGCAAGATGGGCTTACCTGGAGGTTGAAATGCAACATGAAACACAATTCAGCTACACAATCGTAAGACAACAGAATCGCATGATGCTCCTTACCCGTGACTCGGTCGCTCTCGCGGCTGCAGAACTTGAGATCTTCCGTGAAATGCGGCTCCATCTCAAACTGGTCAATGTATGCCTGGCGGTGCTTCTTGATCAGCTTGTTCGGGATCTTGCCCTTAAGCTCCATGAAAAATTTGAGCATCTCGTTGTTCGTACTCCCTGGAAACATAACTTTGCCAGTGAACATCTCATACAAACAGCAACCGACAGACCACATATCTACCGCTTTGTCGTAGGCGAGGCCCAGCACGATCTCGGGCGCGCGGTAGAAGCGGCTGACCAGGTACGGCGTCGGGTCCTGCTTCCCGGCATCGGCTTTAAACGCTGAACCAAAGTCGCACAGCTTGATGGTCGTTTGCTTTTCGTCTAGCAGGATGTTGTCCGGTTTGATATCTGCAAAGCAAGACCATGCCAAGGAGTTAGACTTTATCTCTTCATCACACCAGCATAATTCACGTCCACTCTTACCAGCATGGATCACTCCGCATGACTCCAAATGATTGAGTGCGATCAAAAGATGCTTGCTGAAGACGCGCACAGCTTGGATCGAAATGCCGCCCTTGCCACCAAACTTCTTCATGGCCTCGCGGACGTTCATCTGCATGGGCTCGAAGACCATCGCGACGTGGTTTCGGTGGGTGAACGAGTCGAGCAGCCGAATGCAGTGTTTCTTGTCACGCGGGTCACGCTCGCCCAGCTCGTTCAACAGCTTCAGCTCCGTCTGCGCTGCGTCGCGCATAATGTCGTTGTTTCGGATGAGCTTGACAGCCACCACGCTCAGCGATCCACTGCCTCCAGTCTTCAACAGGGTAATGCATTGGCAGCGCAGCACAGTCGAAAACACGCCCTTGCCGACCGTCCCGAGCACACGATACTTCCCGTTCAGCACTTCTCCAATAGTGGTAGAGTAATACCCCTCCGCGTCGTCGCAGTTCGACTGCAGCGACACTTCATTCACCGTGATCGCAGCTACGCCAGCGCCGCCGTTCATCGCATCATCGTGGTCATCCAGTGCTGCCATCGAGAACATGTCGAACTCATCAGCAGAGGTCGCAGCAGTAGCAGAAGCAGTCTTCTTCGGCGATACCACCGTCTTCAGCGGGGATTTAACAGCCTCCGTCTTCTTCTCTGGTGATTCCACCGTCTTCTCTTGCTCTTTCTCCGCCTTCGTAGCTGATGGGGAGAGCGCCGGGCTGTTGACGACTGAAGTCCCCGTTCCGTTCTTCTTAATCACCGCGATCGTGCTCCTCGCGTCGGCCAACGCCTTCAGGATGTCCTTCTTGATGGAGCTGACGTCCAGTGCTGGCTTCGAGGATGCCACAGCCTTCTCACCAGCCTTCTGCAGCTCCTGCTTCTCAACAGACTCAACACTAACAGCGTTACTAGTCTCAGTCTCCTCGGTAGTCACCGCAGCCTCCTGGTCCTTACTCTCTCGCCCTGCGACCTCCGTCGATGGGTCCTTCTGCTGCGTCTCGACGTCCCGCATGGCTACATCTTGACTCTCCACAGTCTGCAGCTTCCCCTGATCAGCCGCCGCCTCGTCCAGTTGCTTCTTGGCCTTGGAAACCTGTGAGGGAGCCACAGACAGCGACGTCTTGTCCTTCGTCTCCTCCTGCCGCTTCTCCTTGGCCTTAGACGCCGACCTGGACCTGGATCTGGAGCGCGAGCGGCGGCGGTCTCGCTTCTCGTCGCTTCCACGCCGTCTGCGCTTGTGGCGCTCCCTGGAGCGAGAGCGAGAGCGCGAACGGTGGCGCCGATGGCTCTGACTGTGGCGGTGCGTGCGTCGCGACCGCTCGCGGCTGCGGCTGCGACTTGGACTGCGCCGCTTGGACGAGCGGCGGTGCGAGGACGTGCGCGAGCGGGAGACCGACGGCGACCGCGAGCGGGAACGATGTGAACGCCGCGCGCCGCGATCCGCCGAGCGGTCCGAGTGGCTGCGCGCCATGGTCGAATAATGCGGTACAACCAGGTTAATTTAGGATATAACCTGGTTATAGTTGGCCCGGCCAATCAGAGGCAGGTTATCATCTACTCTATTCAATCTGGCCGTGCAAGCTTATAGTTTATACGTACCGGCGCTATTCCGGCCCTTGTTCAAGTGGAGAACGTGTTCTGGGCTGAAATTTTCTAGCGATATGATTGGATAAAACTTTGGCATGAATCGTACAGGTTTTGCTCGTTCGTGTTCTTAGGAGCTCCGATACCAGAACACCTACACGAGGTGTTCCCTGGGGAGCACATTTGTGCCAGGAATCACGGGCAAGGACAAGGCAGGTTTGCCTCCTCCTACGCCAATCAGAGTCCGAGTCAGAAAGCCCGTAGGAAGCCCGACAACCATGCTTTCTGTGCGTTGCCGTGGGCAATGGCAACGTCGAAATGCTTTATATGTGCATCCAGTGACTAGTCTACGACGTGTTGTTGAATGCCCAAGTGTCCTCACGCTAGGGCCTGCCGTATAATTACAGCTAGCCCACGCACTAGCGAGAGGACTCTGTACATGTGCTTGGTGGTGATTCAAAAAATGACGGGAGGTCAGCAGATGGAGTCCTCCGGAATTTACTTGGACAAGCCCAGCACACGTTTTGAAAATCACAAGCACAAATCGTGCCTCAGCCAAAAGCCCTAGCCCGCACTGAAGCACAGAACACATTCCCCACCTGAACAAGGGCCTAAAGTCTGTCGATCTAGTAGTGACGGCAGATCACTTCAATGGAGTGGTCAAGTTCCTGGCCCCGTTTCTCCATCCAGAAGAGCCTTCTGTCCTCCGCAGCGTGAACGAACTGGTACGCGGACACCCCACCCCAATCACAGCTGAAACAGGTATCGCTGTCGCTACGGGGAAGAGGAGAACAAGCCCAACACACAGTAGAGCAGCACAAAAGACGATGCCCCATGAGGCGGAACCCAAGCGCATCGCACGCTCTGTCATATAACGAGAAGTAGCAATTAGCAAATAAAACCAGCAACACGAGTATTGAGGGCCACGTACTATCGTAGAGCTGATAACGATGCTCCCCCGAAGTGCGCTCGGGGACGTCACAAAGAACGCCAACATGTCCATCGTCTCCATGCCTCGAGAAAGGGATCGATGTGTCGCTGGATATCTTCCCCTCTTTCAGCTGCTGGTAGTCAGGATCACACTCGTTCAGCCAGCCGTCTTCATTAACGAGCGACGAAGAGGACAGGTTCGTCGGTGGCCCAGTACCCCCAGTTTATTACGAATTGCGCGTTTGAGGTGTATCGCACGCTTGTGCCTGAATATCTGGAACTCCTCGAGCCGTCCGCCGGGCACCGCAGCTTAAGCCGCTCAAGGTCTTTCTCGCCTTAGAATGAGCGTCGCTGCCAGTCATCCTGCGCGTGTGGCGAGAATTCTAGCATGACTTGGAAGTTTTAGCAATGCAGCATGTCGGTTAGTTTCAGCATACGCTTCGCAACACTCTCGACGACAAACGGAGACACCTCCCGTTGACACCAACGGGAAAACGATGCAACACTGTCTGGTAGACATTATGGGTCCGCACCCCCTCTAGGACCTGGCAAAGCTCTTTCAGACTGGAAATCTGGTGGATCTCTCTGAGAAGGTCACTCTTCGCGCACTCGACAGAACTCTCGGAGGGTAAGAAGCACTCGCGAGTGACGCCTCCGAACGTTTTGAATCGCGTCTTAATAGCTTCGTCGCTGATGGAGCTCATTCCCCTTGATCCAACCAGAGAGAGCGCCATCGCGGATTGTCGGGGCTCGTAGCAAGTCCAGAGGGGCATGAAGATAGTGCTGTGGTTCTTACTCATATCGCGTAGCCATTCCTCATCGGGGCTTGTGAAAACGACCATCCGAATAGGCCACCAGACTTTGTTTGTTTGACTCCATCGCACAAGATGAGCACCTTTTTCTTCTTCACGTACGCCTCTTCCAAGACCATGTCAAGCACCACTTCCCGTTTGCTGGAAGTGTATCTAGCCAACTGTTCTCCAGCGTCGTTGCCGCTCTTGAAGCCAGCGACCTCCGCGATATCCTTCATCACGATGGACATCGCAATGACCCAAGTCTCGGTTTCTTCCTTTCGAAAATGACTGAAGAAGTATGCGTAGAAGACGGACGTGCCGACGCCTGCGAATACATGTAGCAAAAAACTCGATGAGCACATTAAAGCCACGTAACGTCGAATCTATCGCTTGCACTCTGTCCAACAGCACGAGATCTTAGATCGCAAGAACAAGCAGTAGTTGTCGGGGATACGTACGCTTATACTTCAGGGCATCGGGAGCCGGCACCACGATCAGGACGTGAATTTGACCCTTCATCGGCTGAAACTTCTCTCCGAAACACGCGTCGTTCTTCAGCGACGAAAAGGGATTCATGTGCTCGAAGCCGCGAGGGTATCCAAGGTTGTCTAGCGCCACAGCAGCCGCTGCTCGAGTCTCACTCAGCCACTTGCCGCCCCTTTTCGCCAGGAAAAGCTGCAGGCCTTGTGCTTCACATGCGATGATCGCTGGATTCGCTGCACAGATCGCGTCCTTCAACGCCGCCACTGTGTGAATCTCGTCGATGTCCACAGGGAAGGCGCTGAAGGCAGTGAAGGGCTCGCGGACGACCACATTGAAGAGAGACAACATCAGCTTTTCGTTTTTGGAATGAAAAAAGTGTTATGGGCGAAAACCATGATGGATGGAGACTGACTCATTGAGCATCAATCAAACGCAATTTGCGATCACCCGTACGATTGATGTTTGGTAAAGTCCCTAAAGGTAACCATAATTCGTACGATTGATGTTTGGTAAAGTCCCTAAAGGTAACCATAATTCGCAGGTATCTGCATCGCTACCGCTCCCTGTCAGCCTCCCGCGCCTGCAGCCGCTCGTCACGGTGGCGCAGTCCAAGCCGAAGCCGCCATCACTATCCATACCGACACCGACACCGACACCGATCTCGCTCACGCTCACGCTTCGGGAGACACGAAAGCTACGAAACGAGAGACCGTCGACGTTCGCGCTCCAGATCCAGGCTCAGGACGGCAACCCCCAAGCTCACAGAAGAGCTGCCGCCAATACCGTTTGTGCATCAGTACCAAAACGGCAACTATTTCTGCGTTCGCGAATGCTGCGACCATTACTGCAAACTGGTGAAGGGAATGCTGGACGGCGGGAAGAAGTGCGTGACGGTGACGGGGACAACAGGTCGGTGCTGCACAATGTACCTCAAAACCATGGCTTTACTGTGCTCATCGAGTTTTTTGCTACATGTATTCGCAGGCGTCGGCACGTCCGTCTTCTACGCATACTTCTTCAGTCATTTTCGAAAGGAAGAAACCGAGACTTGGGTCATTGCGATGTCCATCGTGATGAAGGATATCGCGGAGGTCGCTGGCTTCAAGAGCGGCAACGACGCTGGAGAACAGTTGGCTAGATACACTTCCAGCAAACGGGAAGTGGTGCTTGACATGGTCTTGGAAGAGGCGTACGTGAAGAAGAAAAAGGTGCTCATCTTGTGCGATGGAGTCAAACAAACAAAGTCTGGTGGCCTATTCGGATGGTCGTTTTCACAAGCCCCGATGAGGAATGGCTACGCGATATGAGTAAGAACCACAGCACTATCTTCATGCCCCTCTGGACTTGCTACGAGCCCCGACAATCCGCGATGGCGCTCTCTCTGGTTGGATCAAGGGGAATGAGCTCCATCAGCGACGGTCGGCGTTCGAGCTAGCACCTGCTGCACCGGCCTCGAAGATCCATTCCAGCAGCGGTGCAGCTTGCGGGATACCGTCGAGTGACGCGCGTATCTTCTCCCTATCGGCATCGACGAATCGCAGCAAATGTTTCGCGGGCTCCTCGATGACAAACGGAGACGCAAGTTTCGTGTCCTCATTCAGCCCTGTTTCGTTCACCGGAACATGATGAAGGACACTGTGGCAGTCAACGCGATTCGACGTTCCTCTTGAGTAGTTTCCAAAGCTTTTTCAGACTGGAAAATTGCCAGATCTCTCTGCAGGTCACTCTTCGCGCGCTCGACAGAACTCTCTGAGGGTAAAAAGCACTCGCGAGCCACGCCTCCGAAGATTTTGAATCGCGTTTCAAGAGCTGCGTCACTGACGCAGCTGATCTCCCTCGATCCCGCGAATGAAAGCGCCATTGCGGCTTGTCGAAGCTCGTTGTGCGTCCAGAGAGGCATGAACAGCGTGCAGTCGTCCTTCCTCACCTGCCTCAACCACTCCTCGTCCGGGCTGGTGAAAACGACCATCTGATGAGGCCACCAAAGGTGAGTTGGCGCTCCGTCACACAGGAAGAGCACCTTTTTCTTCTGTACGCGTGCCTCTTTCAAGGTCGTGCCAATCGCAGCTAGCTTTGTACTGGTAAAACATAAACCCAAGTCTTCCCCAGCATCCCTTCTGCCCTTGAAGACGGTGGCCACTGCGATGTTATTCATCACATGGGACATTGCAATGACCCAAGAGTCGGTCTCTTCCTTCCGAAAGTGATTGAAGAAATAAGCGTAGAAGACGGACGTGCCAACACCTACGAATACATGTAGCAAACAATCCATGAGCACCATAAAGCTATAGCTTTGCGGTACATGTACATTCAGTCATGCACAGCGCAATACTCACCGGGTGTCCCCGTCACCGTAACACACCTCTCCCCGCTGTCCAGCATCTCCTTCACAAGTTTGTAGTATCTCTCGTAGCATTCACGAACGTAGAAGTACTTGCCGTTTCGGTACTGATGCACGAACGGTATGGGCGGCAGCTCTTCTGTGAGCTTTGGGGCTGCCGTTCTCAGTCTGGATCTGGATCTGGAGCGTGAGTATCGACGGTCTCTCGTTTCACGACTTTCGTGTCTCCCGAAGCGTGAGCGAGAGCGCGATCCGTGTCGATAGCTGTTCGGACTGCGTCTCGGACTACGCCACCTAGGCGAGCGGCTGCGGGAGCGGCAGACCGATAGCGAGCGCGGGGAACGGAGGCCACTCGAATAGTTGCGTGCCATGGTAGGAAGAAGAATCTCAGTGAACATCAGTCGCGTAGTGTTTTTCGGTGATGGCTGGATCCATCAATTATGGCGAACCCAGTTACTATCACCTCATATTCTTCACATACTAACTCAAAATACTTTGATAGATGGGATAGGAACAGTGAGTACATGCTGCATTGTTAAAACTTCCAAGTCATGCTAGAATTCTCGCCACACGCGCAGGATGACTGGCAGCGACGCTCATTCTAAGGCGAGAAAGACCTTACTTAAGCTGCGGTGCCCGGCGGACGGCTCGAGGAGTTCCAGATATTCAGGCACAAGCGTGCGATACACCTCAAACGCGCAATTCGTAATAAACTGGGGGTACTGGGCCACCGACGAACCTGTCCTCTTCGTCGCTCGTTAATGAAGACGGCTGGCTGAACGAGTGTGATCCTGACTACCAGCAGCTGAAAGAGGGGAAGATATCCAGCGACACATCGATCCCTTTCTCGAGGCATGGAGACGATGGACATGTTGGCGTTCTTTGTGACGTCCCTCCACCTCAATTCGTTTTCCAGTGGCTGCTGTTCGAGTTCCACTGCCCCGTGTGCCGGACGGGGATATTTCCCACTGCGTTCACCAACAATTGCCGAGCAAAACGCACACAGAAGTATGTGCAGTGGTGGCTGAGCGACTTCGAGGAGGAGGCGGCATCGTTGTCCACTATCTCGGCCAAGGACACATTGACGTCTTCATAGCACGCAACCCCGCTTTAAGCTTTAACTGACAAGACCATGGTTTCTTCATTAATTTTGTAAAGTTAAGCCTTAACCCCTAACAAACAACGGAGCCTAGACATCTTCGATTGCGACCAATGCGTGTCACTACGCAGGGGCTCGTCCTTCCGCTTCCTCGATCAAGTCGCTACAATAGTCCAGGATGTCAAATACCAAAAGCTGCATCAACGACAAAGCCACCGCCAGCGCCATCATGATGCTGCGGTTCTCTACGCAGGCCACTGCAGCAATAATGGAGATCGTCAAAGTGCCAGGTGCGTAACGTCGAATCCATCGCTTGCACTCTGTCCAGCAGCACGAGATCTTAAACCGCAAGAACAAGCAGTAGTTGTCGGGGATACGTACGCTTATACTTCAGGGCATCGGGAGCCGGCACCACGATCAGGACGTGAATTTGACCCTCCATCGGCTGAAACTTCTCTCCGAAACACGCTTCGTTCTTCAGCGACGAAAAGGGATTCATGTGCTCGAAGCCGCGAGGGTATCCAAGGTTGTCTAGCGCCACAGCAGCCGCTGCTCGAGTCTCGCTCAGCCACTTGCCGCCCCATTTCGCCAGGAAAAGCTGCAGGCCTTGTGCTTCACATGCGATGATCGCTGGATTCGCTGCACAGATCGCGTCCTTCAACCCCACAGCCATGCCACTGTCGTAGACATCCGCAAAGTGAGAAGATGGAGGGGAACTGATCCCCACACACTGCTCGAAAACCAGCATTCCAAGCGCATTTGGCGACTGTCGTCCTAGCCACTTAGCAACTTTGAAGACGTTCTCCTTTGTCACACCGCGGAGCAAGAAGTTTTCACAGCCACGAGCCGATCGACTTTCTTGACTGTGAAGCACAGGTAGAGGCGCCCTGGTGTGGTTGCGGATTCGCAGCCAACGGCACTCGCTCGAAATGCTGCTCGACCATGTTTCACCCGTGATCCCGCTGCTTGTTCACGTTTCGTCCGTGGTGATGGCGACGGGTTTTGTCTATTACAAGTGCACTGTGTCCAGCTTAACAAGCAAGAAAACCTGGAGTGTGTTCTACCGATACTCGGAGTTCGACACCTTCAGGAGGAAAGTGGAGAATCACTGGACATGTCACGCCTCCAACTGCTTGGGCTCGTGTCAGGCTGTGCGTGAGGTCGTCCACGCGTACTTCCCCAAGAAGCGTCTTCCGTTCATGTCCTCGTTCCAAAGCGTGATGACCAGTCGCAAGATCAAGTTCGAGGTAGTGCTGACACACCTGCTTCGATGCGTGCTGCTACCCGGCAGTGCGATGAAGTGTCCTCACGCCCGCCAGAATCTACCAGCAGGAGTCTTCGAGTTCCTTGGGGTGGCGAGTGATGCCGATATGCGCTCGGTCTTGCAGGTGTTCATCGATAACTGCCAAGATGTCTGGAAGAAGGTGAAGGTGGGTTTCAAAGCAATGGAGACCAGTCATTCGAAGTGGACGAAGGTGCGGTGCAGTTTCTGCCAGTGCGATGTGGACTTGACGCGCGACCTCCCGCAATGCAAAAGCGCGGTTGTGGTGCTCCCCTGCAAGCACACTTTCCACCGCAAGTGCGTTTTCCAGTGGCTGCGGTTCCAGATCCACTGCCCCGTGTGCGGAGCTCGATTTGCCCGCAAGGTGTTATCAACAACTACCGCTCAAAGCGAAACACAGTGCGGTGGTGGCTCAGCGACTTTGACGGTGATCTACCATGGGAAACAACAGGGTCTCTGTGGTTCCAACGACAAGGAGGACAGTAAATGCTGATGCTGGTAACGTTAAAATTGCTGCGAATCGACTGGTCTTACGTGTATATCGGTGTCAATGGTGGTTTAGAGTTCTTCATGCTGCTTGCTCAGCCGAAACAGGGGTTTGGTGGCGCGTTCTTCGATGCTTGACGCGCGTAGTGCCCAGCCAATTGGCAATGCCAACGCTCCCATTCCGATACAGGCGCCCCACTGCGCAGCAGTTAGTGCCGCGCAATGGAAGAGCTGACCTCCGAGCTGTACGATGGCGACTTGCAGTCCACACTGGATGCAGAGCGCAGCGAGACTCAGTTTGTTGTTCCAGATCTCCACAACGCGGAGCATCGGCGCGTCGGTCACGCCCTGGCGGCAGTTGAGCTGGTTGAAGAGCTGCAGCCACACGAACGTGTTGAAGACGATGGTCAGGTGCTGCGTGGCCTTCGCGTCGTCGTCGTCGCTCACGGACGCGCAGCCCGACGGCACGTTGAACCACTTGTCGCCGAGGAACGTGAGCAGCAGCAACAGCGTGAGCTGGAGCAGCAGCAACAGCGTGAGCTGGAGCAGCGTTTGACCCGCAATGTGCTTGGCCATACGTGGGGATACGAGTGATCTACTGCGGGCGTACGGCTGACGCGCGAGCAGCTCCGCGGCCTTGGGCTCGTCGGTTGTGAGCACCAGCGACGCGAACACGTCCATGAAGAGGTTCACCCAGAGGATCTGCACCGCTGCAATGGGGGACTGACGCAGAGTGACGGCACCGACCCACGCCACGCTCAATGCCACGGCGATAACCGTGAGCTGGAACTGCAAGAACTGCGAGGTGCCGTCAAACACTCCACGCCCAGAGACCACGGCGCTTACCACTCCGGCCAGGTCGTCGTCCATAAGCACAATATCTGCCGCCTCCTTGGCCACCGAAGTGCCGCTCTTCCCCATTGCGAACCCCACGTGAGCCGCTCGAAGTGCTGGCGCATCGTTTGTGCCATCTCCCGTCACGGCCACAAGTTGCTGGGGAAGAAGCTTCGAGGATCGAAGGCCAGTCACGAGCGTGTGCTTGTCCTGCGGTGAACTACGAGCCAATACTCGCAGTGAAGGCCACGCCTGGTCGAAGATTTCCTGACGAATCTCTCCACGCGAGTCCAGCACCAACGCCCGGAAGTCGGGCCCCTCCATGACGGTGTAGACACCGTCATCTTCCTCTGAAGCAGACAAGATGCCGCACTCACGCGCAATCGAGCGCGCAGTCAGAGCATTGTCGCCCGTCACCATGCGAACCACAATGCCCGCTTTCTGGCAGGAGATCACGGCTTCACGCGTTCCAGGACGCAGCGGGTCAGCAATGGCTACGAGCGCAAGACACACGAGCTGCTGCTCCAGCACCTCGGGCAAAGCGGAATCCACGACGTCCCCACTGGCTTTGCTGTCTCTGTAGGCGAGACACAGCGTGCGGTATCCGCGCTTAGCAGCACGTTCTTCTGCAGCCACTCGCGTCGGTCGTTAGTCAGTGGGAGTTTGCCACCCGAGCGCGTCTGCAAGTGAGTGCAGCGCGCCAGTACAAGCTCAGGAGCTCCCTTCGTGTATGTTCTCCATTGATCAGCATCTCCACCTTGAACCGGTACGACCACGGACATGCGCTTGCGGTCGCTGCTGAACGGCAGCACGCGTCGAATGTCGGCGTTCTTGCGCATTTCGACGTAATCGAAGTCTCCATCGCTGCAAGCTGCAGCAAAAGACAGCAGTGCGCCTTCCGTCTGACTGCCCAACGCCTTTCGTGGAGTGTCCGCGTCTTCGCCGTCCTCAAGTAGGAGAAGTTCTGCGGTCGAGTTGAGCGCCACACCCTCACAAAGCGTTCGAACCATCGTACCATTCATTGCAGCCTTGGCTGCATTGGCAGAGTTGAAGTCAACTTGGGCGTTTGCTGCGTTGTCCAGGAGGCTCACGAAGTCATCTTCGCTCTCAGGTGCAAGCCACAAGCGCGCCACGCTCATCTGGTTGGCCGCGAGCGTTCCAGTCTTGTCCGCACACAGCGTAGTCGCGTTGCAGACGGTCTCGCAGGCAGCGAGATGGCGCACTAGACTGCGTCCTCGGAGCATGCGACGTACAGCGAGAGCTAGCGCAATGGCCACAGCCAGCGGGAGACCTTCCGGGATGGCCACCACCAAGATGGTCGTGCCCAGGACGAAGTACGACAAGTAATCGCGCAGATACGCTGCTTCCCAGGACTGACGAGGCTCCTGCACGAACGTCTCGATGCTGAAGCGCGGACAGAGCACGACGAAGATGAGAGTGGCGACAATGACGCCCATCTTGCCCAGCCACAGGTTGAGCGCCTCGATCTTCTGAGCCAGCGGAGTGCGTTCGCGACGAGCCTTCTTTTATTTTCATTTCAAGGTTGAGGTTAGATTGAGTTCATTTATCCTAACTAAGACAACGACCGACGCATCCACCGTCAACACCGAGCTCATATCTCCCGATGCCCCGCCGAATAGTTGAAACGGTCTACTCGACTTCCGTCGATTTGGTACCGCGGACAGCGAACGCGGTCCCGCTGCTCCTTCAGCAGCGCCTGCCCTCCGAAGCTTGAGTTCTCCACTGCATTTTCCTGGGCCGACTTGCGTTCCTTCTTCCCAATGTGTTGCAGGCCACCAGCGAGCGCCCCAGCAGCGCTTTATGCGGCGACGTGTCGTCACCTTCCCCGAGTCAGCCGTATCTGGGTCTCTGCCACTGCGATTTTCTTCGCCCCGCCGCGCCATGAGTGCACCATGAGAGGACCACCCCGTCGCAGCCAGCTCCATGTAGCGCAGGCCACGTTGACTGACAGCATGCTCCCGCGCGTCACTACGAGTGCTGTGGAGGGTGTGCGCACGTTGGAGTGCCGCACACCCGACGATCTGGTGACCTGCCAGTATCGCACGCAACCTTTGTAGGCTATGACTACCAGGAGGGCCCACGGCGTCACCCGTGGCCTGGTTTGTAATGGGACACGGCGCGGTGGGCTACATGTAGACCACCGTGGACCCCCCACAGGCCCCGCCTTCCGGCTGACGGTCAAAATACCGCCGCAATACGCCGCCGCACGCAGCGACGCAGAAATCCAGCTTGGTCCGCGGCTTCACCCCCGAGCTGCCCAGCCGTGGCGTGCAAGCACGCCGGCCAGGTGCATGCCTTTCGCTGGAGCTACTGGCTCCACAAGGGAGTCGCCGTCGTCCAGTCGTGGCTAATCAGAGCGCTCTCGATGCTCGCCGGCGCGCTCTGATTGGCCGAACCGCTGGGTCAGCTGGCTCTATCGCCGCACTGCCCGCTGATTGGTCCTCCCGGCGACTTGAGCTCCACGGCGCAGATTGACGAGTGCGTTCACGACGAGCCTTCTTCTTCTTCTTCTTCTTCTTCTTCTTCTTCTTCGTCTTCGAGGGATCGCTCAGCTCCTTCGCCTTCGTAGACGCCTCCACAACCTCCAAAGAGAAGTAGCTTTCGTCCTGAACGGATGCAGCCGAGTAATTCGGCTTCTTCTTGTCTTCTTCTGCCTTCTCCTCTTCGTCCTCCTGCTCTTCGCCCCCACCATTAATTAGCGCCGTGATCTGACCGTACTGCGAGTGCTCGCCCACAGCATCTTGGCGAAGCCCTCCATTACCCTCGTACCAGAGTAAAGCTTGACCGGCAAAGTCTCCTCTTCAGCAGAGCCCTTGGAGCCTGGCAGCAACAGAGCGTCGCCCTTGCGCATGAGCTCGGGCTCACCCGTGAGCGTGCTCTCGTCCACTTTGAGCTCGCGCGTGTTGAACGCAAGCCCGTCGGCCGGCACCACGTCCCCAGGCTCGAGCTGCACGATGTCGCCCACCACCAGCGACCACTTGCGCACTCTCGAGTCACTACTGTCGTCCGAACTCTCGGGCTCGCTCCGTAGCGCACAACGCGCACGAGTTCGTTCTCGTTCACAGCGTTGAGCGCTCGGAACTGTCGCTCCTTCTGGAAGTCCCCGACCGCCGTCACCAGAGCGATGGCGAGCACGGCGATCAGCACGCAGGTGCCCTCCATCCAGCCGGTACTGGGGTGACCCCCGACGGCCATGCCAAGAGCGACAGCCACGACGCCGTCGATGACCAGAATGAGGTTCGTAGTGTCCATGAACGCCGCCTCAGCCATGAGCCGAAGCAGCCCGCGCGCGGGTGACGGAGCGACGTAGTTGGCTCCGAACCACTCGGCGCGGCGAGCCAAGTCTCCGTCCGAGTCATCGGCACTGAGACCCTGCTCCAAGTCCACGCGCTGCACCCGCGCGAGTCCCAAGACGCCTCCGAGACGTTCCAACTGAGTGTGGAAGTCCTGCTCTTCGTCGTCTTGGAAGTCCGACGCTGCGACGGCGCTGGCGACGGTACCGGGCGACGAAACTGAGGAGGATGAAGACGGAGACGTTGGAGGAGGAGCGGAGCGGTCAGGGAGAGCGAGCAGCCGACGCAAGTCCGTCGGCAGGAGTGGGAAGGCCTCGGAGGCGCCCGCCACGGGCGACAAGGCCAGCAGCGGTCGGTCGTCCATCGAAATCCGCTTGAGCTCGACGACGCAAACCGATGAATGAAGGCGGTGCGGCACCCGAAGCTGGAGCTGATTGCCCTGGTTCATGCACTGCGCTTGGTGCTTACGATTCGTTAACGCAGACTGGGACACAACATACTTTTGGGATGCGTGCTCTGTCAAGGTGCCACCCCTGTGATCTTGTCATCACAACTGCGTTATGCTCATTACCCAGGATGAGACGACAAGACAGCGACATCAACGCCGTTCCACCAGGAAGGCATTGCTGCACCGAGAGATCTCTCGAGCTCAAAGCAGCACTGCAGGAGCCAGGACACGGTTAACTTGGCTTCGTGATGCATTGCATCGAATCGGTCGACACTTTGCCCCACGGTCTTGTCGAGGACGATCGCTGGGACTTCTAGCCCCACACAGTTCGTCGGCGTTATATGTAACATGCAGTCTGACGCTGTCAGGTTCCGCAACAGGTGAGTCAGCACGGTGAGTGCCGGTGCAGCCACGCTGCGGTTCTTGGAAGAAAGCTCTTCACTTATTAAGCTTTGATCTGTCGCCAGGACACGGCAGATGTGTCAATGCTACGAAGAGCAAACGGAGTCTCGCCGGCGACCCATTCCCAGGTTGCCACATACTACCGAACCAGCCAACATGCTGAAATACGCGGTGACCAACGCTGTATGCAATGCTCTGTTGTACGAAAGCGCTCAAACCCGTATGCAATGCAAAGTGAAACTTTGGTACAGTGTACCCTAACTGTAACCGCGTACCATCTCAGCGTAACCTCCTTCCGGCCGCCAGCAACAAAAACTTCGAAAATGGCCCAACCGGCGGCAGCGCGGGAGGCGTGCGCACCCGCGGCGCCAGCGTCCGACCCCTCGCCCTCCACATCGTCCGCGACCGCTCCCGACGCGGCTAAGACGACACCAAGCGCCCCCGTGCCGGTCTCGTCCTCCAGCTCCCAGCAGAAGCCGGGAAATGGCGGCGACAAGGCGACCAAACCCTCGACCCGCTCAAGCTCGCAGCCGTTCGCCGCCCCAGCGGCTAAACCAGCCTCCGCCAGCGCCCAAGCGTTAGAGAATCAGAATCAGCAGCAAGAGGAGTACCGGCAGCGGTTGAAGCAGCTCCAGAGCGGCCGTTCCGGCTCCGGTACGGCTGCTGACGCGGCAGACACGGCGTCGGCCGGTACCCCCGCGTCTGCGGCCGCTACGCCGTTTACAGAGGCTAAAACTAGCGATAAAGCAGCCAGTTCCAGTGCCAAGACGGCTGCAGAGGCTGCGCCCGCCGGCGCGGCCATGGATCGAGCTCTGCGGGCTCAGGACGAGGCGCGCAGGCTGCAGTTCGCCCTTGCCCAGCAGCAGGTGCAGCAGTACCAGGCCATGACGAAGCAGCTCGAGGCCCAGTCCGGGATCGCTATGACGCCCTCTAGCAGCATCGGGGCAGCTAGTGCAAGTGTTGCCGGCCTTGCCAAGACGTCGGAAGACCTGCAGAAGCTCCGGACGGAACAACTGGCCAGGCTGCAGCAGAACGTGCAGCGTCAAGCGGCCATGGCGGCCCAGGCGGTGCAGAAGCGGTCGAACGAGGAGTGGCTTCGCAGCAAGCTGCTGCTGGAGCAGGAACACCTGAGGCTCATGAGGATGCAGGAGCAGCAGGTGAAGCAGGCAGGCAAGGGCAACACCGTCTCGACGGCCACAGCCACATCCATCGCCGACAGTTTGCTGGCGCAGCAGCAACAGGTCATCCGACAGCAGCAGCTACTGAGGGATATGCTCCAAAAGCAGCAGAAGCAGCAACAAGCGCAGCTCCAGCTCCAGATGCAGCTCCAGAAGACCGGGGAGAAGACGGTGGCCAAGCCGGTGACGACGTCGACGGCAGCTAAGACCCCCGTGAAGCCGTACACCTCTGTTACGACGACTGCAGCTTATTATGCCAAGAAGCGGAGGCTGAGGACCTCGTTCGACATGGATTTGGAGGCGCTGGCGAAGAGCTGTATCCGGGTGGCGAACGCGAGAACCGACTGCGAGATGCGCCAAGCTCTGGACAAGATGACGGCGTGGCTGAACCGCTGTACTGAGCTGCAGTTGCTGCAGATTGCACAGCGAGACTACCGCGACTCCTTGGCGCATCGTCGGCCCCTGCTGGTTCAACAGGATCGGTGGCCGCTGGATCTCCAAGTCAAGTCCGAGCACGTCACACAGAAAATCGTGCAGATGCTGGGGGCATTTTTGCTGCGGGAAAAGAACAAGACTGCCCAGCAGCAGGCTGCCGCTAAAGCCGCCACTGCTGGGACGGGGACAAGCTCTGCCGGGACGGGGACAAGCTCTGCCGGGACGGGGACAAGCTCTGCCTCCGCCATCCCCGCTACAACCGCTGTTCCAGCCTCCACGACTCCTGTCGCAACGACCGCTGCCCCAGCTGCTAGTACTGCTTCGACCGCTCAAGCTTCCGCTACGAGTGCAGGTGCTACGACAACTGCCAGCACCGCTGCAGCTACCCCTTCTTCTGGTACAGCCACCAGTGCAAGTAGGACTTCGACTAGTAATTCAGCGGCGACATCGGCAACAACGACGACGACACCGGCGCCAACGGCAATAGCAACTACGACTACGACTACGATACTAGCTCCTGCAGTCCGGGTCCCCGAAAAACGTGACGCGGCGGAAGTCGAGCGCGACTACGCGGAGGTAAAGGCGCTTCTCCAAGCCAAGCAGATCGAGACGAACCAGAAGGCGAAGGCGAAGCGCGATGCCGCGAAGCTGGAAGCCGCGAAAGCCGTGGGTGCCCGCACCATTGATCCAACGACAGCAGCGATGCTAGCCGCGTCGTCCAAGCGCCCGTTGCAAGTTGACATCCCTGGGGCCGTGAAGAAGCCGCGGACGGATTCGTATACGATGCCGACTACTGCCTACCGACCTCCATCGACGTCCGTGCCCCCGATCTCGCCCCGCGTCGCGCAGAAGTTCTACGATCTCGACTTGACCACCAGGACGACCACCGACTCGGAGGACAAAATGTATTTGCCCACCAAGAACATCTCCAAGATCATGTACAGAGCGCTCCCAGGTGCACACGAAGAGGAGGCTACAAGTGCTGGAGTCACCATCAAGCGCGAGAACAAGAGTGCAGCGCCCGCCGTCTCCCCGTCACACACCGTCCACGAGCACGAAGCTTCCGATACGATCAGCATCAGCGATGACGCTGTGACCTTCATGCAGGAATGCGTGACCGAGTTCCTCCTGTACTTCACGAGTGAAGCCCGCGACCGCTCCATCATGGAGAACCGGAGAACGAAGAAGGGCGTGGGCCTGTCGATCTCGGGCGAGAACGTCGTGGAGGGCATGGAGAACCTGGGATTTACGTCGTACGCGCGGATGCTGGCCGGGTACAACGAGAAGGTCAAGGCCAGTCAAGACGCCGCGGCGCGGATGAAGATGGAGCGGAAGAAATTCGTGCAGCAGAAGGCGATGGAGCAAGCGAGGGTGGCTGCCGCTGCCACTATCGTGGCTAATGCTGCGAAGATGGCGGCAGCGGGCAAGACTGCGGGCTCCCCCTATTCGTACATGAAGATTGGGCCGGCGGCGTCGCCATTGGCACGGCCAGGTGCGGTCACTACACCATCAAGACCACTCGCCAGCACGTCGGTGGCGACTGCGGCCGCCTCAGTTGCTTCCAAGACCGTGACACCGACAGCGAGACCAGCACCAGGAGCCTCGACAACACCGAGAGCGGCAGCACCCGCTTCAGCCCCGCCAACATCGACAACAAAATGAGTTTTTGAGTGTGAGCAGCAAGTACAGACGAAAACATTTTGATTGCCTGGCAGTAACTCACTATCGGGGTTTGTTCATGTTCGCTGCATTGAGCTGTGGTGGCCTCTGCGGTGTTTGTTGAGCGCGCCTAACCTTCCTGCTTATACCTACCTACACTACCTATCTATGACCAGGATGATGTCGGCGAAGACTCGTGCTCTCCCGCCCGCTCTCGAGGAAAAACACACTTGACACACATACACAAAGCGGAGGCCGACGGGGGAAGAAGAGGATTTGCTGGATGGGGAGGTGTCGCGCCGTCAGGGTCGGCCGCTGGCTCAACTGGATGCGAGGCCGACTGATATTTACAGGTTCTTCGTGTACTGCTGCGAGATCTGCGAGCGCATTTCCCAGGACGAGGGCGACTTGAAGTAGCGCAGCATGTCCGCCTCCGAGGGCCGCTGGCCCGAGGGCAGCGCCACGGCGGGCGCGAGGCTTGCCTCCACGATCGTGCGCAGCTGCAGGGTGCTGGCGGAGAAGACGGAGAAGTAAATGGTGATCCGCGTACGCAGGCGCTTCGGCTGGCGGCCGCGACGTCCCAGTGGCTCTTCCTCGGGCTCCTCGGGTGAGTCCTCCGCTTCGTCATCGTCCAGTTCCTCCTCCTCTTCGTCGTTCTCAATCGCTTCGATCTCGTTGTCGTCAGGCCAGCGCATGAACTGCACGGCCACTGCACTGCCGTTCGAATCGCCGATGCCGCGCACGCGCCACGCACGGTAAGCCATCAGCGAGCGCTTACGAGACCAGCCGAACGGGAAGTAGTCCTGCGGCAGAACGACGGTCGGCTCCTGCTGATCCAGCTGCAGCAAGAATACGGCGTCGGCAGACACCAAACTGTTTGGAAGAGTCAACGTCATCGTAGTGTCCGTCTCTGTGACGTGGAACGTCTTGGTCGTGTGTGCATGAATGCAGCGCCCCAGCCACGACAGCGACGAAGCTGCCGTCGCGGATCGGACCGACGCAACGCGCTGTGGTTGCTGCAGGTGGTGCTCGTCCGCCTCCCCTTGGCGGTTCCACTCACCCGTTAGCCCAGTAGCTCCCGTGAGCGCCGCCTTACGCAGCGACGCAGCCACCTCCAGATCCTGCGGAGACGGCACCGCGTCCTGAATAGCGCGGTAATAGTCCGCAAACACGTTCATGTACGGCAGCGGACGCAGCGCGCCCTCCTCCTTGTCCCCTGCTTGCTGCTGGTCGTCATCGTCCAGCACAACCCACCACGGCTCCTGCAGCAACCACGGCTCGCAGCTCTTGAGCATCTCGTACAGGTCCCATTCGCCCTCATCGGCGGACTCAGCGTCGCCCCAAGACTTGTGCATCCGGCGCGGTAGACGCGACACCTGAGCCTCCACTGCTTCATTCAGCAAGTCCACAAGCTGCGCGTAAGCCGCCAGCGCGCCGCGTCCAGCCTGGGCGCAGTCGTGCATTTTCTGGCGCATGTCCTCCAGCAGTCCAGAGCTGACCAGCGCAGTGCACACCGTCACGAGATTGGAACACAGATACAAAAGCTTCGGGTTGCTCAAAGGAATCTGCACCAGAGTGCATTTCTTGCGTTGCGCGCGTGGCGTCTGGTTCGAAGCCGCCGCCGGGGGCGTCGTCGGCATCGGGGGAGTGATCATCTCGAACGAGTGGCGATACACCTTGGGCGTCGGCTCCTTCTGCTTCGCTGCGACCTCCTCGAAGCGATGGATGCGCTTCACGATCGTGAACGCGAGCTGCAGGATGCGCGCGCGCCGGTAGAGCTCGCTGTCAGTGGGGACAGGGGCCACCATCGGAGGCGTGTAGCCCGGTGACGATACCGGCGACAGCGTCGGGTGAATTTTCTCCGAGGCCTCGATAGCAGCAGTGATCGCCTTGTCCGAGTCCGTGGAGCGGTTGCGCTTGCGGTTCAGATAACTGTCCGGCGATGATCCGGGCGACATCATCATCATGGGGATACCGCCTCCTTCAGGGATCATACCTTGTAAACTACTGGACCAGGTATCACGTCGAGCGTACGGGTACGGTCGAGCAGAAGCGTACGCGTGCTGGTGCAGTGCTGCGGCCGTGAGGCGCGTTGTATTGGCTGACGGAGGAGGACCGGAGCGAGACGAGGACGCCGCAGAACTGGACGACGACGGAGTTGAGCTCGCAATGGGCGTGCTCGTGTAGGGCGAGTGGCTCTCCAGACGAAGCTGCATCATACCTGTAATGGGGGTAAGCACGGGAACTGGTCGCTGCTGCTGGCGTGAGATGGTCATCGGGTTCGACACGGGCATCGGGAGAGCTGCCAAGGACGAGCGTCTCGTGTGGAACGGGCAGTTGCCTCCCGCTGCTCTGGGCACTGCCGGATTGTGGAGGAATGACCCAACTCCCGGCAGTGACGGCGTCGAGGCGCGGTTCTCCTGCAGTCCGTCGAAGCGAGGCGGATGCGTCGCCGAAAGCGACAGTCTGTGCGGCTGCTGGAACTGCTGCTGCTGCTGTTGCTGCTGTTGAATGGTGGGGAACGAGATGGTCGAGAAGTAGTCCGTCTTGAGCGACGCCGAGCGCGTCAGGCGTTTACGCTCACGTCGAGCGGGGTCCCTCTGTCCAGCCATGAAGCCCGTCGGCGCTTGTCGCTGTTGCTGCTGCTGCTGAGCCGCTGCAAACAGCGCCGCCGCATTAGCCGCCGCCGAGTTGTTGCCGCTGCCCAACAATTCATCAATGCTCCTCGCGCTCTGAGGAGGAGGCGGCGAGTTCACTCCCGGTCCTCCTCTCCCCATGGGCAGCGCCGCCTGCTGCAACTGGTGGATCCCCATGGCCGCCGCCGTCGCGTTCGCTGCGGCCCCATTGGCCAGCGCCGCCTGGTTCATCGGCGAGCGGAACGTCTTGCGCGCCTTGCGACTGGACGAGATGCGGAAGGCCGGAGACGCCAGCGCCGCCACGCACGTCAACGTGTTGGCGTTGCCGCTGGCGCTGGCGTCGAAGACGTAGACCTTGAACACGTGCAGGTTCTTGCAGTTGAGGCGCGACGACTGCCAGCCGTAGTGCCACGACTGGCGGTTGCCGTTGAGCAGGAAACACGTGCTGCTGCTGTTGCCGTTGTTGCCATTGTTGCCGCCGCCTCCGTTGGGCACCGCCGTGCCCCGGAACCAGCGGCCGAAGGGCTGGTCGGGCATCTTGACGTCGTCGAACAGCTCCTGGCGCGGGTACTCGCGGCCGACAGTGAGGCTGCCGCGCCCGAGACTGGTGTCCACCGAGGTGGGCATGGTGGGGGACGGAAGCGTCTTACTGTTAACTGGTTGCTGCTTGGCGACTTCCTCGAAGCGACCGAGCACCAGTTGACAGTTGGACAGGAAGCACTCGACTACGAGTCCCGAGCCGCAGAAGCTCTTGGGGTTGTGCCCTCCACAGCAGTGGGGGAAGCAGCGTAGATTCTGTAGAGTGGGTAGAGCGGGGAGGGGGAAACTGGTTAGCACTTGCGTAATTAGAGACACTTGATGTCTCCGCCCGGTTAAGGTACTCACCTTGTGGCCACTAGCTTTGTTGCTTCTACTCGACGGAACGCACGCACAAAGTTTCCACACATTCCACACAGAGAAGATAAAAAAACGCCCCGGTTAGCACCACGCAATTTTCCTTCTCTAGGTAGGAACTTTAAACACACACACAGTGTGGCAACTTTAAACGCACCTTAAATACTCGCTGGTGAAGAGCTCCTTCTCGCACTGGTTGTGGATGAAGCGGCAGGAGCCCCCTCCCTCCGCCGACGCCGCGCCGGCGTCGTCCGACATGCTCTCGGAGCTCGTGTTGTCCGCCTGGTAGGCGGCGTAGCTGGCCGCGTCCGTCCACTGGGTCGCCATGCCGGGGGAGCTTTGCCACTTGCCACGCCTCGAGCTCTTTCGCTTGTTCCGGCCGCTGAGGTTCCCTCAGGTTTAGAGAAAGCCCCGGCGCTGCGCCTCCTGCTCTCTACAGCGATGGGCCAAAAATGCGTCACGACGGTGCGACGGATCCGAAATCCCCTTTCATCCAATCACAGCGCAATCACCGGACCACTTTCAGCCAACGAACGCTGGTGAAAAACTTTTGGCACTTTGGACTGCACATGGCGATCGTCGAGCATTACATTTTGCGTTACTGCAACGTCTGACATGTTGTGGCTCTATTGCCTGCTCGCTGCCGGTGTTGCTGCATGTTGTTGTTGTTGTTGCTGTCGTTGTTGCGCTGCCTGGCCCAAAGCTTCAAAGATCGCATGCAAGTTCCGCCGGCCTCGGCTCGGCTTGGGACTCCGCAACCGGCTGGAGGAGCTCTGTGTTCTGCACCAGGGTGGACCTTCTGCAGCCTCGCTTAGCTCAGATCAATGGCAGATCCTGCGACTTGAGGGCACACAGTCCCGTGCGATCCGACAATGGCGGCGGCGCCGGCGTCCGCGGCGTGCTGGCGGGGGCGTTCGCGGAACACGCGCCGTGCCTTTCGATGGGGCTCGCTTGAAGCGGCCCGGCAGGCAAAAATTGGCCGCGCGTGGTCCCTGCGCGGGACTTGTCCTCGTGTCGTCGAGCCGTCGGGAAGAAAGAGCCTTCCGCGCGTCCTCAATGCGCGCGCGCTCGGAGAGACATGGAGAGAAACTTCATAAGCAATCTAGCGTCGTGCGCTCGCGAGGCGGGGGATTGACGGGCTTGCAAATCGATGGGGGCCGAAGAAACTTCACGCACGCGAGGCTTCCTCTCGCCGACTCGAATCGGAATCCGCGACGCTCCGGTTGTCTCGACACTCGCCAGAGGAAGATCGCTGCACGCTGAACTAAAGTTAGCTCGGGTGCACGTGTCGGTTGGTCGCTCTTCATGAGCTCTGTGAGCTTGACTCCATCCACTCCCTAGTGAGCTGCGCCGTCCAACTTCAACGACTCCGTCGGAGCCACTGCAGTCACCGCGCGTGCCACTTTGCGCTCGCCGGAGCACCAGAGCCACAGGAGACCAACCATGGACCCGGCGCCGCAGCTCCGACGTCAACAGAGCGGTCCAATCGCTGCGACGCTCACGCGCGGCTCGTCCACACGCCAGAGGGCGACGAGCGTCCTGCCGCCGCCCACCAGCGCGCGCGGACTTCCCAGCGCTAACGCGGATGCGTCGCAGTACTTCTCCATCGAGACGCGGCTGGAGCTCAAGGCGCGACTGACCAAGCTGCAGCTCCAGCTCCGACAACTGCTCGTGCAGGCCAAGCTGGCCTGGATGCGCTGCTTCGCTGAGCCCCGGACGCCCGCTACGCGCGCCGCCGCCGTGCAGATGGTACAGTTGGGTGAGGGACTGACGGCGAGTCTTTCGCGCGCTTTCGATTTGGCTGCTGGCACCGCCACAGCACCGCTGTCCGAGTACCAATCCCTGGTGACTCAAGTCGAGGCCGAAATGGCGAGTTTCCAGCAGCTCGTGACTAGCGTGGCCCACGGCATCTATCCTGAACCAGAGGACCAGACCTCCGACGATGATCGTGACAACTCTGCAGAAGAAGACGATGAAGAAGGCAATGAGGATGCAACAGAAGCAGAAGCAGAAGTGCTGACGTACCTTAACCGACCCATGCATGCCGATCTCCCATCCATGCAGGCGTACTGCGAGCACGTTGCTCCACCGTACTCCTCGTATCTACCCTCCAGGAAGAAGCTAACCGCAGCGAAGAAGCGCATGTAGCAAAGAGCAAGTTGCCAAACACCTTATATATTTATACACACTTACCATGGCTGCCGCGCTCCCTCTGTCTCTTCAATTCTTCCCTTGCTTTCGCATTTCAAGCGCAAAAGGCCCCGATCTTTTAGCGTCCAACGCCAAGAAGCTGCTGCTGCGAAGCTTGATAGAGTTTCCGCTTGGTTTTAGCCAGCTTGAGCATTTCGCTAGAATTCTTGCGAAGCACATCGAACACGAACTGCGAACGGCCCGGATCCAGCCTTGTCACCTTGTCATTCAAGTCGCGCCGGTGAGTCGCCAGCTCTTCGCGTTTCAAAGCCAACGCAGAGATCGAAGCTCCACTGTCGCTCGAAGTCGGGCTGCTCGCAGATGCGCCTGAAGCCTGCTGTGCCTGCAGCGCCTCCTCACGACTGCGCACACGCGTGAAGGCGTCTTCAATGCCGCCCAGCTCCAACGTCTGCATGCGTACAACCTCCAGCAACGCGTACTCCATGCAGTCCGCATCGTTCTTCGTGTTCAGTGAGATCGCGCTAAATACATCGGACGCTCGCTCGTCAAAAGCGCGCGTCTCCATATCGTCATCTTCGTCCTCACCACGAGCTCTTACGACCTGCGAGGCTGCAAGTCGCTGTCGACGGCGGCGTGCGTGGTCTTGGTCAAGAGTATTCATATCGTGCAGTAATTCACACATGCGGTGCAGGTGGTGCGACTGCTGCCTTGAAGCACGAGACAGCTGACTTCCCTTCTGCGCTGTCGACTGATAAGATCTCGCCACATCAATGTACTTGCGTCGACGCTCGATACAAGCTCGCGTTGCTGCGTCTGCTCCTTCGGCCTCGATAAAACTCTTCGACAACTCCAGCTCTGGATCTTCAGGAAGACCCGCAGTGCCAGTCTTCGAGCCAATTCCAGTCAAGGCTGTCCCCGTCGTGGTCACAAGCTTGGCAGCACTCGATGTGATAGCTGACACCGCACCCCACGCACTCCAGCTGCTACTGCGCTTGCTCAACGTCCCATTTGATGCCGAAGGAGGGCTGACAGCAGGAGGAGACGAGTTCCGCGATTCCACCTCGTCGTCCAAGGATTCCTCGTCCACCGACTGCAAGTCATCGCCATCCAGGTTGCCATAATAACTCGAGCTAGCGCGTCGGAGGCTGTCAAGCTCTTCGGTGGTGGACAGCAAAAATGCACGCACTTCCTCCGTCACTGCAAGAAGCGGTTGTCGGAGCACACCACGCAAAAACGCCTGCAAGAGACGCATGCGCTCACCAACAAATTCCTTCTCCTTGTTGAAGAAGAGCTGCTTTCCCGGCACACACGGTACCAGCTCGAACGGGAACTGACGCTGCAGTTCGCGCTGCAACCAGACAAAATCGCTGTACCGACGGTACACTTTCACCGAGGAGCTGGGCTCTTCCACTTGACGCAGACGCGTCCACGTCTTGGCAGCCTGGTACGGGTCAATAGCCTGCGCACCCTTAGCAGTATCACTGGCTATGCTGATCACGGCGTACCTCGTGTACGGCAAGAGCCAGGAGCCCACCGTCGTCGGCTCACACACCAACACCACCAACTTACTCGGGTCGTGCCTTCCAGCATGCAGCGACAACTGCGCGCGGACGCAGTCCACCTGCTGCTGAAGCTGCTCTGCCTTGGAGTGCAGCTCTTTGGCCACCGCCGCGGCGCTAGACGCATCCCGCTGCACGCGCGCGAGCTGCGCGGCGTCATTCTGCAGCTGGCGCTTGAGATTCTCCGTCTCCGCCTGCAGCGCTTCAGCCTGTTGCGACGCCACCAGCGCGCGGTGCCGCGCCTCCTCCGCCAGCTCCTGCGCGCGCTTCTTCTCCTGCTCGTTGATCTCCACCTGCTTGGCCAGGAACTTGGCGCGCTGCGAGGCCTGCACGCTCTCCCGCTGGGCCGTGCGCGCGTGCTCCTCGGCCTCGCGCGCGAGCTGCTCCTTCTCCTTCACCTGCGTGGCCCAGGCCTCTTTGAGCCTGCGCAGCTGCGTCTGCGTCTGCGCCTCCATCTCCTGGCGCGCGCGCACCAGCTCGTAGTTCTTGGGGAGAGCGCGCGCGCCCGCGGCGCCGTTGAAGTGCGTGACTCGGCGGCAGGTGGGGCACTCGATGGTGGCCAGCTCGCCGTTGGACGCGCCTCCGTGCTGCGCCCAGTCGTCCAGGCAGCTCTGTATGATCCACACACAGGTTACACTTTTGGGTTACTGTGTTGAAGTGAAGCGAGGGGAAGGGGTGCGCTGAGGGTAGAACGCGCTCTACCTGGCAGTAGGTGTGGCCGCACGCCAAGAGCCGCGGGATGTGGCCGTCGGCGCCGTCGTCGTCGTCGTACGGCTCGTTGCACAGCTCGCACTCGACGGTGCTGTCCACCATCTCAAGCCACAGCGCCGCCGTGAAGTCGTCCGCGTGCGCGGGCGCCGCCGCCGCCGTCGCGCCGTTGAGCATGGCTGTCTATCTACCTACAGGTAGAACGCGGCGGAATCAAGAATGGGAATGAAGAAAGATGTATTTGAAAGATGGTGCCTGTTTGGTGTGGTTCGGTACACAAATCTGATTACAGGGCTGGGCGTTTCACTTGCTCGGTGGTGGCAATGTTTTCAGCGGTGGGGCTGGGAGGCTGGGGTGGTTTGGCGTGGTAGGGTGCGCTCAGGAAGCGGATGCACTCCTGTACCTCGATGCACTCGGTGTTGTTCGGGTCGAGCGCGCTGATGATGTCGTCCACGTAGCAGCTCACCTCGTGCTGGTTGCTGTCGGGCAGGTGCGCGTACGCGTTCTCGAGGATTCGCTGCATCTTGGTGCGGAAGACCACGACGGGGATGTCCTCCTCATTGGGGAACAGACACTGCAACGCATGCTAGTTAGGGGCTGGTTGATATGGGTAGTGAGGACTGAGTGCTGCGAAACTTACGTTAAAAGCGCCCAGGAGGTCGAATTCGTCGTGCGGAGGCGTGACGAGCATTCCACACAGCACGACCCACTCCTGAAGGTCGATAGCCTTGCTACCTGTTCGCATTAACATGTAGTTCGGCGGTTAGTGTGACGCGTTCATGACAGCAAGACCTGCTCACTGACCATCTGCATCTGCGATGAGCAAGTACTCGTCCAGCTCCTTGTCGCTGGGGGAGATTCCCAGCAAGGTAAGCGCCTGCCCAAATCTCAACAGAGCCGCCACTATGTTTTTGATTGCAATATCAATTAAAATGATGGTGAAGGGCGCGTACGTCGTGAAGCTCCGACCGCAGCATGATCCCGGAGTTGTCAGCTGCAACGCACAGTCACACAAAGCAAACGACCAATCACTCAATGCTTATACTTGCAGCGCAACACAGACAACTTAACGCACTGTCGATCTGGCGGAAGATATGCTGGAAGAAGCTGATGTCCTCGGGCGAGAGTTGCTCCGAGATCTGCTCCATCTGCATGGTCTTCTCCGGGTCCAGGTTCATCTTGCGCATGGCCACCTCAGTCAGCAGCTTCGAGCGCCGCAGACGGGAGGCCGTCAGCCTCGCACGCCTGCGGCGCGAGCTGTTCATGGACGTCGAGCGCGAGTAGAGCATGATCTCCTTCTCTCCACACAACTAATCTACAGCGAAACGGACCTCTTCAAATTGAAGTTGCATTTCATGTGGCTCACACCAATTCGTTCTATTATGGGAAGATTCCTCGTCAAATGACCTTATACAGGAAGAAGCGGCGCCGCCAGTCGATCGTCACGCCCAGTGTGTCAATCGCCAAGAGCTACTGTACGTGACGCCACCATGGGCCGCGTGAGCGCCAAGAGGAAGCTGAAGCAGTGCGACCCGTTCTTCAAGGGCAAGCGTGACAATGGCAAGAAGCAGAAGGCCTACGACCTGCCGCCCACCGAGTCCAAGCGCTCCAAGAAGCGGCGTCGCAAGATGATGAGCGGCGACGCCATGGAGCAGTACGTCATGCGCACGTCGGCCGTGGACGGCGACGGCGGCGCATCCAGCGGCAAGAAGAACAAGAAGCAGAAGCTGCAGGTCGGCTCCATCCGCGATGGAGAGTCCATGCGCGACTTCAACAAGCGCATCAGCACGGAGGTCAAGCGCGTCATCTACGACGCCGCCAAGCAGGGTCGCCGCAGCAGCGAGAAGCGCAAGGCCTACCTGGCCAAGAAGAAGGACAAGGCGCGCGACAAGAAGATGACGGAGCAGGAGCGCTACGAGCGCGACTACCAGAGCACGGGCAGCACCAAGAAGGACTTCTTCGAGGACTCGGCGCCCGTGCGCTTCGGTGAGCGTGTGGATGCGCCGCCAATTATGCCCAAGCTCTCGGGCATCTTCAAGAAGCGCGCACAGCAGTTGGAGCACGAGAAGGCCAAGGCCGAGAAGAAGAACGCGTTGGCAGCCGGAGCACGCGTCATTAAGCGTGCGAAGAAGTAGGAGCCTTCGTGTCGAAGAAGAATACATTTGCTGTGTTTTTAAGATTATGTAGTTCGTCCGGGAAAAATGCAGCCGCTGCTGGAGTTCGCGGAAAGCACGCGTTTTTGACCCAACAACTCTGGTTCATACAGGACAAGCGGTCGTCGCCGTGACAACTACCAGCAACTGAAAGGATCAACTTGTGGGCTTCAGACTACGCTACGTGAAGGCAGGGGATCGGGTACGCATCTTCACAACGAGGAGATCGTGGGTGGTGGATCTTCGCCGCTCATAAGTTACTCGATTCGCCAACGCTGAGTTAAAATCCTGTTACGCGGAGGGTATTTGTACCGATCGTCACAGTTTTGCTCCTTCGTGGGGGTTCGCCACGTCAAACTCGCTGAGCCATTTCAAGAGCGGTGCACCTTGCGGGAATCCCTTCAGCAACGTTCGCAACTTCTCCATGTCGTTCTTGGACGATTCCAGCATACGCTTCGCAAGGCTCTCAACGACAAAAGGCGACGCGAGTTTCGTATCCTTCTTCATCCCTTTGGCATCAATTGGAAAGCAATGAAGGACACGCTGACAGGTGCTGCGATTCGGATCTACGTTGAAGAGGTTCCGAAGTTCATCCAGGCTGGTAATCTGCTTTAGCTCATCGATACGATCACTCTTCGCGTAGTCGACGAAATCTTCGAAAGGTGAAAGGCATTCGCGAGCCACACCACCGAAAGTGTCGAACCTCGTCTTGAGAGCATCGCCACTGATTTGGCTTGATCCCGCGATAGCGAGTGCCAATGCGGCTTGTTCTAGCTCCTTGTACGTCCAGAGAGGCATGAAAAGAGTTAAGCCATCCTTCCTCACTTGCCTGAACCATTCTTCGTTTGGGTCTGTGAATACAACCATTTGACACATTCCCTGCACCGATGGTGGAGGCCCGTCACACAAGTAGATCACGCTCTTCTTCTTTGTAGAAGCCTCCTCGAAGACATCAAGAAGTACGTCTTCCGTTGGCCGCAGTCGTTTCCCTTCGTCGCTTCCTTTGAAGACAGTGGTCAGTATCAGGCGATTCCTATGGTAGGCAGCCGTGATAATCCAAGTGTCAGGCTGGTCCTCCCGGAGGCGCTGGAAACAGTAGGCGTAGAACACGGACTTGCCGATGCCTGCGAGCAATTAAGTGCACGCCCGATAAGCACAGCAACAAATATTTTAATATACACTTGTGGCGCGATACCGATGCTCGCCGCACGACTCACCTGGGGTCCCAGTCACCGTAATGCACCTCTCCTGGTCGTCTAGCATTGCCTTGACGAGCTTGTAGTATATCTTGTAGCACTCGCGCACGTAAAATAACTTGCCACTTCGGTAGTGGTGCACAAACGGCAGGGTCGGCAGCTCATCCGTGAGTTCAAGGTTCCTGTCTTTGGCCTTGACTTCGGATTTCAAACGCTGTCGATCTGGCTCCTCGGTGTGTTGGCGCTTAACGACTTTCCTGGTCAACTCCTCGCGACTACGGCTCCGACTACGCTTTCTGGACGACCGCGATCTGCGTTCCTCTTGTTTGTCTCGGCGGGCTGAAGAGGTGGAGGAGCTGCGCATGGTCGGAAAGTGTTGAAGAGGAGGCGCATTCTAAACTGGGTGCATCTGAAACCCTTCTAACTTGTCTCCAACAGCATAATGCAGTCATTCGCGATTACGGTGATATTTAATTTTCTAAAACATGTATTATTATCGCTAATTTTTGACGGCACCTCGCTAAAAAACCTAATGGTGCCTAAAATGGACTTCAGATAAAAGGCTGTTTCTCTTTTCTTTCTACTGCTAGATTTTTTTAAATCACAGCGTGAAACGGAGCAAATGCGCAGCTTTCGGTTGAGGTATTGCGCGTCACCTAACGATTTTTTTGTAAAAAGTTATGTCCAGAAAACCGGAGTGTTGTTTCTTATGTGGGCTTAGAAGTAAATTTGAAAGAATGAGGTTGCTAAAAGGGGTGACCAACATTAACAAAAACCCATATGATATCCTCAACTAGCAATCAAAAATGGTACTGTCCGTACTATTTTTCTCCGTAGAGGCAACAACAGGATATTTGTTTGTACTGGGATAGGAAGCAACGTTAGTGCTGCTATATCAGACCAAATAGGATTATATCCGTGGTACGTCAAGTCAACAATGACCCCTCCTGACATCTAACTGGTACATTTCCATGAAACCGGTACGGCTCCGGCGCATGTGGACGAGAACGGGTGCATCTTCTATTGGTCACCAATTCAGCACAGCAACTGTAATTGGTTTTCACAATAGTTCTGAAAGCGCCAGTACGGGGACGACGAATCGCGGAACAATATGGGGGAGGGGGGCACTAGGGCTCCGCGAAGGCTGGGATAGGATGTTTTTGGTATAATCGTTTTCTATTATTATGAGTTTTTTTACGAACCACGGGCATCTCCTGCGCCTGCTTCGCAGCCGCAGCGTCTGCCCGGTAATTCACCTCAAAACTGTAGATAGTGCTTATACACAGTGATAAAACGAACCTTGCTCGAGATCTGCTTGTAGCTTGTAGAAAGTGAAAATGTTTACCTTTGTATGCTTCTGCAGCAGTTCGTCCATCATTCACTTTACTTCACTCCTACTATTCGAAATATGTTACTGACCCATACCGGTTCAATCTGCCCATAAACCTTTTGGAGGGCCCAGTGCCGAAGTGATTAACGCAACCTTAATTGAAACATAAAAAATCCCATAAGGTTGCTCGAGCAACCTTATATTTCTGTTATAGTTGCTTGAGCAACTTTGTAATTTACGACACATTCGGCTACTGAGTAGTTTACCGCAAACTATAGGTAAGATATTCGTACTAAAAAATTGTCAAGGTAGTCCAACGCGGCCGGAAGCTCGAGTGAAAGGTGCTCCATTTCGAAAGATCCAACGTGGGAGGCAAGCCGAAGAACGAGCAGCAAGCAAGCACCATGCTACGGGACGACGTGTAAGTAAGTTTCTTTGCCATAGCTTCGGGTGCGCGTATATCTAACACTTGTGTGGCTCTGGACAATAGCTACGTCAAACGGTCAAGCAGTGGACGAAGCTGAACGACAGCCAGCGACTGGGCGATTGGAAGGCGCTGCGAGGAGGACTGCGGCGAAAACTGTGACAGCGAAGCACACCTGAAGGCAGCTATGGTACGTTGCACTGTGCAGAGAAAATTGCAGGGTGCGTTCTTTCGTAACCCAACGTATGATGCCTGTGCGTGTTCGAGCAGACGTGAAGCCGCGGTCAAGGCTGCGTTCCGGCGAATCGAGATCTCAGCCAAGCGTAAATGGAAAGAAGCGAAAGCTAGAGCATAATAGATGGTGTGGGTATTGCTTAAAACGGACTACTATGCTAGAGGGAATCGGTTTGGTCGGGAGATTCTTAGCAAACTACCATTTAGGCAGGAGAAACCAGTGATATGAACGACGACGACCTTTGTAGGTGTAGGCTGCACTTGTAAATACTCGATGTCTTGGCGTGACGCACGTGAAGTCTGTCGGCTCATGGCCCCAAGCTCGAAGCTGTTCGGCTTCGCTTGCACAGCACTAACAACTGCACGCTTGCGTCAGGAAAAGGTGCTGCTCAAGTTGCGAGAACTTGACACCGGGCATCGCCTGCATCTCTTCTTCTGGCAGCACTTGCGGTGCTTTTAACTCACTACTTAATTGCTTGATGTACATGTATTCGTGTCGTGTGGAAGCTGAACCACGGCAGACAGCTTCCTGGCGGTGATAGTCGCGCTTAACGCGGTGTAGCTCCGTCGTCTTCGCTAGGATACGTGTTGCAACATGTTTTGAGAAGTCACCAGCCCGTACGATCGTCAACCTTCGATCTCAAAATTGTCGCCGCTATTGTCATTTTCTCCTCGATAAATTACCGGCTGCTGAAGCAACCTGTAATTTTAAGGTTGCCGAGCCGTTTTTAAGGTTGTGGAAGGGTGCTGTAGCGGGTGTCGTTTTGTCGTAACAAAGTTGCTTTACGGACTGCCGCCCAGTGCAGCACCGCGGCCGTACCGGTGTAATGGGTTTTCTACCAGTTCAGCTTGCCCACGCATATAAACCTTTTTGGAGGGCCCGGGGCCACACCGGTTTCAGGACAATGTACCAGTTAGGTGTCAAGAGCGGCCACCTTTTGACTTGACGTACCATAATCCTGTTTGGTCTGCGATAGCAGCACTAACGTTGCTTCCTATCCCAGTAAAACCCTTATTATTACTATTAGTTTTTTTACGATCCAGGGGTAATGACTGGGTTGAGCGTGCGTGCGAACATACCGATTCGATCGAGTGCTGCATAATGCTGTGTGAATGTTGTTTGAGCAGTACTGTAGAAATACCAGCAAGTTCAGCAACCAGCTTTGTAAGCTTGAGTACGCGTCCGATGATGTGTCTGTCGACGTCCGCTGAAAACCCATTCGCTTACAAGCTCGAATTGCGGCCTTTGGGAGATGGTGATACTACGCCGGACAGTAACAAGGTGGAATTCGAAATCGCAGCGACTCCACACCCTGACGAATTCACAATCGAGAAGTTGTGTCCTGCATCTGCGACGAGTGGACCGTACCACAAGCCGAAATCAAAACGGTTCGAGTCGATCGACGCGTTCTATCTTGCCAGGATGGATCCTTATAGCGCGGAAGATATTCTCACCTGGAACTCCAACAACCGATTGATCATGTTTCAGATGACAATTTCGAAGACGCACCCCGTCAACGCGCTCGGGATCATCATGGTGCTGAAGAAGCTTGGCCTGCTCGAAGAAGTGAAGAAAGATCCAAATCGCGTAGCATTGGTTCTTGTCGTCCCGCACGAAATTGCGGACAGCTACAAGCGACAGGAGATCGTATCGGCAGCAGTGAACGGCAGTGAGAGAGTTCTTTCGGTGAGAGGCATTGGGGTGAAAAGCGCCAAGAAGCTGGCACAACATGGAATCACCACAATTGACGAGCTGATGAGAGCGATCGATACAAATACTCTACCGGACAAAACGATATCATCTACGGCGTGACAAACTTCGAAAGTATGCGCGACTCCTCTTCAAGCGACGCGATAGCCAAGATCCCTCGATACGTGTATTCGTTGCGCGTTGCCGCCGATGAAGACGCGCGTGTATGTCCAAAATGTGGGCGTCAATACGCGTGTCCCAATTGCGAAACATAGGTAGTCTGTAGTGCATACTATCCTAGTAGAGAGCAGTCCCTAGAGATAACCATCAGCATGCAAAATCGCAATGAGCACCGCAAGCCTGATAACTACGCACGTGGATACGAAATTTAGTCGGAGCCGGCGCGTTGCCGCGGGTCCTTCCGCAGGTCAAACGAGTTCATGTGGTTCCCTCGCTCGCGTCGCAGCAGCATGAACGACACCGCCAGCACCGCCGCCATCACCGCCTGCAATGCAACAACAACAACAATACATGTAGTTAGCGCACCTACCACTTCAACCTCATTCTCTATCTGCTGTCCCCCCGCACCTCAAATTTCACCACTGCAACGCCTGGACGCGCCGTGTCTGCAGGCGAGCAGGCCTTGAACCTCGTCTCGCGCTCGTCCTCCGGGTTGGTGAGCAGCGCCGCGTCCTTGGGGTCCTTCGGCCGCGGGCAGTCCAGCTCCTGGCGGTACCCCGTCTCGCGGCAGAAGCTCTCGTCGCTCTCGGACTCGGGGCAGGCCACGCACTCCCCCACCAGCGAGCAGGCGAGTCCCGACACGGGGTCGTACACGCGGTGCGAGGACACAAGGGCCTGGTCCCGACGCCGCAACGGGTTGGTGGAGTCCGTCACGCCTCCAGTCTCTCCAGGCTTGGCGGCAAACTCCTGGCGCAGGTGGCGGCTTATTTGGACGTCTTCTACGTCCTCGCTGCCTGCTACGGACGCCAACAGAGCGACGCACAGCGCCACGAGCGCCGTGGTCACCTTCATACGTACAGCTCAGTTTAGGCTCGGGAAGAAGGAATAAAGATAACGTGAAGAAGGGTGTTTTGGTGTGTGATACACGAACCAGAGTATAGTGAAGCCAAGTGCAAAGAGATTCTTGCAAGCGTAGTGGCGACATGGCGGGTGTGGTGCTCGCGACGGCGGGCTACGACCACACCATCCGCTTCTGGGAGGCCGCGTCGGGCACGTGCAACCGCACGGTCAAGTACCCGGACTCGGTAGGCTGCTTCTCCCGTTGCAACCGCGCGATTCCGAGCGCTCTACGCTGCGAGATCGCTGCTCAACGCACATGTGTCATTTGACCTGACCTGCTCTGTTGCTATTGCTATTGCTATTGCTACAGCAAGTGAACTGCCTGCAGATCACGCCCGACAAGAAGTACATTGCGGCCGCTGGGAACCCGCACATCCGCCTCTTCGAGATCAACAGCAACAACCCGAACCATGTGACGAGCTACGACGGCCACGCCAGCAACGTCACGTCGCTGGGCTTCCAGCGCCACGGCAAGTGGATGTACTCGTGCTCGGACGACGGCAGCGTCAAGATCTGGGACCTGAGAGCCCCTGGATGCCAGCGCAGCTACGACGCTGGGGTGCCGCTCAACTCGGTGGTGCTGCACCCGAACCAGGCGGAGCTGCTAGTCGGAGACCAGAACGGATTCGTGCGCGTGTACGACCTCACGGCCAACGCCATGGTGACCAAGCTGGAGCCGCCTACGGGAGACACGGGTGAGAGCAGCATCCGATCGGTGGACATTGTTCGCGACGGCAGCGCGCTGGTGGCGGCCAACAACCACGGCAAGTGCTTCTTCTACCGCCCCAAGCCCGAAGGCCACTACGAGCTGCATGGCTCCGTCCAAGCGCACAATGGCTACATCCTCAAGGCGAAGATCAGCTCCAACGGCAAGTTCTTGGCCACGTGCTCGTCGGACAAAACGGCCAAGGTCTGGAGTCTGCCGGCGGTCATGGCGGCCTCAGCTAACGGTGAAGTGGTCGAGCCGGAGATGCACGGCAACGGATCGATGAGCTCGCAGAGACCGATGAGCTCGTCCAGCGTGAGCTCGACGCTGGGCCCGACCGCTCCGCCTGTGCCGAGCAGCAGCGGGCTCATCCACACGCTGCAGGGCCACCAGCGGTGGGTGTGGGACTGCGCGTTCTCAGCGGTGTCGTCGTACTTGGTGACCTGCTCGTCGGACCAGAGCGCTCGGCTCTGGGACCTGAGTCAGGGCGAGGCCATCCGCCAGTACAGCGGCCACCACAAGGCTGTCATCTGCGTGGCGCTCAACGACGCTGTCGCTGAGTAAAGGCCACGAGGCCGTAGAGGAGAGACCGAGTTATATGAAGAAGAATCTGTGCATGGAGTTTTGTTACGCTTTGTGATGTCTGTGTACGGTATCTACGTGAAGGTCTTCTTGGTCATGATGGCGTAGAACTCCTCGGCGTTGATCTCTCCGTCCTGGTCCGTGTCTGCGCGCTCGATCATCTCGAGCAGCTCGGCGTCCGTCATGGTCTCGCCCAGCTCCTTGGCCACGCGCTTGAGGTTGCGCAGCGAGATTTTGCCCGTCTGGTCGTCGTCGAACAGGTTGAAGACCTTCTGGATGTCCTCTCTCGAGTCCTTGTCACTCTGCCATTGGCACAAACACACAAACAACACACACACCAGGAAATCAGTGAGCACTAATCCCCCCTCCAACCCACCGAGAGACAGCTCGCGCACTGACCATCTTGGCGGTCATCATGTCGAGGAACTCCTCGAAGTCGATGGAGCCGCTGCCGTCCTTGTCGATGTCGCCGATCATCTGGTAGATGGTCTGGTTCTTGGCCTCGAAGCCCAGCGACTGCATGGCCGCCTTGAGCTCCTTGGGGTCGATCGTGCCGCTGCCGTCCGTGTCGAAGAGGTTGAAGGCCTCGCGGATCTCCTCGATCTCCTCCTCGCTCAGGCCCGGCCGCTCGTACGTCTTGGCGTTGCGCTTCTGCGAGATGCGGCGGGCCATGGCGGTCGTTAACTTCTCTACTACTCACTGTAGCCACTCGCGAGCGTGGGGCGTTCTCGGAAGTGCCACGGCCGGGAGGTAGCAAGAGGCGCCGTCTTGCTTGCAGCTCCTCGTCGTCGTTATTATCTTCCAGCAGGTGGGGTAACCGCCGCGCAATAAGGCGCGCGATTGGGCGAAAAGGCGCGTACTAAATCTATTATTGGCGGAAAGTCGCAATCCGTGTTCAATTGGTGTAAAATGAATCTTTTCCGGCGAATCAGCGCCCGCTTCTTTTCTCGTTTCCGCATTTTCTCTTTAGCGCCTGAGCGGCCTAATCACTTGCCGCCACATGGAGGCTCCGACAACGCGGCGCGCGGCGACGACAAGCCGCGCGGGCTTCGCGAGCGCGCGCATGCTGGAGGCGCAGCGCGCGTTCCAGAGCGTGGTGAAGCAGGAGCTGCAGCTGCTGCTGGAGGGCGGCACGCGGCGCGAGGACGCGGTCAAGCTGCTGCTGCGGCGCATTGTGGCCAGCACGGAGCCGCCCGAGGCCGCGGCCGTGCGCGGCGTGATGCGCCAGTTCCAGATGAACTACGACGACGCGGTGCGCGCGCTGATTGTGAAGCAGGAGCTGGGGCGGCTCAAGCGGCAGGGGCTGGACTCGTTCGCGGCCATTGAGGAGCTCACGCGGAAGATGAGGAGTCGGGAGGTAGAACAGGGCGCAGAAGAGGCAGAACGCGAGGAGAAGCAAGTAGAACAGATGGCGGAGGAGGTAGACCGCAAGGACATTTTGGTTGAAGAGAAAGAAGAAGAGAACGAGGAGGAGGAAGAAGAAGAAGAGGAAGATGAAGAACGTGAAGAAAAAGAAGAAAATGCGGCAACTCATGAAGAGACGGAGAGTGACGGCCGAGAGACTGCTAAGTCGCAGTCCGAGACGGCGATGCCCGCGGCCGAGATGGCGTCGCCGACGTCGGAGAAGGACGGAAACGAGTCCTCGCTGTCGCTGTGTCAACGCATCGGTCAGGTGTCCATCTCGTCGGGTAACACGCCCGAGAGAGACTCGGCAGACGACCGTGACGACGACCAGGGGACCAATGAAGACACTGATGGAGAGGAGAACGAGTCGGCTGGAGAGAAGAACAAGACGGTGTTCAAGTCGCCCTTGAGGGTCCGAAGCCCATCGAACAGCAATCTCGCGGATCTCACGCCGCAGTCGCGTAAGCGCCGAGCCGCCTTCGGAATTCAGTATGATTCCGCCAGTAATAGTCGTAACAGCAGCAGCGGACGCAGCGTCAAGCCGCTGTTTCCGAGTCTGAAGAAGCAGAAGCTGTGCGCTGAAGTAGGTGACGGATTTCTGCAGGTCGTCACACGCAAGTCCAAGCCCACGTCGTCGAGTTTATCGAAGAGCGCAGCAGCAGCAGGATTGTCCGGGCCGTCGCCGACTGGTAGCAAGGGTGGCGGGTCTACGCGGAGCGATCACAGCTCCAAGAACTTACACAAGCGGCAACGAGTGAGCCCGACAGGAATGCAAGACGACGACGAGTCTCCCATCGCAGAAGAGCTTCGTGTATCCCACGTCCATCATCGACATCACGCACACCACCACCATAGCAAGCGCCAGAAGAGCGGCAGCAGCCACTGATCGCCGGGATATTCCGAGCGACGACAAGCAAGTGAGCGAGCGAGCGAGAGAATACGAGCCTAATTATTTCCCTTCTGTAAAACCTTTTGAAGATGTAGAAAAGCTAGGATGAGAGAGTGAAGAAGAAATGGAGACGCTGAGCGAAGACAGCACAGCGCGTTTGGAAACGGCAAGACGTTTCTGCTTACTTTTGTACAAGAATGAGCTGCGTTGAAGACGAGAGGCAAGGCAAATTCAACTTGTAGGAAGATAACATGAATGCGTATTTGTATCAAGGTGAAGTTGCTCTATCCGTTGCTCGATCCCTTGCTGCTCAGTCGCGGAAGTGGCGAGTGGCACTCGGACGCAGATCGATGCCGCGTTCGTGCAGTTCCTGCATCAGTTGCATGAACTCGCCTACCGAGACCTTCACCGCTCGGTTCGAAGTGAGCCCACTAGCTTCCAACGCAGCCTCAACACGGTCCGTAACAGCTTGGTGCTTGTCTTCCCCTTCGGCCAGTGTTTCCTCCTTCACCACGTACTGCGACCGCGCCGTCTTGGCAAGCAGCAACGCTCTCAGCGTCTTGTTCTTGCGCTCGAAGCTCAATCTCAATAGCGCGTCAAACTTCTGGAAAAAGAGCTCATCCACCGGCAGAGCTGGCGTTGACGCTGCCCGCGGTGCGAGTTTGATCACCCTCGAGTCGACCTTGGGCGGCGGCAAGAAGTGCTCCCTGGGCACCTTCACCACCGACGTCACATCGGCGACCAGCGCCGTGTTGGCGCTCAGTCGACTGTAGTTCTTGTTACCGGGCTGTGCCAGCAGCCGCAGCGCAAACTCCTCCTGCACCAGCAGCACCGCGCACTTGAACGTCGTCGGGAAGCGGTGCATGTAGCTCGAGAGTCTGGACACCACGAGCGACGACAACTGGTACGGGATGTTGGCCACACAGGCGTCGAGCTTCTTGTCCTGCTCTCCCGTCTCGGCTGCGAAGCGGAAGTCCTCGAAGTCCGAGTGCTCCACCACGAGGCTGCCGGACTCAATCTCGGCCGGGAACCGAAGCTTGAGTTGCTCCACCATGCGCGGGTCGAACTCGACAGCATGCACCTGCACCTTAGGGCTCACGTTCAGCAGCGCCGAGGTCAAGTTGCCTGTGCCCGGGCCGATCTCCAGCACTCGCACAGTGTCGGAAGAGGTCCCCGAGAGGTCCGACGCCGCCACGATCTGGTCCAGGATGCCATCGGAGACCAGCAGATGCTGCCCGAGCTTGCGCTTGAGGTGCGGCGTGCCACGCAGGCGCGAGACGTTGGTGCTGGACGACCACCGCGGGCGCAGAGAGCCCTGCGAGGCGAAGCGCCACGCTAGCCGCGACGTCAGCGCCATGACCACAGCTTTTGATGGTCTGCAGGTGTACCACGGATAGGGAACGGTGTACTAATTTTCTCGTTCAGATTTGTCCTAGGAGATAGGACCAAATCGTGTTTTGGTGTGGCACACACCGGCCGTTTTTGTCCTAGGGAGCCCGAAAAAGGACCAAAATGACTTGATATTTGTATGGGGTGTTTTTGACCCCCAAAGGTGTGTCTTATAAGGCGCATCGGGCAGGGAAATCGGCGCTAAAGATAGCTCCGGCTGAGACCATACTGAAATCAAGTCAAAATTGTCCTAGGCTAGGACAAATCGGCAAAATTCGATGTTACAAGAGACAAGTTTTCAACGGCTTATATCTCGAGAAGGACAATGGAGGACGCTAAACCGATAAGACCACCAGGGCAGCTAGGACGGGGGATTGTGCCCATGCAGTCACATGATCCTATTTGTTTCTAGTTATACGGAGCGAGGCGCCTGACTTTTGGTCCTTCCATTTGTCCTACGGACTGGACTAAGTGGGGTTAAATACGGGTTTGTGAAAACAATATTTCGGTATTCGACAACTTCAACTTCTGTCTGCTGCTCGACGCTCGCCATGTGCATTTGACCAGAGGAATAGGTAGTTTGCCATCGACAAGCGCATTAAGGTTGTGACTCGACTGACCTTCGATGTAGCGTTTGTTTTTCCGCTTCCGTTGGTGGCGTTCCTCGATGCTTGAGTCTTTCCTTAGTACCACGTACGCAGTTTTTGGACTGAGCCTTCATGATGATGGCAAAACAAAGCACTTTTTCCTTCTTTACTGGTGGCTCTGCTGCGAGTTACTTCGTGCCTGAACGGGATGAAGCATCGCGCACTCGTTGCAGAAGCGCCCTGTGCTCTTCTAGGCGGTGCCTCGAGGCAGCAAGGATGGTACTTTCACGTTGTGGCTGGAGCCTCCACTCCCATTGTGCGCTTTTGAAAAGTTGCGCGCGTCCAATCTTCTGCCACAGCAACAGCAGCTGAATCGCCGCAGCCCGTGAACTTTAACAGATGCAGTTAGGGGGTCTCCGTAAAGCCCTTCGTGATCCCTCTGGCTGGAGAACCCAACCGAGCTTTCGGGAGCTGCGCGGGCAGCGACAGAGTCCACAGGCGGCACGAAGTCACTCTTGAACGCGACTGTGGCGGCCTCTGGGTCATTGGGTGGCGCTGGTTGCAGCGCTGACTACAGGTCTAGGATATTGATACTGAAGTTCCACTGCCGCATTGGCGGTGAATGGATAGGAGGCGCTGGTCCTGTGTCGTTGCCGTCGCTCTTCGAGCTCTGGTCGTCCATCCAAATGACGACAAAAAATGAAACTAGAATGAGGGCACTCTTATGCAAATTGAAGTGGTTGATTGGCGTCTCAACTACTGCTACCGGCAGGCTTACTCTGACTGCAGAAGTTCTGGTGCTGCCGCAGCGCGCGCTCCTCGTCGAACTCGCGGCTGCAGGTGGCACACTTGCGCTTGGCGGCAGATCGAGGCTGCAACTTCTGCCAGTGCGCGTCAAACTCTTGAGCTGTGGCGAACGAGAGCTGGCAGATGGAGCACGTCTGCGGCTCAGCAGTTGCAGGCGCCTCCGTTGTTGCTGACGGTGCGCTAGCAGTAGACTCTTTAGCAACATCTCCAGCACCAGCATCAGCTGCAGACTCGGAGGCTGCCGCTTGCTGCTTTTCGTACCAGTCGGGCTTGATGAGCGGGTCCTTGCCGTGCTTGGCGAGCTGGTGCTGTCTCCTGGCGTCCTCCTTCTTAAACGTGCGGTCGCAGAACTCGCAGGGCAGCAGAAGCTTCTTGGACGCGCCCCCCTCCAACTCGTGCACCATGTGCACGTGCGTCCTCAAGCCCTGCGCAGACTTGAAGCTCCTCTCACACTGAGTGCACGCGAACTCCAGGGGCAGCTCACTCTCCGCCTTGCGCTTGCGAGACTTCCTCTCTCCATCTCCCGTCGTCACTGCAGCAGCATCAACAACAGGAGCGACTTCAGCCTCCACTGCCTCCACCTTCTCCCCAGCCTTCTGTCGCCGGAAGATGAACAGCGTACTCGCCTGCTTTTTCCTCTCTCCATGCAGCGTAACCTGGTGGAACGACTTGCCGTTCTGATGCCGCTTGCGCTCATACTCCAGGCCAAACTTCGCGTCGCTGTCCACGTTGTCAACCTGTCGGTGCAGCTTCAACCCGGCGCTGAGCGCGCGCTGCACAGCCTGCCACCGTTCCGGTTGGCCCTCGGCCAGCGTCAACAGGATCCCGCTCTCCTCGCTCTGCTCTACCTCGTCGCCCTCCCCCTTCTCTAGCACTTCCAGCGCTGAAGCGTAGAAGTGAGAGAGCAAACTCTGATGCCGCCGCACGTTCTCCTCCCCGCAGTGCGGGTGGTTGAACACGACCGAGTGGAACTTGTCGGACGTGGCTCCGGCCGCCACGAGCGACTCGCGGATGTTCGTGGCGTCGACGCGATGCAATACCGAGGCGCCCAACTCCTTCAACTGCGCACAGATGCGCTTGCTCTCCGGGTACTTGGCCACCAGCTCGTCGTAGCTGTCGTAGGACGTAGCCGTGAGCTGCAGCGGTCGTGTGTCATCACCCTTACTCTTGTGCTGCTTGGCCAACGCCAATGAGTACGAGAAATTCCCGTCGCCCACAGTGAGTACGCGACGGCGCCGAGGATCTGGCGAAGGAATTGAGGGCGTAGCGGCCTTGGCTTCGCTGGGAGCTGCGTCGGAAGGCGGCGTCGGAACGGTGTCCGCTTCTTGCTGCGTCATAGTCGGTCGTTGACTGGGGAGGAGCGCGTCGCTCTGACCGTCTAAAACCGTCTCTAACGGTATATCTACCATAGGTGGATCAAGTTAAAACGTATTGGAATGATTACACAAGTCTAGCTGTCCCAATGAAAGTGACGTGCACGTTGAACATGGCTACATGTTTCGCACACGTCACAGATTTCTGATGTTGCAGACTGCAACAACGCGCCGTGTCCTGTCCTGCCATCACGGAGCCTCTTGCCACGCCGTCCACAACGCTCCAGCAACACTGGCAGGAGTCTTATCCAAGATAGGCCGGCATCTGCATCGTCGCATTGCACGGAAGCTCCTCCCCTCTTCTGCTGCAGAGAGATCGCACGTCTTCAAGTCGGAGCCACGCTCGTGGCGTTCCATGCTGATGTCACTTTGCGCCTGGGACGCGGCTTCAACGCGCCGTGCTTGGCGTTCTGCTCGAACGGCGGCCGCTGGCTTCAACTCAGCGTAACCCCCGCCGCTTGGGTTGCGCGAATCTGGGCCGTGGGTCCTCGGTGTCATTCCCTGATTCTCCTCCCAACGCCCGGATGATGCCGAGCAACCTGCTCAACTCTCGGGGCCTAGTGGCCATCCCACCAGGTCCGCTACTGGGCAGCACGCTGGCGCTTGTGGTGTTCTGGGTCATGCGCCACGGCCGCGAGCGCCGACTCAGCTGGACCAGCACGCCGCTGCCTCCTCGCGGATACCGTACCCTTCCGACGGCTTCAGCGTCTCAGTCGCCGGTTCGAGTGGGCATGATGACGGACCAGCCGACGGAAGGCTCACCCGCGTTCTACGAGTGGGTTTGCGCCATGACCTCGAGGTTCCGCGGCAAGCCGTGGCTGCTGCATCTCCCGGGAAGACCCGACGTGCTGGTGGTGAGCTCTCCGACCTCCTTCGAGGACATCCAGCGGACGTTCGCACTGCAGTTCGAGAAGGTCGACAACGACGCTGAAGGGCTCGCACACGATGCGCATGGCGGGGCTATCGCGTTCATATATACTGGGCAGGTGCGGCCTTCCGTGAACATGCAGCGCCAGCTTGCATCGAGTGTGTTAAGCTCCGCGGCATTGCGTCAACAGGCTTCAGTGCTGGTGAAGCACCACCTTCAATCGCTCTTGAGGATTCTAGACGACACAGCAAGCAGTGGTGACCCACTGGATGTGACGAGGCTCATGCGGTCGTTCGCAATGGAGGTGTTCACTGAGCTGGACTTCGGTCTTCAGCTCGGAGCGCTGCGCTCTAGACGCGGTGAGTGCAGCGATCTAGAGCAAGCGGTTGACGAGGTTCAAAGGCGAGTGGCTGAGAGATTGAAGCGACCCGCAGTCGCGTGGAAACTCGAGCGACTGCTTGACGTCGGAAGTGAGGCAGCTCTGAGTCGCAGCGTCGACGTGGTGAGTAGGATAACGCTGGGAGCTGTGGACACGAAGAGGAAGCGGCGTCGAGGGGGCAGTCCTTGTGACAGTCCCATTGCTGGAGCTCGTGTGGACATGCTCGACCTGCTTCTGAGCCAGAAGTGCAGCAGCAAGAGCTCCAAGGATCCAGAGTTCCTGGCTGAGTTCGTGCTGGGTCTTGTCGTGGCAGCGAGGGACTCAATGGCTCATGCGTTGAGCAGTTGTCTGCAGTGTCTCGCTCGACACCCGGAAGAGCAGGAGAAGCTCGCGCGTGAGTTGAAGGAAGCAGAAGAAGAGGACAGAGACCTTCAATCCGTCGTGTACCTCGAAGCTGTGGTAAAGGAGGCTCTGCGATTGTATCCGGCCAAGCCGTTCATTCGACGCCGAGCCAGAATCGACACAGTGCTCAGTGATGGGACCTTTGTAGCTGCTGGGGCAAAAGTAGCCATGGACTTGTACAGCATGGCTCGACGGGAGAACGTCTGGGGCCAGAACAGCGCGCAGTTCCGTCCGCAGCGCTGGATCGACTCGACGAACGGAAAACTGCGTCCGACGTCCAACTACAAGTTCAACGCCTTCCTTGGCGGACCAAGAGCGTGCTTGGGGGCCGACATGGCCATGACCGAGATGAAGACGGTGCTCGCAAAGGTGATCGGTCGAGTTCATCTCGACGCAGTTGAGCCCAGAATGGCCGAGAAGGATAAGACCAAGGCATGGGACGCAGCATGCGATGCAGCCGTGAGAGTTCTGGTTCGGCGACGCGGTCCCAGTCCCCCCGGGCAGTACAGCTAGGTAACCTAAGCTAAGCTTGAAGTGGCGGAGCATGTTGAATATTAAAATTTGCTATATTTTTGCGTTGGTAGAACGGAAAAAAGGGTAACTTTGAAGTAGGATTCCTGTCAAGACATGCGAGCTTGAAAGCTTTACCATTCTTCAATAGTACTTAGATTTGGCCATTCTCGCCAAATCTGTCGATCCTCAGACCATTATACCGAGTCCTGAGTAACGCCAAGCGGGCAGTTGTGGTCGTGATGATAGTTACGACGGATTCGTCACCCACACACACACATGCTCCTTTACCCACAATAGCTCTGGCGCCCCAAAGTTATTCGTAGGACTCTCCCTCGGCCTCTTATCGAAAACCCTGGCGCAGCATCTTGTGTTTGGACGCCGTCCAAGTGCATCAAATACCTCGTGTCAACTTCGGCACAACATAAATCACCCGCTGCTTGCGAACTCCCCCTTAGGTCGTTGACGAATGCCGCTCTGGCGACAGTCTTTCAGGGGAAGTGCGAATGAACTTGAGCCCTCGGCTGTCAGCGGTGAGAAGCATCAGCTCAAACCTGATGGAGCGAACGGCATCGAGCCCACGTCTGTCCCATTACGACAGCTCGTTAATCGTCCGCCGCCCACAGCCAACTCGAAGCCGACGCTGCAACTGAACGAGCTTCGGGTGGACAGCGCTGGCCAGGTCAAGTGTTCATCCACAGCCCCATATACAGCGCTCTCCTGGTCGGAGCTACTACCAAACTCAAAGGAGCCTTACGAGTTCGAGAATGACTTCGTACGTGGCAAATTGCTGTTCCTGTTGAACCCGTCGGCGATGGTGGGGGACCCACCGCCGGATCCGACCACCACAATGATCAGAACGGAGCTGTTCGAAGGCAAGAACCGTTTGTTCTGGGTGCAGCTCCAGCTCCAGTTCAAGCAGACGCCGCCTGAAGGTAGTGTGCTCTACATCGGCGGTGAGGTGCCCCGCGCCATGCACCTCGGGTTCTTCACCGGTCGAGGGTGCAATCTACTGCTGAGTATCCTCCGATCTCTCGTCCGGGGGCTGCACTACAGCTTCGGAGAGTCCGACGAAAGCAAAGCTGACAGCGAGGATGCCGAGCTGCCACACATCAGCTTCCCGCTCTACACGGCGGTGGACCAGTTCGTCTGCACTCCGGCGGGTCAAGAGCCTCCTGCGCTTGGTTCGGCGGATTTCGGCGAGTCGAAGGAGGACGCATCTCAGCGCCGACGATCAGGTGCAAGTGGCGCCGCGTACGCCTTCAACACGACGGACACGTACTCGTTCCACTTCCACAGCTACTACATCGACTTCCTGCGCTGGCAAGTGACCAACGTGCCCGGGATGAAGGCCACCGACTTGAAAGTCTTCTGGGAGGACATGCCGCTCCACCTCACGGCCTATTTCGTCAACCCAGAGACTGATGGAGAAGAGCTGCCAGTCACGCACTCGCGTCGAGTCAAGAAGTACCAGTTCTGCTTCCAGCTGAGTCACAACACCCGTCGACAGCCACCGCAACAGCCCGTCGACTCGACGCAGGAGCCTCATCGTCTATCCGCTTTGAACTTCCAGATTCCAGGCGAGACCCCGGACATTTACGCGCGACTGGAAGAGATCCAACGGCAGATCACCAAGTACGAGGTGCACGTTCCAGCGTGGTTCGAATACTTGAGCTGCTCTCGAACGACCCGCGAGCGTCGAGTGGGTTACGTTGTAGTCGTCCGTGAATACGTTGACGAGCCTCCCGCTCGAGACGAGGAGGAGCCCAAACCATCGAGAAAAGGCCGGAAGAAGAGAAAAACAACGAGGAAGGACCGGAAGACGAAGAACGAGCGCGTGCTGCTGCTTCCGGCGCTGGCGGCGTTTGCTCCGTTGTCGTTCTTGGAGCACCAAGATCACTCTCAAATGGGGAAGAAGAAGGCGGCGGACGCGGTCTTTGAGACATCGTCGATCACGGTGCGGTCGAGACGCGGCAAGTTTGACAAGATTGAGGGCGAGCGCGAGTTTCTCGACTACTACATCCAGCTACTGGTGACGCCGTTCGCCGAGGTGTTCGCAGACGACGGACACGCTAGCAGAAGCGAGTATACCAGCAGCTGTGGAAGCGACAACAGCTCAAACAGCGCTCCTCAGCCGGAACAGCTCTACGCCGCTCAACGCGCGTTGCTGGAGATGGTCACGACTGCGCCGGCGCTGCTGTCGTTGGAGAACGAGTGGCCGTTCCTATCTGAAAACGCTGCAGGGCGCAGCACCTCGACGTTCCTGTTCTCGTCCTCATCAATCACTTCGGGAGGTAGGAACTCCGACCTGAGCGCGCCTCCGCCTCCACGCCCAGGTGCCGTGCATGTCGTCCGTGTACTGAGCAGTACTCAATGGCGTCACGAGTGGCTGATACTCGATGAGAACAACCGCATACTGAGGTTCTCGCGGCTGCTGTCCACCAACAGCTCCAATAAGTTCTCCATCCTGCTGGACAAAGTCGTCGGAGTGTCGACTCTCGATCCGACGTTCCGACGGTGTTCGTGCACTTGTACGCCCTCAACAACGGAGAGCCTATCGACCTCTCCACTCTACTGGCTGCACATCGGGAAGGTGGCGCGCTGTCACCACCTGGCGTTCGTCTCACCCGAAGCTCGACGTCCGTGGCTTGAGCTGCTCTCGCGGCTTATCGAGAGAGCCAAGTGGATCCCCAGATCTGTGCTGACCGTAAGCCCCGAAACATTTGGCAGCAAGCAGTTCGTACTGAACGACTGCAGCCCGATGCAGTTGGCTGCGATCACTACGTCGCAGCTCAGCGCATGCTTAATATCAACCGGTTGCGTGACGAACCGGCCGCTGGATCTCGTGTCCACCGCGTTGAAGCACGCCTTGAAGCTCATCAGCAAGAGCCAAACATCGTGCTCCAAGGACAGCGTGGACCCGGAGTTCGTCATCGACTTCCTCGCGTTCCAGGACCAGATCCAGTCCCTCCAGCGCGCCGATCTGCTGCCTCTTGCCAGGAGCGAGGGCAACCGCCTCGTGTTCTTCCTCAACCTGTACCACCTCATGGTCGTCCACGCGAGTTTGCTGGGGCTGATGCCCAAGTCCAAGACCCAGTGGGGGAGGTTCTTCAACGGCGCGAGCTACCGACTCGGAGTCACGGACGAAGACCCGAGCGGCCTGCTCTTCTCTCTGGCGGAGATCGAGCACTGCATCCTTCGAGCGTCCATGTCGTCGCTGCGGTTCCCATTGGCGTCGCTTGTCATCCCGCGGTTCAACGAGCGCAGCGACCCGCGGGCGTGTCTGACGCTGCGCTCATGCGACTTCCGCATCAACTTCGCGCTCAACTGCATGACGTTCTCATGCCCGGACCGCGTCCCGGTGTACGACCGCGCGAACCTCGACGCTCAGCTGGACGAGGCCACGCGCCAAGTGGTGACGCGAGTGCTCCGCTACGACGAGAAGACGTGCGTCGTGTATCTGCCCAAGTGCTGCGACTGGTACCGCGGAGACTTCGCGGCTGCGGCGGACGTGGACTCGAACGCGTCTCACGACGAGCTGGACAACGCCAGTCTGGGCGTGCTGCTGCCCTACGCGAGTAAGGAGAGCGCCAAGATGCTCGAGTACGCGCGGCGACACCCGAACGGGCTTATTCAGAGATACGAGTACGTCCCGTACGACTTCCGCTTCCGTGACGCACTGGCACTCGATGCCATGCCGCCGCCAGCCCCCGCAACCGCGCAGGAGTAGTGTAGAGGTAAAATAATAAATAAAATACGCTAAATGAACTGGAGATAAGCTTGCCAATCAAGCACTTCAACCACTTCAACTTCCACAAGAGTGCCTCATTCCCTCCAGCTAGTGACATCTTACCCGTAAATTGCATTGCATCAATACGTAGTGGTGGAGGTGGATAAAAGCAACACGTTGAAGTTAAGTACATCACATACTTAACTGCTATGTATCAGTTAGGCGTTACTAACCTCGAGCCAACCAAATAGTGCAACATCCGTCGCCATGAGCTCTGCCGCGTACGCCTCGGACGGCGGCAGCTCCACCGAGAGCGAAGACGAAGCCGCCGCCTACCTTGAATTCAACGTCAAGTCCGAGCCTAGTGCCACCACAGCAACCGCAGTTGAAGTCGCCTCTCCTCTGTCTGCTGAGCCCGTGGTCAAGTCGGAAGCTGAAGTTGTCGAGTCCCACGTTACCCCACATGATGGTGAAGATGCCAACCTCGAGCTGAAAGCCGAAGTGAAACCCGAGGTGAAGACCGAGCTCCCAGGCACCGACAATGCCACGACCACCACCACCACCACCACCGACAGACCAACAACCGACCGAGTCGGACGCGCCCCCGACCTGCTCGGCTTGTGGCTACCAACTCCTCATCGTGCCCCAAGCTGAAATTCTGGGGGCTGACAAGATGTTGGACTGCAAGTGCTGCGGCCTGGTGCTGCCCAATTCGAGCTACTCCAATACGCAGCGGAGTAAAGAAGACACGCGCAAGTGCAAGGCGTGCACGGGCAACATGGCCTTCCGAGAGAAGAGGTCCAAGGCTCGAGGCTCGAACGATGCGGGGGCTCCTAATGAGAAGAAGGCAAAGAAAAAGTCGATCAGGGAGCGGCAGAAGAGAGGAGAAGCGAGCGGCGTGTTCACGAACAAGGTGGGGAGGCTCAAGATGGCCAAGATGGCTCTGCAGCGCAAGCACGACGAGGTGAGCAAGCTGAAATGGACCAAGCGGCGGGAGGAGTACGAGCAGCCGCTAGACAAGGAGGAGAAGGAGCTCGCGCGGCAGGAGGCGCTGCTCAAGGGCCAGCGCGGAGACTCGTTCAAGCGTCTGATGGATGAGCTGACGATCAGGAAACCCCCGACGTACGAGCAGGACAGGAAGCAGAAGGCCAAGAAGACCAAGGCGAAGAATCTCAAGAGGAAGCAGCAGGCGAAGGAGAAGGGCGAGGAACCAGCCAAGAAGAAGAAGAAGACAACTAAGGGACCGGTGGTGGATCCGTCCACGTACGTCCCGCCCGGGTCAGCGGCTGATGCGGTACCGGCACGTGTGATTCCGACGCGAGCGAGGACTAGAGCGCAGACGCAAGCAGTTGAAGTGGCAGCGGAAGTGAAGACTGAAGTCAAGATGGAGCAGCCCAAGGTTGAGCCCAAGACGGAGTGGACGCAGTAGTTTTTTGTTTTGTTTTCTTTTGCTGTTTGCACTATCAAAATACCCCCTCATCAATGCCCCTGCTACTTCGCTGCTTGTTTTTTTTCAATCCTTACACCCTCAGTATTCAACGCAGAAGCATTCGTCCGTGCAATCCAACCACGTCACCCCAGTTAATGAAGTCGTCGTCGTAGTATGCTACGCAGCGCATCGACCATCTCCTCCAGGCCCCTGAGAACCGTGTTGTGTGCTTCTGGCTTGGGGACGTCCTTAGACTGGACAAACTCTGCAACCAAGCGGAATACTTGGTCAGGAAGCTGGGCTACCATATGCGGTCCAAACTGACCGCCCGCAGTTTTGTCGTCCCGCTCGCGAAGAAGAAATACCGGTTTGACTTGCTCCCAACGCCAATCCTTCGCGTACTGCTCCACGATTGCCATAACCAGTGGGTGTCTGGGGCCGGTACTTTCATTCGCAGTGCTGTGAACAAAGAACCACGTGGCCTTGGACACCTTCACGTGATTCAGACTGTCCATAAGACGGAGCACGTCTGCGATTGAATGGCGAGCTCAGCACACTCGGTAATCGTATGCTCGCTCAGTGATCTATATACTCCAGCGCAGCGCTTGTAGCTATCCAGGTTGGCAGCTCCGAGTGCAGTCTGAATTTTCGGGTGCTCACCGATCGCCAGTGCGTGAACTTCGTGACCAAACTCGGTTGCAGTCTTCAGCACGTGGAACGGGTGGTTTTGTATAGCATACTCCTCGATATTGATCTCATCAAGAAGACGCAGCGCAAGACGCGTGTGTCCACCGTGGCAGGCGAGGATCAATGCGCTCCGGTCGTCTTCGTCACACTGAGACCACTTGAGAACCCCTTGCCCATGGAGGCATCCCATTTCATAACGCACTCGACCACTGGCCATTCAACTCCACGATGGCAGGCATAAAGCAGAACATTACGATGGCGACGGTCACGAGATCCCAGAACAGCCCCTCTCTACATCAGTAGATCTATCATCTCGGCGGCCTTACTGGCATCCTTGTGCACCGCAGCGATCAATACCGGCGTCTCTCGGTCAACAGTTCGGGCTTAGGCTCCGTGTCGAGCAATCGATTTATGGCGTCGATGTCCCCGGAGCGCACCCCCTTGTAGAAGTCCTTGCGTAAACCTAGCGGTATAGAACCCGTTGGATCCTCACGTTCTTCTGCGCTGGGTAGCGATCCTCACGTTCTTCTGCGCTGGGTAGCGGCGGTCACTCATGTTCGAGCTTTTTTCCTAGTCTGTGTACATCAAACGGTTGAAATGAAACATAATGCTGCGATGTAGTTTATCAAGATACCTTTTAGTAACACAAAAAGATGATACTAGGGCTCCGCGAAGGCTGGGATAGGAGGTTTTTGGGATTAGCGATGTTGGATGCACGTAGTTGGATGCATGTAAGATGCATTGGATGCATTGGATGCGCATATTATGCATTGCATCTAACCATGACCGCCCTCCACAAATAAATAATATATCATAAGTGCCGTTCACGCCCTGACCTTCAGGCTCACCGATCGAAATGCCTAGCAGTTCGTGTAGAATGCCATTGGCAAAGGCCCATTGAAGCTTGCACCAGGAAACCGCTCCTTGCCTTCTAACGGTAGCAGTACGTTGCCATATCACGGCTTCTTGCGCCCTCGCACCCGGCAGGCCGGGGCACACCCGAGCAAGCGCTTAGACAGCAGGTCTTCGCCAGCGTACACGTCACGAATTTTACGAGATAGATAGAGAGAAGGAGATCTATTTTCCCTTTTTGAATTAAGTTGCTGCCTACCAGGCAAATAGAGCTTGGTCCTCTCAACTACGAACATGACATAGCCTTCTGGTTGCATTCCTTCCTCCCGGAACCCCTTCTTCCTGTCCTTGAGCTTGTCGACGACTCCTTAACCACTCCTTAACCACCGGTGGGGCACAACGAGGCGGGCATTGCGAAACGTTGATCAGGTCCGGAGAGAAACACATCGCAGTGAGCGTCTCCGGAGTTCACTTCGTAGGTCCAATCCTCGACGACGAGGCTTCGCCATGAAAGCAAGCGTCCCGGGAGGGAAATCAGCGCAAGGACCGCCTCAACGACAGGTAGAGCGTCACTCCTTTGCCGCGGACTCAACATCGTGAACTACTGCAGGCTGCTATACCGCCGCGTTCGCGCCTCTCTTCACTTAGTGAACGGATATCTAGACATGACATGCGTAGGCTCCCGTAACACTCACAGACCAGCATCAAGCAACAGAGCAGCGTATACTTACGAGTTTCCCTGCCTGCGCCAGCGGTGCTGAGGGTGGCGGAATTGACGAGCTTGCTGCGCTCACCACGAGAAGATTTTTGGCGGGAAAAATTGCGACCGCAATCCCCCTCCAAAATGAACTTTTGAATCTAATCTATTTTGTGTAAGTGGTGTGCCATCAATCGATTTAGGCGGGGAATGCATCCAATGTGTGCATCCAACAACGCTATTTGGGATAAACCCCTTTAATAGTTGTTTTGTTACGAACCACGGTCATCTCCTGCGCCTGCTTCGCAGCCGCACCATCTGCCCGGTAATTCACCTCAACGGCGAAGATGCAAAATACGACTTGGCAGTAATTATACACAGTAATGAAAAGAACCTTGCTCGAGATCTGCTTATAGCTAGTAGAGAAATGAAAATACTTGCCTGTGTATGCTACCAGGGTAGTCCGTCCGCTTCAATCATTCGCTTTACTTCACTCCATATATGTTACTGACTCATACCGGTTCAAACTGCCCCAGTGCGGCACCGGGACCATACCGGTGTGATGGGTAGCCTACCGGTTCGATCTTCATCTTTGACTTGACGTACCACGGATATAATCCTATTTGGTCTGCGATAGCAGCACTAACGTTGTTTCCTATCCCAGTAAAAATTACTCTTTAAGTATGTTTCCTAAGAGAGCGGAAGTGAAGACTGAAGTAGCTTAGCAGGACCAAGGCATGGTGAACGCAGTTGCTTTAATTTGTTGTGCTCGCTTTTGTTTTGGGAACACTATCAATAAGACCAGAGCACGCTGCTACCAAGCTCTGTTTTACACATACGTGTAGTCGTTCGCATTCAGTGAGTAAAGACGACAGCTCCTTAAACATTGTAGCGTGAAAGTCCCTCGGTCTCAGGAAATCAATAGTCAAGCAAAACAACTGATCAGGAAGACGCACTAGTAAGTGCGACTGAAGCTCAGGAGTTGCAGCCTTGATATCCTGACCACGGTATCGCAACAGGAAAAATCTCTTGAGTTGAGCCCAGCGCCAGTCACGTAGGAATTCATCCGCAACGCGCAAGATCATCGGGTGTACAATGTCCTCAACACCCTCATCGATAATTTTCATTATCTTTTGAGTGGAGTGCCAGACTGCCTTGCAAACTTTTTGGTGGTTCAAGTCATTCAGCAGAAGAACGACTCCGACATGTTTCGCCGAACTGCAGCCTCGGTGCACGTTGAGACGGTGTGCATCAGAACGGGACCACTGTATCTTTGTAGCGGTACATATCGCGAGCTCGGAATGCAGCTTCGACTTTCGGGTGCTGCGCGATGCCCATTGCGTGCGCTTCGTTACCCGTCTCAATTGCCGCTTCCAACACTTGGAACGGGTGGTTCTGCATGGCGTACTCCTCCACGTCGATCTCATCCAGAAGTCTCAAGGCCAGTCGGGTGTGTCCACCATCACACGCGAGAATCAGCGAGCTGCGGACGTCATCGTCACAGTGAGACCACTTGAGAACTCCTCCACCCTTTGCGGCATGTCACTTCATTATGCAGGCCACAACTTCCCACTCCACTCCGTGGTAGCAAGCGTAGAGCAAAACATGCCGGCGGTGTCGATCACGAGAACCGAGTACAGCTCCCTTCTCCATTAACAGATCAATCATCTCAACAGCTTTGGCTGTTGCCGGATGCACTGCTGCGATGAATAGCGGGGTCTCTCGATCTTGGTTACGCGCTTGAGCCAGCAGAGGTTCACTTTCGAGCATCCGACGCAACGTCCCGATGTCCCCGGAGCGCACACGTTCGTGAAATGCAGCGCGTAAAGTTGGATCAAGAGTGTACGTGGGATCCACTCGCCTCTGTGGCGATAGGAATATGGAGCGGTAGGCCATCTTGGCACTTCGCCGTGGATTCGAAAGTGATGGCCGATAGGATACTGGGACGGGTGCCTGTCGCAACACACCCAACGGTTGTATGAATTCAAAGTTTGTTTGGTTTATAGTAATAATCTAAAATGTTTCTTGATATGATGGAGCTAGCCTGTTGAGGCGTCCACAAACCTCTGCAGTGTCTGCATGGCAGCTTCTACAGATACACTCTCGCAGCTCTGTTGCATTCTCAATGCCTGTGCTTGCATCAAACTCTGCTGCTCCCGGAGGTGCTCGAGTAGTTTGGTTGTGGCGGTCGTGAGCTGTTGCATTTGTGCCTGGTGTCCACGTAGCAGCATGAGTCCATAGAGAAGCAATCCGAGTAGAAGCCACTGCACGATCGAGCGCGGAGCTTGCACCATCTCCATTGCACTGCCTGACCCGGTAGGAATGGGTTTGGATACGACAGCGGGGGGATCATCCGTCTTGAGGGGTTGAAGACTACGGCGAGCACCCGACGCCCTGCGCTTGAGTACCGGATGAATGCTGCTGCCAGCCTCCGATTCAAGCTCGCTGAAGCTGCCAGAAGCGGACAAAGCTCTGAGCGTCGGGGACAGCGGGACGACGCGATTCCGCTGTGACTCCAGGAACTCGATCGCCTGCTTGGTCCAAGCCTCCAGCGCCTCCTTGGACTCTGACCGCGTAGACGAGTTGATTTGCGACTTGAACCACGTCGCTTTGAGGAAGTTGACGACCAGACCGACTTGCACGTGGCAGTAGTTGTTGCCGTCCCTAGAAAACACGTAGCGCATCTCCACCTCGAAGTAGTCACTGAACGGGATCTTGCTCATGCGGTTGAGCTCCGTGATAACGAAGCGGTCCCACTTGTCCCCGCCGTTCGAGCTCTTGTCAAGACGGAACCGCTGCGTTCGTGTGCATCCAGCATAAGGCGGCAAGCCGGGGAATGAAGTCTTGGGCGGGTGCTGAGACCGCACGATGCGATACATAGTGTAGTCGCCCTCCTTGGAGATCTCAAAGCCCTTTCGGATCTCCTCGGCCTTCCCAGCATAATTCTTGTCAATGGCTTTCCACGATTCAATGTCAATGTCGATATCCCTCGCCTTCTCCATGTTGGTGCGCGAAAACTCTTGGCCCGGGCCGTCGTTCCACAAGAGATCGAAGACGCGCTTGACGTCGGCCCGCAAGTCGCAGTCCAAGAGCACCGTCATCTTCTCCAGTAGCGGGTCAGGCGGCAGCGGCTCAAAGGGGTCTTCGTCACTTGCCGTCGACTTACCGTCATCCGTGTGCACACCTTCCTCCACGATATCACTAAGCGGCGTCTCTGTAGTAACGTCCTCGTCCTCATCCACATCAATGAAGCCCACAGTGGAGATAGGAGACGACGACGACAACGGCGGGTTCCCCGAGCTGCTGCTGGTGCTCCCAACCGACGACACAATGTGCTCCGAGATGAGTTTGTACGAGCGACGGCGGTCCAGCGCCTGCTTGCGCAGCTCCTTGGAGCTCGGCGACTTGCCCGGGCCCGCTCCCTTCAGTCTGCTCGCCTCCTGGTACGCGCGGATGAGCTGGTCCAGCCGCAAGAAGCAGGTGTCCCGCAGCCCGTTGAACTCGGCCAGGAAGAACGTCTCCTTGCGCTTGGTCTTGACCTGCAGCCCGTTGATGTAGTAGAACTGCGGCTTCAGCAGCGACAGAATTTGCGAGTACGAGACCTTGCGCTTCTTCGAGTCCACGTAGCTCTGGAAGCACAGGCGCTTGCGCGTCAGCACCAGGTGGCCGTAGTACGGCGTCGTCTCCAGGAACAGCGCGCAGTTGAAGATGGACACGATAGCCTCGTCCTCCGACAGCTCGAAGTCGCGTACAATGTCCTCGCTGGTGGGCGGCTGGAGGCCGCTCCACGTGACGGTCGTGCTCTTGACCTGCTTCTGGAAGTTCTGGATGCGGTGGTAGCAGCCGTCGCACACGCGCAGCTCGCCTCTTGTTAGATAGGCTTGGTACGGCACGATGATCGTCTTGGTGGTGCACTCGGAGCAGAAGGAGCCGCCGCAGTTGCGGCAGTGGTGGCGCCCCTTAGACAGCAGCGAGCCGATGTCCTCGCGACAGGACTCGCACGCGTACATGTTGGCGAACGGGGGCGGCGGGAGGTTGGTGTTCATGACCACGACGCTCGTGGCCTCGAGGTCCTCGTCCACGATGCTGCCCATGGACTTCTTGGGCGTCACGGGCGCGTTGCGGAACAGCAGCTTGTCCAGCAAGTTGGCGGAGCCGCCACTGGCATTGGCCGCGTCCCCGTCGACCTTCCCCGCGTCGCCGCTCTCGGCCGAGTTCCTCGGGGACAGGATGGCCTTGAGCGCAACGTTGTCGCTGGGCAGGAAGATCTTGAGGTTCGTGTCCCCGCGCAGCGGGTTGTTGAGGCGCGCGTGGGCGGACGCTCGCCTGGCCAATGACGCGGCGGAGCTGGCCGAGCCCGCGCCACTGGAGCTCGACAGCGACGAGCACGACGCCGCGCGCGACGCCTCCTCCAGATGGTCGTGGCTCTGCTCCAGCTGCTGCAAGTGCGCGACCACCGCGTCCTGCTGCTCCGCGTCCTCAGCCTCAGCCTCGGCTTGGGCCTGTGTCTCAGTCTCAGCAGCTGCAACCTCCTCCGCCAGCAGCTCTTCGTCCCGCGACGTGTCCGTGGCGTCCAGCTCCAGCTCCTCCGGGTCTTCGCTGTCGTGCTGCTGTTGCTGCTGCTGTTGGTGCAGCGCCGACTCGGACCTGGAGTGCAGCAGTCTGCCGGCCTTCTCGGCGTCCTCCAGGAGCTGCTCGGACTGCGAGCGGCGCGTCAGCGGCGACGACTCCGCTGGAGCGGAGGTGGAGGCGTCCATGGGCCTGCAAATCTGCGAATCAGCTGCGCGTGTTGCCTTGGTCTCGGCCAGCGAAGGAGCTGCAGCTGCACTCTACGCAGCAGTGTATCGCCTCGAGGTGGCCGATGTCGCTGATGCTGATTGTAACGGACACGATCCCAATGGGAAAGTAAGCGAGATATCAGAGCTAGCGGTTAGAGTACTGAGGTGCGTGAGGCGATGTATCCGCGAGGTGCAACTCTTCTTGCCCGCGCTATAGAGTGTGTTGAGCTGGCAAGTGTGTGACGTGAGACGGTGTGGCGTACATAAGATTCATAACGGAACGCAGTAGGTGAAGAGGAGGAGCAGAACTTGAGGTGACTATGCAGAGAACTGAGCTAAGCCGAGCCCGACTACTGCGACACTTTGTGGTCAGATAAGCCCATGACGCATTGTGGCGTCGAAGAAAAAGCGGCGGCTCGCCGCGTGGTACGTTCAGCTCTTCGGGCCTCTCCAATGCAGAAGCTGCACTGCTCTGCGCTGGTGTGCGGGTATCGCGCGTTCGTTGCTGTCGGGCGTTGAAGAGAGAGCGCTGGGGAGTGTCGTTTCGCGGGCGATTTTGAACCATGCGACACCACGGTCGAAATGTTTCAGTTGATTAAGTCTTGAAGGTTTTCCGTTTCAACGGGGGGTTAGTCGAAATGCTTCCATAGTAATATTCACCAGGGGCCCCTTTTCTGTCGCCTCAGCATGGCAACTATCGCTATAGCGAGTGAGCGAGGTATCGAGGTAGAGAGGGACTGGAGCGGAGCTGCTCGCTGCGGACGACGATTTGCGCGGAGGAAAGACGGACGCGCAAGGATACACGCGGCAACAGAGACCGTAAGGCCTTGATCCAAGCGAGCATCTCGAGAGCTTGTCACAAAAGGTTCCTCCCCGACGAGGATACAGGCTACAGCTCTGCTTCCAAGCCAAAATATCCACCCGAGAGCATGATGCAGCTCTTGCATCTTGCGGCTTCTCCGCGCTGCATTGGCGCAGCAGTGCTGCATATACAGTACAGCAGCAGCAGCAGTGCCGGCGGAAGAGTGAGGTCGAGACTGGTTGAAGCGAGGGCTGCCGATTGCTCGGTCGGGATTGCTCGACGCTCGCCTGACAACGGAGCGTCTCACCCGCACGCTTCGAAATTTGGCGGCAGCGCACCAAGCGCTAGTGGTTGCAACTGGTGCTGGGCGCGATGCGCTGTGGCCGTCTCGTGGAGCAGGACCGTCACAAAAGTGTAGCCATGTCCTGTGTAGCCATGCCAAGTTGAAGTCGCACCTTTCGTGCGGTCGCAACTACCGAAATGGCCTTGACACTCGAGTAAGGTGCCGGCCAACACAAAAAAAAGTCCCAGCAAGCACCGTGTCCGAAGCCTTCGCAGGCGATATATAAGCGATCAAAAGGGGGCGGCTAGACTACAGGCCGGCCATTCGAGATAAAATCCTGGCTAGTTGAAACTCCTACAACTCCGTTTGCCACTTGGGCCGCAGGTGGTCGTTCACCGACCGGATGAGCGGCGCCGAGGCGTGGGCAGAGTTCCCTCTTCCGCCGTGCAAGTTCTCGTCCAGTGTGAAGCACATGAGCAGCATGTTGATCGACGTCTCGTAGATCTGTCCATAAGGGTCCTGGTTAGATAAATGTAACCGCTGCATTTTGTTCAATAGTTACAAGGACTCACCGTCATGAAGGCGTGCGCTACGCTGTAGGAAAAAAGCACGACAACAACCAGCGGCAGCACGGGCGATGGGGTCTAATTCAAGAGAAACGGACACAACATATCCATGAGACCAGCATCCCACACAAGCCCTAGACTTTGCTGCCAACGTACATCTTCGAGAAGGAACCACGCGATGAGGCACGCGGTGGTGCACACGATCAATTTGCCGAGCAGCACGGACGCATGACCGATCCGACTGAGAGCTCCGACCCGGATTAAGTTGGACGAGATCAGTGTGTACGCCAGCTATCCAGAAAAAAAGCGAAACAACTTCGTTGGTGAGAACATATTCAGACATTTGAAAGCAGCTAACACGACGGCCCGTACCTTTCCAGACGTGTAAAAGTTCGTGCCCTGGATTGCAGTCACATAGACTGCTTCTTTGCAGATGTACTTCAGACAATGTTTGAAGCACCAAATACAGCACTAGTCACAGCAGAATAAAAGAGCGGTCGATCGTCAGCAACTACCATCGTGTTTGAAAAAAAAGCTTGCTACGTACACAACAGCACTTGGCCGCAAGCTCTGTGAACGTGTTGGCGTCGAACTCGTTCTTGTTTTCGAGGTACAAAAAGAACGAGCGAATGTGCTCCACGGGGGCCACAGACCCCGAGCTCAGCGCTAGCGTGCCGAGGTGGTACTTGACGGTTGCGTTTGCCGAATAGGACACTGGGTCTGCCTCTTCGAACTCTTTCAGCCCTGTGATTCGGTTCTCAGGCGAGAAATACCACAACGATATCGCCGTCGCCGTGATCATCTCTCCAATAGACAAGATGAAATTCACCGACCAGTACATGCCCCAGAGGTGATAGATGAACAACCAACGCAGCTTGGTGCTCACTTCAAACGACTCGGTCACCACACGGATAGAGGACGGCGATGTAGCCGAGATCGTTGCAATTCGCGTAGACGTCTCGCCAGCTCCAAAGATGCACACCGTAACAAGGATACCCCAGCCGAAGAGCAGCAGCAGCAACACGTAGGAGATGAACGGCAGCACAAGCAGTCGCTTCAGCTGCGACAGCGCGCGTGACGCATGCGTGATGAACGCGCCTGCTAGCAGAAGCCGCGACATATTCACCATCGCAAACAGCAGGAAGAGGATGGCCGCGCAGCACATGGCAACAGTGCTGATCTGGAGCGAGCTCAGCATCACGGGGTCGTTCGCATACGAAAGCGGGTCCGACGCGGCATGCAGCAACCGGTAGCTGCTGTACACGAGGATGGACTCAATCCCCACCGTGGACATCAACACGCTGATGCAGCCGCAATACCGCAACAACACAAGATACAACCCCGCCGTCGACAGAGAGACCGCCGTCGCGATCATCAGCACCTGCCAACACTGCATCAAACAGTTAGCTACCATTAAATAATTCCACCACCGCATTATCCAAACTCTCATACATTGCCCAGAGCTCCCACAAACCGTCCCAATGTGTCCTGCAATTGTCGAATCATCACCTGCTCCGATCTCACTAAAACAAGCAATAAAAAAATCATCAACACCTCCTCACCCCCAAAACTTGCCCACCAACACCCCCACCTTCCGCTGGAGCACACACATAGGCCCACCGATGCGTCGCATAGGACGTGAACTGCACTTCCTGCATCTCGCGCGTCCCATTCCTTCCCTTTCTCCCCGACTCAAGCGGCAGCTCCACCGTCAGCGTCTCTCCGTCCTCCTTCGGACACTCGCCCACGCAGAAGCCAAAGTCCGGATTGTCCTCGTAGTCCGGGAAGTACACAAAGGGCCGGCGGCCACCGCAGGGCTGGCCCTGGAAGTCCACGCCGCTCTTGATCTCCTGCGCGAAGCTCACGCTGCTCTCGTGCGAGAAGGCCGTGACGGCCAGCGCCAGCATCCCGATCCAGTACGTGGCCAGGCAGCCCAGGAACACCACGTCCGTGCAGCGGCGGCCGCTGTGGTCGCCCGGGCGGAAGCTGCGGCGCAGAGACGACGCGCGCCCCGTGCTGGGCGACAGCGCGGCGGCCGTGCGCGCGCCCGGACTGGCGGGTCCCAGCAGCGGCTGGCGCTCGCCCAGCAGCTCGTCGCTGTGGTCGCTGCTGTTGCTGCGGCTGCTCTGGCTGTGGCTGAACTCCTCGCGCGCGCTGGGCCAGAGCGACGACATGGCTAAGAAGTTAGCGGAGCTCTTGCAAGTTGGCGAGTGAGTGAGATGGCTCAAGGTTTCATGGAATTGTATCTTTGACTTGATGGATGTATGGGATCTGATTCGACAGGGGGCCAATGCTGACTCAGAAAAAGAACGATGCAGCATCACAGCGCTGTGCCTTGTACCGGGTCATTCTTTACAATGCAAATATTTGCATTTTGAAAATGTTATAGTCAATGTGACGACGTCAAGAAGAAAAATGCCACAAGTAGCCAACTAAGTGAATGGAGTTGAGCCACGCCACCGCGGAGGACACATGCGAGTAGACAGGCAAAGAGCCTTCATGACGTTATTTTAGCGGACAACTTCACACTGTGCCGCAGTGCGAAAGTAAGACCAATCAGAAGTTTTTACTTTTATTCTTTTTTTCCAAAACTGTTTGGTTTGAGGCCGCTACTGTAGAACTCGAGCTAAAGAGACGGCTGAATAGCACAAATGCATTCAAGCGTGAAAGCTCGCTGAGAAGAGAAGCTGCTTACTTCTTGATGACCGAGTTGATCCACTCAATACCTGCCGACACGCGAGAATACACAGAGGGCATATCCTTGTCTCCGCAACCGGTGCCCCAGCCTGACAAGCCCAGCAGAATGTCATCAGCATCACCGCGGCCGTTTTCCTTGATCAGCGGATCGCCAGTGTCGCCAACGCACGAGTCCTTGCCCGCCTCGCCACCAGCACACAACGACGACTTGTCCACGCCGAGCTTGTTCTCGCAGGCGTTGTCGCCCCAGACCCGCACGTCAACGCTCTGCAGCTCGTTGGAGGGCTTGCCGTTCGGGTAGCTGGTGACGCCCCAGCCCATAACCTTCGACCACACACGAGGGAAAATGTCCGAGCCATCCGCCTTGGGAAGTTTGATGGGGGCGAACTTGCTGGGCTTCTCAAGCGTCAATACGGCGAGGTTGTACGAAAAGCTGCTAGCGTCGTAGAGGGTGTGGTTCTGGGCCGACACGATCTTCAGCTGCTCGCCGTCCTTCTTGCCGTTGAGGTAGTGCGTGCCCACTGCGACCCAGTGGGGAATCGACGAGCCCTCCTCATAGGCCGTGCAAGACGCGGTAGTTAGCACGTGAGTGGGGCTGATAAGAGCACCGCCGCAGAATGTGTCGCCTTCAGGAGTTGTCCGGAGGCCGACCGTGTACGTCTTCGAGCCGACGGGGACTTTTCCTCCGCCCAAGATGAGGGATCGTTGAACGTGCTCAGCTTCGACGTCGACGGCGCTGAGCGCGATGAGCGCAGCGGCGAGGGAGGAGAGGACCTTCATCTTCAACGGGAGAATTTGGCGGTAGTGTGCGCAGTTCGCGGTAAATTGCCCAGTGATGGAGAGTAGGTGGCCGCCCGAGCCCTGAGGGCCGTTCTTAACAGAGGTAGATTGGTAGATTTTGGTTGTATCCGTGCAACCTCGTTCAACTTTCGAGCGTAATCGTCCCTGACGTAGAAAGGCGCAAGGTATCACGAGGTTGCACGGGAGGTAGCATATGAACTTTGTCAAAGTTGAAAGAGTTCACGGTTGTACGGAGGGGAAAGTCGAAATTTTGCAGTTGAATTCCTCGTACCGCGGTACCGCGGGACGTTAGTTATGAGATAGTACCTGATTAGAGATACAGAACAAACTGTCCAATCAAGAGTCACGAGGGAAACACATCGTGCATCTGCTATCTATAGCACTTCCCGAAGGTACACTAGCGTTTTGTATGCGAGCAGTTTTCTCTGCAAATTTCCGCGCAAAAACGTCGCTAAAATAGCATCTCTAACAGCAGATCAGATGTACTCTTCACTTGCTTCACTGCCCCCGTGCTACTGTAGTTGTGCTTAAATGCCACCTACCTTAACCGCTGCAGTGAAGAGGGGGCGTAAAGTGGCGGCTCCACACCCCGTGTCGTCTTGTCCTCTTTTAACGCGGTTTCTAGCGCTCTCTGGGGCATCCGCCTCGGTAAAATAAAAAATAAAAAGTAGAGGCGAAAGTTGACTATTGAAAGATTAGGTGAACGGATACATTTCATTCTTATCAGCGATGTGCATGTTGCACGGTGATACCCGCACGTCTCTAGCACACTTGGACCTTGGTTGTACGGTGATACCAATCTACCTCTGTTAAGAACGCCCCTGAGACGCAGTAGTAGAAGAGATTTTATTTGGACTACTATGATAGCCATTAAAATCCTAAAGAAGATTTCATCATCACCACTAATGGCGATTCTCTTGGTAGCTGCATGCTGCTTACCCGTACTTGTCCTGGTTGTTCAAGGATTAATAGAAAACTGTCGATACAGTCCTCCATCAACTTGCCTTGTTCAACTGTTTGTGGACTCATCTTGTCCCTCCTTGCTATTGCCTTCAACTGACGAACTCCCGTCACCCGGAACTCGACGCAAAGAACGCCCCTGAGACATGCACAGCTGGCGGCATGAAGTTCATGTCCGGCAACAAATGAGCATATACATCGAAGTAAACAAGTAGAGTACATGTTGAGCTGATTTGAAAATATGTGGATGCGTCAGATGCAATTATACAGCCAGTGCTGATGACGACAACTTTTGCGTTATTGAGGTACCGATAGTAATACTGTACACAGTACAGAAACGGTTTCTGGTTTCTGAGAAACAATTGAAATCCTGCATTTTGCTGCGTGGTACTTTGTTTGCGACGGCAAATGCTATGGTTCTCGATTCAGTATTGAATATCATAAGAGTTTCGATTTAAAATTATGGAATAACGCAACATTAAACATGCCTACAGACCACGACGCAGAAATCACTGTACTGTAGTCGGTGAGCCAACGAAAGCTGTAAAAGAGCATACCATACGGTGCACTGTATGGTATGCTCTTTTACAGCCAGCGGCAAACACGGAAAATGTAGCGGGGTTGTACAGTTGTCACTGTTCGCATCGCCTGTCGACGATATTGGGCCGTAAGCATGTACGGTACCACCAACATTATTCCCGCCGTATTCATACCAGTACCGTAAATGATGTTATACTTTGTATGGCAATGACTGAGTGAACAGCTCAATTAAGCTACCATGAAAATTATCTCCAAGAGCTGAGGCGACTGGAGACAGTGATAAACCAAGATGACTTAGTTACGCACCGTACCCGGCATACCCTGCTTGATCGGAACGCCATGCTTGCCTGAAATGGCCTGCTGGACCGGAACCGCCGTCTTGACCTGCTTGGTCTTGATGATGGGGTTAACCCACTTCAGCGCAGAGGACACACGCGAGTAGACGGTGGGGGCTCCCTCGTCGCCGCAGCCGTAGCCCCAGTTCACCAAGCCGATCAGCACGTCGTCCTTGTCGCCAGCGCCGTTCTCCTTGATCAGCGGACCACCCGTGTCAGCCACGCACGCGTCCTTGCCAGCGACGCCGCCAGCGCACACGTTGGTAGGGTTGATGACGTAGACCTGGCTACAGTCTTCGTTGCTCCAGACCTGGAGGTTGACTCCCTGCATCTCGTTCGAGGGGGAGCCGTTGGGGAAGCTGGTCCAGCCCCAGCCCATGGCCTTCGACCACATACCGGGCTTGATGTCCGAGTCATCGGCCTTGGGCAGCTTCACGGGGGCGAACTTGCTGGGCTTCTCCAGAGTCAGCAGCGCGAAATCGTACTCGCCGTTGCCGGTCTTGTTAAAGTCGGTGTGGTTCTGGGCCTGGATGACCTTGAGCTGCTCGCCGTCCTTCGTGCCGTTGACGTAGTGCGTGCCGACCGCGACAAAGTCGGGCTTGGCGTGCTTGGTGCACATGGTCGTGGTGAGCACGTGGGTGGGCGAGATGAGGGCGCCGCCGCAGTAGGTGTCACCGCCGGCGGTGGAGCGGATGCCAACCGAGTAGGTCTTCTGGCCGCTCGGGATGATGCTTCCGCCCAGGATGAGCTGGCGCGAGGTCGTGTCGGCGTCGGCAGAGGCGGCAGCGATGGCCATGGAGGCAGCGGCGATGGTGGCGGTAACCTTCATGGTGTCGACTTCTGTTGGGCTTGGGAATGCGGTGTGCAGTGGGCGGTAAAATCCGAAGTGCTGCGACAGAATGCAACGTTCAATGGATAACGACTGGGATGAATACAAGACCTAGCCTGCTCGACCGAAAGCAGCGGAAGCTGGGAATGCAGAAGCGAACTTGATGCATGCGCTGGTGAACAGATTGGGGCTCGTCACGTGGATTTGAAATCGTGTGGGGGTTGATCAAACTAAGCCATATGTATGTGGCTCAACACGACAAGATCGATTTAAGATCGGGCTCTGGCTCGAACAATCCAAACTAATTTTATGGGGGCTTGTATGATATTATCAGGGGCCCGTGATCCAAGTCCTGGATAGGCCTTCTTGTTCGTTGCGGATGGACAATTATTTCCTGGAACGCCATATGTATGTGGCTCCGCAACACGACAAGATCGATTTAAGATCGGGCTCTGGCTCGAACAATCCAAACTAATTTTATGGGGGCTTGTATGATATTATCAGGGGCCCGTGATCCAAGTCCTGGATAGGCCTTCTTGTTCGTTGCGGATGGACAATTATTTCCTGGAACGAGTATTTTACCCGAAAATGGACATCATATTTCGTCATACGGGAAGCCATAGCGTACAGATTCGTCGGTGGCTACGAAGGACGATCTAAGGGCGCCTTTACCATATGATGCAAGTGACTTCGCACTGGTGCATCGAGATCACCTTTGTGAGATTTGTGACTGTTCGAGACACCAGCGGTGTCACAAGTCGACGACAAAACACCTGCAATCTTGCGGTGTGAACGAATGTATCCATTCAACACTCGCTCGGTTTCTCTGGCTGCTCCGCGGCGTCTTCGCAGGGTGGGTGGTTTGTCTTGCAAAAGCTTATTCCATATTCTTGTTCCCGAATACGCTTATAGGCGGGCTCTAAAGCTACGTAGATTTTTTGTGGAGAAACATTGATGAAGTTATAGGCAACTACCTGTGTTATAATCTTGGTCCGCTATAGCAACGTGCACAAAAGTACAAAAGAAATTAACACTGCAGCGACTCCAATAAGTACAGTACATGAAAACTGTATGCTGTATTTTATTTTAATAAAAAATAGCGTTGAAGCATTTATAAGCTTTTTTGCAGTTACAGTATCGCGTTTCAATCAAGTCGAGGACGGTACGAAGTGGCTTAAGGTGCTGCAATGTTTATCTACATGCAATGTGTTGTATAGTGGTGGTTACAACGGGAACGCATGTGCTTATACTGTACAGTACCACTTACTCGGTAGGTACCATTATTGACACACTTATATTCGCCAGGTCGTGTTTTTAAACACGACCTGGCGAATAAGTTAAAAAAACTGGATTTCACATCGGTCGGGAAAATCTTCAAGTTTCAACTCCTCTCACTCGTGTTCGCTGCTTCTTGAGATCAACACCAGGACCTGATTATCATGTCCTGGTGTTATAGCACTTCGGATTTTACCGCCCACTGCACACCGCATTCCCAAGCCCAACAGAAGCCGACACCATGAAGGTTACCGCCACCATCGCCGCTGCCTCCATGGCCATCGCTGCCGCCTCTGCCGACGCCGACACGACCTCGCGCCAGCTCATCCTGGGCGGAAGCATCATCCCGAGCGGCCAGAAGACCTACTCGGTTGGCATCCGCTCCACCGCCGGCGGTGACACCTACTGCGGCGGCGCCCTCATCTCGCCCACCCACGTGCTCACCACGACCATGTGCACCAAGCACGCCAAGCCCGACTTTGTCGCGGTCGGCACGCACTACGTCAACGGCACGAAGGACGGCGAGCAGCTCAAGGTCATCCAGGCCCAGAACCACACCGACTTTAACAAGACCGGCAACGGCGAGTACGATTTCGCGCTGCTGACTCTGGAGAAGCCCAGCAAGTTCGCCCCCGTGAAGCTGCCCAAGGCCGACGACTCGGACATCAAGCCCGGTATGTGGTCGAAGGCCATGGGCTGGGGCTGGACCAGCTTCCCCAACGGCTCCCCCTCGAACGAGATGCAGGGAGTCAACCTCCAGGTCTGGAGCAACGAAGACTGTAGCCAGGTCTACGTCATCAACCCTACCAACGTGTGCGCTGGCGGCGTCGCTGGCAAGGACGCGTGCGTGGCTGACACGGGTGGTCCGCTGATCAAGGAGAACGGCGCTGGCGACAAGGACGACGTGCTGATCGGCTTGGTGAACTGGGGCTACGGCTGCGGCGACGAGGGAGCCCCCACCGTCTACTCGCGTGTGTCCTCTGCGCTGAAGTGGGTTAACCCCATTATCTCGGCAAAGTAATAGGTCATCGCGGCATCCATCTACACGGAGCGAACTGCAGCCTTGCAAAATACAGCATCATTTTGCGATACTTATGCATGTATTATGCTTGCATAATAGCACTGCAGCTGCCGAGGGGTTTTGGTCATTTCGCGCTGCTAAGGTTTTAGGAGTGTGTTTTGATATTTACAGTGAAATATACTCTTGAGCTGGGCGATGTGGAAATCCTAAACCGGTAAAGCTACAGGACATGTGGGCAATCCAGACGATTTTTGATCCAGGTCGTTTGTGATCGACTTTGATTTTTTTTAAAGTTGAAATCCGCTATAAAATTTCAATTGCGAAAGCTTGCTTGTCAAACCGACAATTTGTCCAAATACATTTCATTTTTCAATCGAATCCGTACTTTACCGGTGCGGACACAGCAAATAAAATATGCTGGCGCTTCTACTCAGTATTATAATAGCCTTAGATATTACTTCGAAGTATTTTTCATTTTCATTTTCATTTTGCAGGTGAGGTATTTTGTGTTCATTTAGTACGAGGTCCTAACATCCGCAGCTAACACCCATACACGTTGTTAGCCGTATGAGCTGTCTCTTCTGCTTAAGGATTACTACTGTAGAAGCTTCGGGTGCATCCGAGCTATACGAGCGCTATACACGTTCAAGTATTCTCCTCTTCTCGCTGTCATTTCGAAATCTACTGTCCCCGACGCCGAAGCAACTTGTCAGAACCCTCTACTCGAAGCTGCCAAACGGCCGCTAGAAGTGCTGACTGTGCTCGATGACGCGCAAGCTGTCGTCCTCTGGTGGCTACACCAACATGATCGACCACCTCCGACGTGACCACCAGACTGCCTACCTCTCGAAGTACGAGATCCGAGCAGTGCGTTCAAGAAACCTCGCCTCGTTCGTTGCTACTGCTGTTGATGAGCCTTCGCACGATTTCGTGGAGAGTGCGATGCAAGTGACGATGAAGAGGGAGATAATTTTTTTTTGCGGAGAGGCTACTCCGGGTGAAAAGCAATACGCTGTCATAGTTCGTCGACCTTCGCTGGATTCCACCGACATCGAACGACGTTGAACGTTTATTCTCGAGGAAGGGACCGACCACGACTCTCGAGACGCTGGTGATGCTGGAGTTCAATGGAAGCTTTGGGACGCTGAGATTATAGCGGACGCACTCAAGACTAACAAGAGACGTGGTCGTATAACGAGCGGGCGTAGCTGGTTAGTGGTTTACTTGATGATCAATAGTTTATTGCCCAATAATTTATTGACGCGAGTGGACCCCCTCAATAAAATAAAATAAGTATTTTTCCGAGCTCTGGTGGTTACGCCGCATTCATCTGTCAGGTTCCTGCACTGCCAGTAAATTACTTCGAAGTAGGCTCCAAGCCTAGTACAGAGTAAGAAGCGCCGAGGATATTTTTTATGTGTCGGCGTCGGCGGTATGGCGCCACCGACGCAGCATTAATGGCAATAACCCTGACGGTATTGGTGTCAATTAACCTAAAATGCGTTGTGCAAACTTGGTAGAACGATTTCTGGTTACGTTTCATACTTAGGTACGCGAATGCGCTGGTACATCCATTTTATTGTTCCCACAAAAGAGTAATTCTCCACAGCAACGAAATTTCCACTCGAAGTCAGATCAACCACAGGTATACTCGCAAGTACAGGTGTAAGCACACTGCGATTGCTGGTAACATCCAGATATTTTCAAGGATAATGGCACCCGAAAACGGATTTGTACCGGTATTTGTTTTTATTGCGGTTTAAAATGACGGTAGCTAAAGTCATGCTCAGGCGCAGGTTCCAACGAGCTAATGCACAGACACAGTACTGTGCGCGGAGTGCGTGGCCCGCTCCGGTATTTCATCTTACGTCGATCCGTCGAATAGAATTCTAATCAGCAAACTACGTTTCGTGTGAATATTTCAAAGTCAGCAACTGATCCGTTGTAGTGACCAGGGATTCGTCTTGTGTTCAAGCTGTGGGCTTTGATCGTTCAAAACGAATTGAATTGATTTTTCGATTTTCTCGATTTACGCTTACTAAGCGTTTGACCAGTTTCGAGAACATCACAAGGTGAGGGATGCTATTCACAACAATATATTAGTCTTGCCGAACAAGTCATATCTGTCGGTTTGTTATTTGTACTGGGTGAGCCTTTCCAAAGTGGTGCGCTAACAGCTTGAATTGGAAACGAGAAGCTGTGCATCGGGTCATTTATTTTTAGGGCTCACCGGCAGATTAGGCCCACTTTTTAGAACATTCAAATTCTAGAAACAGGGCAGATATTATTGTGTTTGTATTACGAACCCCATTGTGTTGCATTTATGTTGACACCCACTCGACACGACACGCCCACCAGCCCCGGCGCTACTTCTGTTTTGTATGCCTTGCGATCAGGGCTGATTTGAATATGTTTGTTCGTCACTAAAAATCTATTTTTCCGCGCTCAACCAGAGGCGCTGTTGTCATAGGATTCCCCAGATAAAGCTCGGAACTACCTACCAAGATCCAGGGCAGTAGCAGGCAGTGGCGGGGCCACATCAAATGTACATTTTTGCAAGTCTCCGTTCTAGATTTAGACCGTTCTAAAAATGGGCTCGTTTTGCCGGTGAGCCATTTTTAGCGTTTCGCGCCAAAGATGAGTTAAGCGAATTATTTTTTTTCACTTGGTACTATAGTCTGTTCTGAAAATAGTCGCTGCCACGGACAATTTGTCTGTTCGCAATCCAATATTGTGTTATGGCCTTCGATGGCCATACACTTCCGCATTGCCAAGGCACTTGCAATCGTGTTTTGCGTTATATTTGTGTCGTTATTGTCGCAACGACCTGTAAACATGAAGCTTTGACTTATAGTTCGTATACCTATTACCATGAACATTATCTCCGCGATTGCTGCTTCAATGGCGCTGGGCGCTGCTGACACCCAGGCTGAACATGTTGAGCGTGCGCTTATCGTTGGCGGCGGAGAAGTTTCGATCGGCTCGAAGACGTACACGTCCGGACTTCGCGCTACTCCTGAGAGCAACTCCTTCTGCAGCGGGGCCCTTATCAGCCCCATCCACGTACTTACTGCTGCATCATGCACGGGCTACCGAGAGCTGGGGTTCGTAGCTGTGGGCACGCACTGCTTGAACGGCACACTGGACGGTGAGGCAATCAAGGTCATGGGGGCGAAGAACCACACGCTCTACAACTCCACCAGTCTTTCCTACGACTTCGCCGTTTTGATGTTGGAGAAACCCAGCAAGTTTACGCCTGTGAAGCCCCCGAAGGCCGACCACTCGAACATCACTCCGGGCATGTGGTCGTCGGCTTTGGGCTGGGGTATCTCGAGCTACCCCAACCGCACGGACGCTTACGAGCTGCAGAGTGTAGGACAGGGGTTGGAAAAAATAATATCAATACAATAGTTATGGCATTTTTAGCACGGAATAATTTATTGCTTTAGGATGTTCCCGTACAATGGAAAATTGTCCCAATACAATATCAACACTTGCGTCCATACAAAAACTAAGCTTATTACGAAAATCCCGTATATATTTATTGCCAATAATTGTGAAAATACTGTATTATTGGCTGACCCTGTATTGCAATGATTATTACTGTGACTCCAAGACCAAAATACAATATGATATTTTATTTTCCGACCTCTGGTGTAGGATTGCGGGTTTGGAGCCCCGAAGACTGTTTGCAAGTGCTTGAAGTGGACGGCAGCATGGTGTGCGCCGGTGGCGTCGCTGGCAAGGACTCATGCATCGGGGATGCCGGTAGTCCGCTGATCAGGAGAACAACACTAGAGATGCCGACGATATTCTGATCGGCTTGAACAGTTGAGGCTACGGCTGTGCTTACGAAGGGTACCCTTCCGCGTATTCGCGTGTGTCCGCTGGCGCCGAATGAATCAACGGGGTTATCAAGGCCCCGTGAGCGCTTCCGAGAACTCGAGAGAGGTGAATAACCCAGGCTTAACATAGGATTTCCACCCGATAGAATGCAGTTTTCACCCAGGTTGCAACTTTGGGTTCCTAACGATATTGTGGTCGCTGCGCGCGTGCTAGCAAGACAACAGGTCCTATTGCCCGAACTCACTGGACTATGTCGAGTTACAGTACTTATCACGTGGCTACCGAAAGGTTATTAGGTAAAAGAACATCAGATTTTCCAATCATTGAATCCAAATTGCGGGGGAGGTATCCTATGGCTCAAGGCTGCCAAACGTCTAGCTGTCGGTCCTTAAATTCCCCCAGAAGACGAATCCAGCGCTAAGCAGGGACCAAGCGTGGACCTCGGCTTGCCTTAGATTTAGCTTGAGCGCTCCCAATAGATGTGGGGCTCGTTGTTTTATTTTCAGTCGAGGGGAGGGGGATTGAAACTGGGCTATCTATTGCTTTTCCGAGCTAGTAGCTGCGAATTAGCTAGGTGTCGAGCAGACAAGCATGGTTGCAATCGACTCGACTGAGTCGAGCTTCCTTAACAGCCGTTTGAGTAGAGGACACAACGCGATGCACTTTGATTATGAAGATCATCGTCCCCATAATCTACCACCATTTCAAACCTTCTCCGTGAACACGTTTGGGGCAAAGGCAACGTCCTTAGATCACCGAAGGCATGCCTCGCAGCGGATTCGCAGTGAATCCGTGCGAGGCAGCCCCGGGAGTGGTGTGGTGGGTCTTAAAGTCGGCCAGCTAGTTGGCCTGCATGCACGCTAGCTGAGGAACGCCGCTGTTGGGCGCGGTCAGAGCGCCATCACCAGACGACACTGCGCGCTGGCAGGATCCGATCCCGGTGCCTATCCAGGCACCGGTGCCGATGCCAATCTCGACGCTGAGCTCCTGGAGCAGAAGCCCAGCGAATGACCAAGCGAGGCGCGTGCATTGGAGGCAGCAGAGCAGCACTCGACAGCGGCAGTGGACGAGCGGCACGCGGCAGCAGCGAGGACTGGCAGGCGGCACGCAGCAGCACCGAGGACTGGCTGCCGGCAAGCAGCAGCGGCAGCTATTGGAGGAGCAGTAGCCCAGGAGTTGCTGCCCCAAGGAGGTCGCTGGTAGGAACGATGTTTGTCAGGATGAACTCTAACTCTCAATCTCACTTCGCAACTTACCTTACGAGCTCAACTTGCCATAGCCGCCCCCTAAAACTAAAAACGATGCTGCCTACTGCTGGCCAGGCAGGCCTAGTGCAAAGCCGTGGACTGTCGTGGTGTCGAGTTCGGGCTTGAAAACGTGGCTCACTTCATCTCTCGAAAAATAGGTTTTCCACCGCTGCGCTTGTACAAAACAACTAGTCTTCCGCGCTGCTGTTCTGTAAAACCGTGGGTTACGCGCGCATTACATGAAGCTCAACAGTCAAAATTGATACATACGTATACACAGACCTTTGTTGTACATGTATTTGAAGTGTCCACTTCGACCGACGGGTGCTACTTATTTTTGAGGAACTTTTTCTAACTTCTGTGACTTCTGAGGAAACTTCTAACTTCTGAGTACAGTACCTACGGTACAATGTCCATTTTCCGTACGCAAATGAACATTACGTACGTGAGTATCCATTCGGGCACATGCGCAATGTACTCCGGGTCCCATCATCGCGCCCTCCGCTGCGCTACGGGGCTCGACGGGAACCTACTCAGGTCGACCGCGGAACGCACGACCTCCGCTACGCTCCGGTGTGCATCCTGGTCGCATATAGAGATAGAACCTACTTCGCAGCGCAACTCCTCCGGCGCGTGAAGTTGCGCCGTCCCCTGACAGAACTCCGCTTCGCTCCGGTTGTCAAGGAGCCTCTCTAAGGCCTCACCAAGCATCGCTGGGTTGGCGTCGCAACGTTTCCTCAGAAACCAGCGGTTGCAAGAGCGCGTACCGCAGGAGTAGCGATTTGTAGGTTTTACTCATTTTTCCGAGCAGAATATGCTTTCCTCAGAAATCAGCAGCGTTTCCTCATTTTTAAGGCCGTTCCTCGACCGACGGGGACGCGACTGTAAATTTCGTCAGAAATGCGCAAGTTGTTTGCATGGATCCAGAAAACCCGTGCGTTCTGGCTTACAGGCTGTAAGTTACAGCTGCCGTCGATAGCGTGAAATTGATGATCGCGTGCAGCATATGGACGTACAAATGAATGAATAATTAATGTACGTGTTCGCGTAGCCATATAATATTGGACGTACAAGCACAAACAAAATGTATCGTGTACAGTATAGATAAGACAAACTGCTGTAATGATAGAGTACTTTAGTACAGTAATTGGACTTGCTCGAAACCAAATGGCCTATTGAGGAGAGATCTGAACAACGTTAGCATCTGTCTCCAATGCGTTCTCACTTTACAGCCCCGCATAGGGTGCTGTCCATTCGTCCTTACGTGGCAATTAATCCGAAAGCGTAGACCTTAGTCATTCTGCAATTTACCGCGTCCAACGTCAGGTGAGAGATGAAAACCCCGTCAACCGTTTCGGCCGCGTGATTCGTTCTGGCCTGTGCATCCACGGCCCAAGCCAATGAAAACGTCGAGCGCAAGTTGGTTCTTGGAGGAGAGATCGTCCCGGCCGGCACTAAGACGTACGTGGCTGGCATCCGTAGCACCCGCGACGGCAACAGCTTCTGTGGAGGCACCCTCGTTTCGCCCACCCACGTCATCACCGCGTCGCACTGCAGCAGCAACTACGACATCCGCTGGGTGTCTGTGGGCTCGCACTTCATCAACGGATCAAGCGATGGCGAGCAAATCCGAGTCGTGTCGATCATGAACCACCCCAAGTACGACCGGGGCCTCTTCCCCAACGACTGCCTGCTGGAACTGGAGAAGCCCAGCTCCTTCGCGCCCGCAAAACTCGCTGCCGCCGATGACTCGGACTTTGCTGTGAACAAAACGGCAACTGTGCTGGGCTGGGGGTACACCGCGGACAACGGCTCCGTGTCGTACGAGCTTCGCGGTGTTGACGTTCCGCTGTGGGACGACCAGCGCTGCGCGAAGAAAATGGGCACGGAGGAGTCGAAGGTTTGTGCCGGTGGAGTGGCGAACAAGGATTCGTGTGAAAGGGATTCTGGGGGCCCACTCATTGTCGAGTCGGAGAAGCAGGGCGTGCTGATCGGGATATCGAGCTGGGGTCCGTCACCGTGTGGAACGGAGGGAGCTCCTGGTGTGTACTCGCGCATCTCCCGTGCCCGCGCATGGATTGACTCGATTGTCAACGGCACGTGCCTTGCGTAGTGAAGGCTACAGGCTGTATGTAGCCTACAGCTTTCAATAGAACTACCAACACATTAAGCTGTATGAATCGGTCCAACACTCCACCGTTTTAACTACAACGAAGTAGTAGCTCGCTGCGCTTGCTTGTGAGGTCTTTCAGCCAGAACTGAAAGCATAGAAGTGAAAGTACGTTGGCGTGCTTAGCTAGTCAACTTAGCTCCACCATTCAAAAGTTCGCCACGGGTTTAGTTCAGAATTAACGACTAGAGAATTGGGCTGGTAGTGTGCTTGGGATATACGAAATGTACATGCAGTACAAACTGTAAGCATGGGCTCAGTTGAAGCATCTATGAAGAATGCGTAGAGATATTTCCGAATGGGTCTGTAACTCTCAGCGTCTCGCACTGATTGAAATGGATTACTTTTTCTTTGGAACTGCCCTCAGATTTCGTTTCTCGTAGCAACGCGCTCGGTTCCTATGGCAGCCCCCGCCCTTGTGGTCTATATTTGCTGTCTTAGTGCCGAGCGAGTTGCTACAGTGAGCGGAATCTACTATCCATGAAGTATCTATCAACTTATCTAACTACGCACCGTTCCGAACGTTCAAGACTATCACCTACGCCTGGTGGGTGTGCGTAAGTTCACTTAATATTCGAGCACAGTTACTCTTTGTGTAACGGGGTACAATCAAGTGTACCCATTACATAAAGAGTGACGGGTGTCACTCTCCCGAGTACATGGTACATGGTACCAGTAGTTACCATTTGAGTTTGTGTGGGCTTTTGTATGGTTAACTTGTAGTTTGTATTCCGACCAAGTTAACCTCTACCAAAATACAGTCAGTCTTATAACCTACTCCTTTGTAGCAAACCGTGCCGGGAACTGGTGAACTGCTGTTCACCTGGATAGTAATATCCACACGCACTTCCTCTGTGCATTGTGCTGTGTGACCCCGTCACACTTGGTAGCACTCGTAGTCAATCCTACGCCTACGCGGGTAGATTGGTCTACCTGAATCCTCGGTGGCTCAGGTCTGTGAGTCACGATGGACCGAAGTGAGTTTCCTCACTTGACTGACTCGCAGTTCGAGTCGGTGCGGAAGATGGCGGGCATCTTCGGAAGAGATGCCCTCCGGAGCTTGGCGGCGGCGAGCCGAGCAGGTCGAGCGGGTGAGCGCGTTTGACGAGTACGAACGCGGGCTCATCGCTCATGTGCAGGGAAACCTGCTGGCTCAGATGCGTGAGCCCAAAACGGGTGCAGCCTAAGCCTCTGCGGCTAGCTGTGCTTCCGTTCGAAGGGAAGGAAGGTGAGAACCTTCACTTCTGGATCCGGGAGACCGAGATCGCAAGGAGCGCAGGTCTCATCTCAGCCGAGAACCTTCGAGTCGCCTTTGCGCTCTCCAATCTTGGCGGACGTGCCAAGACTTGGGCGTATACGCGCGAAGCGATGTCGCCTGGATGTTTCACATCCTGGGCTTAACTGTGTGGGCAGCTTCGAGCCGCATTTCTCCCTGCGAACAACGAGTTCCGCCAGCGCTCGCGCTTCCTTGCCTGCAATCAAGGGGAGCGCGAGCTGTACGTGTACGTACAGGAGATGGGCACGTTGGCAGCCTCGCTGGTGGGGAACCCACTGTCGGAAGACGTCAAGATGACAGTCTTCGTGGACGACTTGAAGGTCGGTCCAGCTACGTAAATTGTTGTTTTTCGTAATTTTCCCAGAATTGTCGCGTGGCAATACCTCACACAAAATCCTTTAGCTATCCCAGCCTTCGCATAGCTCTCGTTGCCTACATAGTAAACTCAAGTCAAATCAAAATCTCGGGTGGTTTGCTGGCGATTTGGATCGATCGATTCAATTAATCGACTTCGGAAAGTTCGACTAGAACGCGCAATAAGAGCGTGTTCAGTGAGCGGCCGGTAACCGATGTCCTGCAGCAACCTATCCAGTATAACATATCACAGGAGTACTGTTTTAAGGCAATTATGGTTTGTTTACTGTCGTTTATGGTATCTTCATGGGCCACCATAACGATTTCATGCATATTTTCCGATTGTTCATGTGTTTATACACGGGTTACCCTGCAAATTCGGTTTGGGCAGTTAGCCTGGAAGCGCTAAATATTTGAATGCACGTATTTTTTCTGTTTTTTCGCCGCCATACAATCTAAGAAATATAGAATTCTGCCTGGGCATCAGCGTACGTTTTGAAGGCAGGAAGGAATAAAATTACGTTGATTAGCTAGTTGTTGATAACCGTTCTACTAACTACAAAAGAGCTAATGTTAAACCTAAATCCGTGGAGTCCTAATCCAACGAGCAGGAGAAGGTAGAATCACCACGTTGGGTTTGTCAAACCCAAGAGTTGAAGTACCATTTCGTTGGAGAGAACCGGCAATGCCTTTGAAAATAAGCAATCAAACTTGGTACACTTGGTTGTACAGTAGTAGATGCAGATGCTGCGGCTGCGAAGCAGGCGCAGGAGATGCCCGAGTATATCGTTTCCCTGTAAGGGCCTCCGTACAAGCTAGCTTCGAACTGCGAGACCCCCCGGGTCCTCCACCCGGGTCCCCATAATAATAATGGTACCTACCGAGTAAGTGGTACTGTACAGTATAAGCACATGCGTTCCCGTTGTAACCACCACTATACAACACATTGCATGTAGATAAACATTGCAGCACCTTAAGCCACTTCGTACCGTCCTCGACTTGATTGAAACGCGATACTGTAACTGCAAAAAAAGCTTATAAATGCTTCAACGCTATTTTTTATTAAAATAAAATACAGCATACAGTTTTCATGTACTGTACTTATTGGAGTCGCTGCAGTGTTAATTTCTTTTGTACTTTTGTGCACGTTGCTATAGCGGACCAAGATTATAACACAGGTAGTTGCCTATAACTTCATCAATGTTTCTCCACAAAAAATCTACGTAGCTTTAGAGCCCGCCTATAAGCGTATTCGGGAACAAGAATATGGAATAAGCTTTTGCAAGACAAACCACCCACCCTGCGAAGACGCCGCGGAGCAGCCAGAGAAACCGAGCGAGTGTTGAATGGATACATTCGTTCACACCGCAAGATTGCAGGTGTTTTGTCGTCGACTTGTGACACCGCTGGTGTCTCGAACAGTCACAAATCTCACAAAGGTGATCTCGATGCACCAGTGCGAAGTCACTTGCATCATATGGTAAAGGCGCCCTTAGATCGTCCTTCGTAGCCACCGACGAATCTGTACGCTATGGCTTCCCGTATGACGAAATATGATGTCCATTTTCGGGTAAAATACTCGTTCCAGGAAATAATTGTCCATCCACAACGAACAAGAAGGCCTATCCAGGACTTGGATCACGGGCCCCTGATAATATCATACAAGCCCCCATAAAATTAGTTTGGATTGTTCGAGCCAGAGCCCGATCTTAAATCGATCTTGTCGTGTTGAGCCACATACATATGGCTTAGTTTGATCAACCCCCACACGATTTCAAATCCACGTGACGAGCCCCAATCTGTTCACCAGCGCATGCATCAAGTTCGCTTCTGCATTCCCAGCTTCCGCTGCTTTCGGTCGAGTAGGCTAGGTCTTGTATTCATCCCAGTCGATATCCATTGAACGTTGCATTCTGTCGCAGCACTTCGGATTTTACCGCCCACTGCACACCGCATTCCCAAGCCCAACAGAAGCCGACACCATGAAGGTTACCGCCACCATCGCCGCTGCCTCCATGGCCATCGCTGCCGCCTCTGCCGACGCCGACACGACCTCGCGCCAGCTCATCCTGGGCGGAAGCATCATCCCGAGCGGCCAGAAGACCTACTCGGTTGGCATCCGCTCCACCGCCGGCGGTGACACCTACTGCGGCGGCGCCCTCATCTCGCCCACCCACGTGCTCACCACGACCATGTGCACCAAGCACGCCAAGCCCGACTTTGTCGCGGTCGGCACGCACTACGTCAACGGCACGAAGGACGGCGAGCAGCTCAAGGTCATCCAGGCCCAGAACCACACCGACTTTAACAAGACCGGCAACGGCGAGTACGATTTCGCGCTGCTGACTCTGGAGAAGCCCAGCAAGTTCGCCCCCGTGAAGCTGCCCAAGGCCGATGACTCGGACATCAAGCCCGGTATGTGGTCGAAGGCCATGGGCTGGGGCTGGACCAGCTTCCCCAACGGCTCCCCCTCGAACGAGATGCAGGGAGTCAACCTCCAGGTCTGGAGCAACGAAGACTGTAGCCAGGTCTACGTCATCAACCCTACCAACGTGTGCGCTGGCGGCGTCGCTGGCAAGGACGCGTGCGTGGCTGACACGGGTGGTCCGCTGATCAAGGAGAACGGCGCTGGCGACAAGGACGACGTGCTGATCGGCTTGGTGAACTGGGGCTACGGCTGCGGCGACGAGGGAGCCCCCACCGTCTACTCGCGTGTGTCCTCTGCGCTGAAGTGGGTTAACCCCATCATCAAGACCAAGCAGGTCAAGACGGCGGTTCCGGTCCAGCAGGCCATTTCAGGCAAGCATGGCGTTCCGATCAAGCAGGGTATGCCGGGTACGGTGCGTAACTAAGTCATCTTGGTTTATCACTGTCTCCAGTCGCCTCAGCTCTTGGAGATAATTTTCATGGTAGCTTAATTGAGCTGTTCACTCAGTCATTGCCATACAAAGTATAACATCATTTACGGTACTGGTATGAACACGGCGGGAATAATGTTGGTGGTACCGTACATGCTTACGGCCCAATATCGTCGACAGGCGATGCGAACAGTGACAACTGTACAACCCCGCTACATTTTCCGTGTTTGCCGCCGGCTGTAAAAGGGCATACCATACAGTGCACCGTATGGTATGCTCTTTTACAGCTTTCGTTGGCTCGCCGACTACAGTACAGTGATTTCTGCGTCGTGGTCTGTAGGCATGTTTAATGTTGCGTTATTCCATAATTTTAAATCGAAACTCTTATGATATTCAATACTGAATCGAGAACCATAGCATTTGCCGTCGCAAACAAAGTACCACGCAGCAAAATG